CAAATTTCAATGCCTGTTTTGTTATGTCAAGTTGCCGGACCACCTTAAGGGCATCTGAACCATTTGTCACGCCAGCAGCAGCAAAGAGATACCTTCTTGATTTCAGGCCTATTTATGACATCTGCCGCCGTCGCCTTGTGATCAGCAATGAGTCTTTGCGAAGCGGACACCGGCCTCTTTGGGACTTGCGTCTCGCTTGAAACCGTCGAGCGAGGCCTGCGGCGAGGACTTCGCACCACCCACAAATGCGGGTCTCAGCGCCACATCGACATGATCGGAGAGAACCAGGTTCCGCTTTTTTGTTTGTTTGTTTGAATGAAATCATGAACGGCAAGATCTGACCTTGACAATCAAGACAGAACTTTGAAGATGATGTTTCTCGAGACTTGAACGGAATATTGCAGTGAGGCCATGTCTTCTGCAATTTACTCAAAAGTCCTGTTAGGTCCATAGGCTGCGACCAATAAGGATAGGACCCCCTCAATTTCGAACTTTTGACTATTCTAGAGAAGATAACAAAAATCTGTGAGTGCCGTCCAATTTATTTTAAAGCCATACAATTTTGAGCTGACCATTGCAAAAAATCAAAAAAAAACACATTTTTTTTTGCATTAGTCAAAAGTTAATTTGACATCGAATAGTTCGATTATGGCATCAAAAAGTCGCCGGAGTAGTTATAAACTTTTTTTCGGAATACCAAAAAGTTTTTTTCTTTCAAAACGACCTTTTTTTCAATGTTTTTCTTCCCCAGCACTGTTGGCAGTAATTTTGAGTTTTGCCTCGTTCCAAAATTTTTTCAGCACTCTGCTTTCTTATTATCATATGTATGTGGATAAATTTCAAAATTATGGAGCTGCGTTATTTTTTTAATCGACATTGGTACACTCCCAGCAGTGAAAGTTGCTCAAGTCGTGAAAAACTCATTTTTGGAACTTTTAGAATTATAATCACGAACTCCTCACTGTTTGTTCCCCTAAAGAAATTTTTTAAAGACAAATAATGAACCAGATTGTTTTCCTCAGTAATATGCAAATGTATGCAAAAAATACAATTCACTACTCTTGTTTTCGCTTTCACTGCGAACAGAGAAAAAATATCTGAAAGAAGTTGCTTGGCGCGTACTTTGCATGAAATATCCGGTTTTCTGCACCGTCAAGAGCGTTTTTGACGTTCATATAAACCATCAAGTGGAAAAAGTTTACTATTGCGCAAGGCGAAAAAAAAAAGGAATGCTAGAAAAATGCCGAGGAAAATTGGTTTCAGGGCTTTTTCTCTCGGGTTGGTTTGCTCCACTGCAACTGGCCAGATGACAGCCATCTTCCTTCAGAAGTTGTCATCAAGGTTTGCTTTGTTTTCATGAGTTAAACCTTGATAGTCCTTTCAGATCACAACATTACTCAACACTATTGCGATGCATCAGAGAAATGGAAGCAAGAAGAAGTTGTTTGGAGAAGCTGCCAAAAAAGAGAAAATTTCTTGGATGTTAAAGGCAACCAAATTGAGGAAGGTAGGATCTATTGGTTCGATAAGTTTCCTGCTTCCAGTTCCAAAAACGTTTGCAGAGCTTTCAAAGTATTTTCGAAAGAGTTTTCCAAACTCAATCCTGTTCATAGATTTTTCATACTTTCGAAACAAATTGAAATATTCACAGCAGCTAGCTGGTGCATCCAGTGGAGCACAGGGAAAGTTTCTAAGGAAATGGAAAAGAATTTTTTTTTCAGTAGTAGATTGCGAAAATTACTTCTTTTAAACCCTTTGAAACGCTGTTTTGGATATAGTTTATTCGATAATTGCGGGAGTTCTTTCATTTGTCGCTTGGAAAAAAAGTTGAATTAGAGTCTTAGAAAACTCAGCCAAAGTATTGGGCCAAACCACAACAAAAAAATCATACTTCTTAGTTTTTAAGTTGGTAGAGTGTCAATCTTCTTGAAAAATTGTAACATCAAGTTTGGTTTTTTAAATTTTATAACTGCGATATTTTCCTCAAAAACGTTTTATTAGTATTAAGGAACAGCAAAAGTGAATAATTTCAGTGGCACAACAACGAAGTATTGTTCTACAACGCAGCTCGTTTGATGAACATCCAGTTCGTCCCGAGATTGTACCACGCGACGACATTCGACGAAGAGAACACGGAAAACGGCTACATTTGCATGCAATTTGCACAAGGCACCGTCTGTTCACAGATCTACGAGTACCTCACTGTCGAGCAGATCAAAGAGGTTCATCATCATAAATTTGAATATTTCATGATTTATCTGTGTGGGTGAGAGAAGAGAGAAAAATTAAAACACAGTTTCGAAAACTTGTCTCTTAGAAAACCTAATGGAACCAGATCACGGAGTTGTCCTCAGCTCATCACGAAGTAAAATGAACCTTCATAAATTCTAACAAAAGTCAGAAAACTATACATTTTCAAGAAGTGACGATAATAAGGGCGTCACCTCTCGTATTTTCCTTCAAACCATCGAAAGATTGAAAAAAGTCAATTGAACCTTGATGATTTTTTTCTATATTGAATGATTCGCTAGAATTCTATACAAAACTTACAGTAAACTTTGAAATCCGGGAAGTTCTGAAATTTAGAAAAAATGAAAAAAAGCTAAAGGGGAACTTCATAATTTTTTTAAGAGTTTGTATTTATTGATTTTAGTGAATAGTATGGTTCAAAATCCAATTTTCTGTTTTTTCTGATCGAGATTCTCAGTAGAATTGGTCTTTCTTCTCATTTTTTTTTCGAAAAACAAACAATACTCAAGGCTGTGCTTTGGGCCAGCCAGGCTAGCCATAGTGTTGCAACGCGGTCAAACTTTCTTGTCTCGAAATTTTCACAGAGTGTGTAAATGGGAGAGTGAGTGATCGAAAATGTGATATTTGGGAGAATTATGTGATTCAAATTATGAAGTGAGATAAAAAAAAAGCTCGCGATTGCGACGATTGTGGGCCGACTCGGCCATCAACCTCGGCCCAACGCACAGCTCTGAACAATACGATTTTTTCTATTCACAGAATTCACCATGTTTCAAAGTGAAGATTGAATATCAGTCAGAAACTCAGAGACTTATTTGTTGTTCACAAGTGACTCACACAAAACTTACTTCTTTTCGGACTTTCGATTTTTTGTCCATACTAGACATGTTGATATTCTCATAAAGCCTTACAAGTGGTTGGTTTCATTTTTTTCTTGTTTTTTTTTATTCGAAACCTTTTCTGATATTCAATTTTCATAATGAGCAAAGCTTCCAAAAATTATGTCTTCTTTTTTTATTCCTGAACTTTGATGCTAGCCATTTCTTGATGAAGTCAGAGAAAAAGAAGTATTTTTGTGTTTTAATGGATTTTTTTGCGAAAGATTATCTAATTCTATATTAAAAAAAGTGAATTCAGAGAATTTAAGGTTCTGAGAGCAATGGCAGAACTACAAGGAAACATGTGGAAGATGAACGACGAGAAGAAAAAAAGACTTTACCGTCAGCGCCTACGACGAACTTTTTGGAGACATTTTGAAGAATGATGTTCGAAGTCTCATTTTTCTCATTAATCTATATTTTTCAGGTTCTCAGTTTTCGACTGGAAGAACTTCGCGAATATAGTACAAACCTCTCGGATCTAATCGATCAGATTCTACCTCACATTGGCAAAGTAGCCAACGTCCGAGTCGCCAAAAGGGATCATTCAGATCTTGGTGAGGGAAAAAGCAATAAGCACCTTCAAATTCAATTAAATTTAGGTATGACGCCGCTGTTTGTGCACGGAGATCTCTACACGCCAAACCTTCTCTGGAAACTTAATGAAAATGGGAAACCAGAATTGGACAAAATTATAGATTGGCAGGTCGTAAAAATCTCCTTTTTTTCATTTCAATGTCTTTTTTCAGCTTTGCCACTTCGGAAGCCCTGCAGAAGATATCTGTCGACTTGTAATAAGCTCAATGAGACCGAATGAAAGACACGAGTCCATCGATGAAATACTGCTCGATTATTACTTGCATCTCACGTCTCTCATCGACACCCCTCTTTTCGACTTCATGCAGGTTTTAATTTGGCTGAGTGAGGCAAAGATTCATTTCTCTTCTCCAGCTGAAAACTTCCTACGAACACTTTTTTGGGGTCGCCGGCCTCGCTTTTGTCGGGACCATTGTTGAAGTCTCTGGAGCGGCAATGAGCAATTTCCCGAAGGATGAAATCGGCCCGCGAAAGGAAATTATTGTCGACAAAGTGGAAGCCGTTCTCAGCGATGTTCTTAAGAACATCACTTTCTGAAGACCCAACTTATTTTCGTGTACTTTTGAACATATCATCTCTCCAATAAATTTTTCTTCTTGATAATATTTTATTACAACATAACCGTGTCTGCAAGTTGATTCAAGGATGCCCTCTGAGCGTGAAATAAAGAGAAAAAAAAACAATTCATCACTCTGCAAATTCTCTTATTCACGGAACCTTAAGAGTTTTCGTTAGAAATCCATTTCTCAACAGGAGAAGCTTTGAACTTTGAGAGAAAGGCTTCGTATAGCTAAGCCACAAAACACTTTTTTTTGTTTAACCAAACCAAGTAGACAATAATTTTGACATTATTGAATGGGTTTATTTAAATAAATCCGAAATTAGATCCCAGTTGGGGTGTGAAAATGTTCAAGACGTTTCGAAAAAGCGTGAAGAATGCGAGTTCAGACATATAAATGACCTTCTTTTTGTCTCAAGATAGTTTTGAATGAAACATGAAACATTGTAACAGGAACCGCGATGATCTGATTATGGGTAAAATGTTGGGTTCTGGGAAACCCAGAAGTTTAAATTTGAACATATAACCCGGTCTGAAGCTTCACATTTTGATATTTGATTTTGAGTTTCTCTTCTCATAAACTTAAACCAAACTCTTTAAAAAACGAAGTCCATAGAGAACTAGAACAAAACTACAAAAGCCATATGTCCAGTGGAACCAGTTCCAACCAACTCAGAAGTTCCGACCTTTCCACGATATCTTTTCTTGAAGTTTTGATGAAGAAGAGAACTAATTGCTACGATTCTCCGGTGTTCTCTGATGAAAATCAAGATGAAGGACGTTCATCTGACGCCGGAGGCTGTCGTCAGACGTTGGAAAAGCGAGAAGGGCGGGCCGAACCCACTTGCAGCGACTTTCGCAGGCTGAGCAGCGTCGTTGTCATTGGAGCGCACTCTCCGCCGCGGCTGTTGCAATACTTTTTCTCTTCGTTGCCTCCGGCCTTTTATTTTAATATAACGACGGCCAAGTTTCGTATGCGGTCGGATGCTGCGCAAACTGCGCCGCTACAGCGCTAGCACGGCCTTTCACGCCAAAAGAGGAAAAGTTTGTGCTTTTTGCGGCCTCCCTGATCGCCTTGTTTATTTTTTTATCTGCACATTACGGAGGAAGTCGGCGAGGTTTGGACTTTATTCGATCAGAAGTTTTTTATATATGGAAGTTTGTGCACGAAAATTAGTTAGGTTTTGTTTGAAAATGAGTTACTCACGAAAGTCGAAAATCAAAAAGCTTTTTGAATTTCGAGTAAATTTTCTGCTATTTTGATTGCATATAATTTGAAATGATTTTTAATTATTAACTTTTGAGCAAGATTCAAATCAATTTTTATGACAATTTCTCGTGTTTCCATCAAAGAAAAAAATAATTTTTAAATTTATCATTTTAGATAGTTATTTCAATACTTTTCGATTTTCATAATTTTTTTTTACTTTCTCATTCTAAGTTTCTAGGATGAACAGGAGCGGTTCCTTCAAGTCGACGATTCGGAGCCTTTTTTGCCTGTATGTCACATTTTTCCTAAGTCATAATTCAAGCCTTTTCAGATTATCGGGAAAGACTTTGTAGCCGCTGTTTTGGTCGTTTGTGCGACGCGACCAGAAGCTCTACGCAATCACCTGACTCAGCTCCTTGCGTTAGTCACTCTGAAAATAGTACTCTAAGTTCGTTACCTAAATGAGTTTAGAAAACGGCCTTCTGCGTCGCAATTCCCCGTGGTGATCAGCCAAGATGGAGAAACTCATTCAGTTCACCAAGTGGCCAGCAAATTCATCAGTTCCTTCAAAAACGTTACTTTTATGAGGGTCGGTTCCTTTTTGAGTAATTACCCTAATTGTTCTTTGCAGCATAAACAAGAAAAAATATTGAAAGCAAAAAAACGGAACAACTATGCGGCTATTGCAAAGCACTACAAGTGGGCTCTGGATAGGATGTTCAAGAAATTTGGATTTAATTATGTTATAATTACCGAAGGTTCGTGAATTCTGATTAAAGTGATTGATCATTTGTTGTTGAAGAGACTGTGAGGTACGAACAAGGTCGAAAAATGTCGCAAATCTACCTTTTAAGATCATTAAAAGATGATTTTGCTTTGAAAGCTCTATGAGCTTGTGCAATTGTTTCATTTTAGAACAATCCTTTCAAATTGATTCAAACTTATTCTCTGTTGTTTTTCAATCTACTACTTTCCTATTTTCAGACGATCTTGACATTGGAAACGATTTCTTCTCATACTTTGAATGGGCAAAGCGGGTTCTTCAGACAGATCCAACTTTATGGTCAGTTGTTTTATGAATCTGTGTTGTATGATCTTGAAGAAACACCAATTTTACTCTAAGTTTTCGGAATTAAGGTGCGCTTCGGCTTGGAACGACAACGGGTTGCCAAAATTGATCGATGAAAATCAAGGAGATCGGATTTGGAGGACTGATTTTTTTCCTGGCCTTGGTATTTTTTTTGAATTTAATTGTGATCAAAAAAAACTAATCTTCCCTTAAAACCCAAATTAAAAAAAAACATAGTGCACTGAAGTGGATTTCAGTTTTTTGAAACAGGAACTGTTCAGAAAGCATCAAGAATTTTCTCAGGCTGGATGCTTTCCGCCGAAACTTGGAATGAACTAAGTGACAAATGGCCTGGTCAGTATTGGGACGACTGGATGAGACAGCAAGATATCCGCAAAAATCGGTCCTGCATACGACCGGAGATTTGCCGAACCGCTCACAATATGAGATTAGCAGGAAAAGGATCCAGCGGGTTTCCTATCATAAGTGAACCAAAAAATGATTTTTTTTTTCTTAGTGGTATGTTCAAAAGCTACTTGTCATCGATTTCGGCTGCCCACACTTCAACCGAATTCTCTTTGATACCAGTCCAAAAGATGGTTGCTGACCAATACAATAAAAACTTCGTTCAGTTGATACAGGTACTCGAAGTTGGCTACAATTTAAAAAAATGAAAATTGGTGACTCAATTTGGATTATAGTCAAATCACCGTTACATTTTTTCCTGATCAGCAAAACAGGAAAGAAATTTGGAGACTCAGAAGCCCGGTAATTTTTTAAGCGCTCACGCTTGATGGAGTATGAAATTGGTCAAATATATGAGTTTCAAAAAAAAAGTTACAACCTTCTCTGTCGTCCCAAATGATTTTCGTAAACTGCGCAATGATATAAATTTTTGAACGTTACTGAGAATGATTTGTTTCTTTACAGTTATGAATAGGTAAATGAAAAAAAACTTTCTTGACGTTTTGATTATTTTTTATCTCATTTTTCAGAATGCGAAATTGGTCGACATTGAGAAAATAGCAACCTATAGCTGGGAGAAATCGTACGAATACAGGTTATTTTCTGTTTTTCCAGAACTTCCTCAAAATATTTTGTTTATCAGAGTTCCATTCAATTCCGTCAGAGAGTGGCACAAGCTGGCAACACATTTCGGCTTGATGCCCGACATCCGGGTTAGTTTTTGGCTTCAATTTTGGGTGGGATTGGTGTGAAGATGCTTTTCTCATCCAGAGACGAGACATGCAAGTGTTCGCAAAAACATGAATTTATGAGAGAACGCTGACGCGAAAAACCTATTAGCGATGCATAGAGTAGCGATACTACAGTTTCTCAATCCGATGCGTTCGTGTTTTGGCGTGGCGCCGGAAGTTTGGATTATTTCCGATGGGTGGTGTTTGTTGGAGTAGAAAATCTATGCTGATCAAAATATGTAGGAGGCAAAAAAATTAACAGTGAGTTTTCGGGATGAGAAATGAGAACACATCGGTTTTGAGAAAAAGTAAAAATACAATGGAAAATGCAAATATTTAAAGCTTGAATGATTTTTTTTTTTCTCATCCGAAGTACCTTTTTAGTTTTGCTTGTCTTGATAGTGAGTAAAGGTCAAATATTTTGACATTGATGGAAATTTTCAAAATATCTAAAAGGTTAGACAAAAAAAAAAGAATCAAACATTCAGCGAAATTTTTTGGGATTCTCCATTTTGATGCAATTGATTCTGCCTCTTCTAATTTTGAGAAAATGGTGTTTAGTGAAAACATTGAACTGTTAGATTACTTTAAAAAAATTCCGAAAAAAAGCTTTAGGCGTTTTTCTCAAAAAAATTACGAACGAAAAAGCAGAGAAAAAAAGGAAAAAAATGTGTTTGAAGACGAATCTCGGCGCGTTCCTCTTATTTTTATTGCACGTCGGGAATTTTGATGATCGACGATGTCATAAAATTGAATATGGCTGTCCGGTCAAAAATAGGAGATTTTTGAGAATTTAAACTGTTTTTTATTGAAAACAAACCTACGCGATAGCAGGAAATTAAACTCTCAAACGTTTTTTAAAACTGATGATTGGCAGAGAATTTTGTTTTTTTATTCTTTGTTCTCTGAGATTTTCTGTTCCCATCGTTTCCTAAGGTGACCCAGTTTGATGACGGATTGGACAATGTCTGAAAGAACCAAAGTACAAAAAAAGTCTGATGAAATTTCGAGTTTTGTGTTCTGAACTAGAAAGAATTGAGAGAATTTAGTCTTATTCAACCATTTTCGGATCAAAAAAATGTATTCTCTGAAATAACCGGGTTTATCATATGAAAGTTTTTTTATAGCATAAATCAAATTTTTCGTTCGTTTTTTTAATTAAAAGGATGGAAAAAAACAGAGTTTTTTTCGGGTAATAAAATTAAGGTAGAAATTTCAAAATGTATTATTAATTCATTAATTTATCCCACTTATAAATTCTCGAAGATTTTTTTCACCTTGAAATTTCTCACGGAGAAGCTCGAAAAGACAAAGAAAAGGCACCGAAACCAATGATTTTCCAGGGAGGAATGCAACGCACAAGTTATCACGGCGTCGTTTCTTTGATGCATAACGGATGTCGGATCTACATAGTTCCTTTTCAAATTTCTGAAAACGCTACTCTTTTCGACGAGTTCCACTACGACCCCAACTGGGATAAGAAATTCCGGTTTTTGGAGTTCGAAAAAGCTTTCTGCAAGCCTGGAAAGTAAGTTAAACTGTACATTCCTAGTTTGATCCAGAAATTTAAGATTCACTGGTACCTGTGACCCGAAAAATCCTGAGTTGATCGCCTGGTTCAAGAAGAAAAGCTGGCAGAAAAGGCTCGCCGAATGGGGAGACATGATAGTGAACTAGCTTCTAGGAATTTTTTCCCTTTGTCGATCTCAGTTGTAGCTAGTTTTTTTTTGAAGCTGGGTCCTAAAAGAAACATATATTGTCTAGAAATCTCTATTTTCTTCTGGTGCTCTACGGGAACTTTCCATTTCCATCGTGATAATTAGCCGCCATTCTTGTCATATTTTTTTCCATTACTTCGTGCAAAGTTTCATAATGAATCACCTCTGTCATTTCTTTTATACCAAAACTGTCATTTATCCTAACCAAAAGTTGTGTCAGATAAAGAATGTTTACTAGAAGAGTTATGATTCACGGAAAGCGTAACGGTCAACCAAGCAAACACGAATAGTTGAAGACGTTATTTGCCCGCTGTAGCGTCCATCTCAGCTTAGTTTCCTATAGAATGCGGCTAGTTTTGTTATTTTCGTTGCAAACTTCCACAGTTCTGGCCTATGTTAACTGTTTTCTCACAACTCCTAATGGAGAAACAGCTACGACTCAGTGTTCTTCCGGATTCTGTAAAAAGGTACACCGGCGGCTCTGGAAAGGTAAAAGCTCGAATTTTCAAACTGCAAGGAAATATAAAAAAATTTGTAATTAATTCAAAAAAATTTCAGACCCTTCTGGAAAGTTCTTCTTGAATCAATTTAATCATTAGGCTCAAGATTCGGAGCTTTTACGGATAACCTTCTCGGTTTTTTTTTCTGTCTGTAGTTGGTATGTCTGTCCTAATTTACAAAAATGGAGATTTCCATGAGGCTAAAACTCCAGTGGAAACTTTGATGCGTTCATCTCAGAAAAAAAAGAATCTAGCAGTGCGGGTTTTCCTTTGTAAACTTCCGAGAGTTTGCGAAGTCTGGAATAAAAAATCTTCCTTGATGGAAGCTGAAAACAGGGATCAAAATTCTTCAAATAGATAGCTCCAGTGACCAAACTACGTTGAAGGTCATTTTTTTCCAATTTTAATGAAGCTGTGAACAATATTTTTCAGTAGCCAAACCTTCATGTAGGAAACTTGCAAATTTCGAATAATCTGGTTTTTCAGACTCAACTTTCTTGCGATGATACTGGAGACTGTACCAGAACATTTGCTTTGAAGATGCCACTGCAGCAAATCCAGGTCTTCCTTCTTCTAATTATTTCGAAAACTTTTTGGTTCCAGATCGAGGCCTGTCTGTCCGATATTTCCACTCGTCGGACTTGTTGTTGCAACTACGACTTTTGCAATGCCAGCTTTGAATTTTCAATCCTCATACCATTCATTGCTATAATAATTTATATGACCACGAATTAGGCACTTGTTCTTGGGGATATTCTTTGCAATTTAATTATGACGTCGTTGATGTGTACATTCCTTGTCTCGGGCAAATGAACGATTAACAGAACTATACAGAAAACACCCGGAATCACAAACAATACTATTAAAATGATAGGTCCTGAAAATAAGAATATTAGTGGAAGCCGTTGGGAACATTGATACCTATTGCAGTATAGAGTGGAAAAGACACAAAACTGACGACCAGTGCAATTGTATGATTTATGGCTAAAACCACACTTTGAGCTAGCGCTCGGCAACTCAGAGGCATCAATTCTGAAGTGATGAACCAGGCGATTGGCCCCAAAGCCACGCTAAAAAATTACTGGTATTATTTTTTTATTTTCCCATTGCAACCTGTACGATGCTCCGTGTAAGATCAATGAAGCTATACATCCATAGGTCAAAAACGCGAATTTATCTTGAAGCATGGCACAAAGGGAGAAGCTCAGAAGAGCGCTCATATTGACGATGGAACAGCCGACAAGAAGCCATTTTCTGGGAAGCCTTTCAACCAAAAACATTCCAACGAGTGTTGATATGGAACTGAAAAATAGTTGAAAGTTTTTTCATTCAAAGTCATTGTCTTTGAAAGACCTCACGAAGAGCATTGCCGTTGAGACGAATTCCGCGAGTTCATAAGAGCTACCCGCACGAGTAAGAAAGTCCGTGGAATAGTATACTATCGGCCAGACTGAGGTTGTTATTTGCATGGTACAAACACCTAAAAAAAAATCAAAGTTGGAACGAAAAAAAGTTACAATCAACCTAGTAAAAATCCTTTCCTAAGATGAGGTGTTTGGAAAATTGTCAACAAAGAAGTTCCCTTCTCATCGTTTTGAGATTCCTTTTTGATCTCCTCGATTGTCTTCTGCGCGGTGATTTCGTCTGAATTTTTTTGTTCAAAAAACGTTTTTTAATAGAGTGCATTAACTCCTGAAAATCTTAAAAACGGAATGGCGCCACTTTTTTTTGAAAGGCTTTTTGTCAACAGATTGCCGTGAAAAAGTTTTCAATATCAAATTTTGTATCGGTACTTTGATAGGGCTCCCTTTAATTTAATTTTGAAGTCGAACTTGTGAGGTTTTCACAATTGGGAATTCTTCATACAAAGTTCAAAAAAAATTATTATATATTAAGATTCAGTCAAACTATGAGCTAAAAGTCAATCACCATTTTTGATATCACCGTTACTTTTTCTGCTTTTTTTTTATCAAAACGAACTTTCATCCCAGTCATTTGACCTAGCAATGCTCTGAGAACTACTGTATTTTGTTCTTTGTCCTATTGGCCGCATAAACATCAGCCGGAACTATAATCAACGCCGATAACAAACCAGGCCGCTGATAAAATCGAAGAGATTTGATGGCGGCGCCATCATCTCTTTTCCGCAACAAAAGATATCTCGGAGACTCGTGAAGATGCAAAGAAAGAAGCACAGACAAAAGAGTAGGAATACAAGATAACCTGAAAGATTTTCAGATGTTCTGAGGTGGAGTTGGAAGAGTTCTCACCCGACAAGCATGACCAAGTTGGAGCCAAGAACACCTTGCATCCCACAGATCGCTCCGATCAAGTTGGTTATAACAAAGGCCATCTCGGCGTTGAATGAAACAATTCCTTTCAAGTTCGATGGAGCACTTTCCTTAAAATAAACTTTTTTCTCATTTTCTACACATCTTTCCATAACAGCAACTTTCTTGCTCCTAACTTTTGACTTCCATAAATTCGACTCACTTGGAACAATAGAATGAGACTGTTCATTGAAATAGCCGCTGAGAAAGACATAATTAATCTTGACAAAGCGAACATCCAGGAAACATAAAAGGCGATAGAAACTGTGGCGACCACGACAGAAACCAAATTCCCCATATTTCCCAGGATTAGAGTCGCTGAAAGTTTTCTTTTTCATTTTTCGTTATTTCTTTTTGAAACCAAAAAGTACGGGGCACTCTTATCAATCTGTCACAAAGTGTTTCCATACATGGTGTGGGTCAGACACCGGAATCAAAATCATTCAATTTCAAATTTTGGGACCACGTGGAAATGATAAGGTTTTTTCTTGTAGAAGGATGTTTTTTTGATAAGGAGCATTCTAAAAGTTTTGATCTGACTGCAACGGAAAACTGAATAACAATTACGTATTCGGATATTGCTATAAAAAAATAATAATGATAAACTTATTTTTTTCTATAAAAAAAGCTGACATATTTTTTTCCCACCGAAGGAGCGATGCTAGATATCAGAAGAGCTTTCAAACTTCGATTTTATAAATAATAGTTCGTAGCTACGAAAGAATAAAATTCTAAATCTTGAAATCAGACGACAGAAATCTGTGATGCTGAGTTTTTTTTTTCTTAAATCATCTTCTTTTCTCCGCTACCAATCGACAAAACAAAGTAAAAATTAAGAAACAAGTAAGAATAAACTGACGTTTCCTTCCAATCCGATCAGCAATAATTCCTGTGCACAAGCTTCCGATGGCGAAGCCGACGAAGTAAATGTTCAGAGTGGCCGACCAGATCCACTCGTATTCCGTATTGCTCAGTTCACCCGGCGGATTGTGCGAAGCGTTGAGATATTCGCGGAAACTTGTGATTGCAGTGTTTGGGTAAGCATTTGTGTAGCCCATCTGCAAAACTCAACGTTCTTCATTCATTCCTATCTGATCAGTGAAATTTGTTAGTAGCATCCTATTGAAAAAGTACATGAAAAAGAAGGTTTTTTTTGAATTATCAGAACTAGGTTCGTAAAAATATCTAAGTTTCCAAGTCAAGCCGAAAACCTCGTTTTATCGAACTTACACCATTTTATAAGAATGGATAACTGTTGAGAAATTTTTCACTCAACTTTACGTTTCCCTTCATTTATTCTCCAGTTTTAACTTTTTTTTTTCCTTGAGCTATTCAAATTTCAATTTTACTTAGTCTCTTGCAAATTTTCGTAAAATGTTAGCCATAGAGCAAATTTTCCATCAAGTCTATTTCACTTCTAACATTGTTGGCAATAGAGCGCACGTTCTGTTTTTTTTTGTTTTCTATAAAAAGCGGTGTTTTTTTTTTGTCAGAACAGTGCTGCTTGTTTCTTGAGAGTAAATTTAATTCCTAAGTTTGGTTTTTTCCTGATTCCCTGAAGTTCACCAGAACCAATGCTAATTGGTCTCGTTTGGGTCTAACAATCAAAGCGTTCTCCTCTGATAATGTCTGAAATGATAAAAAAGTTCAGTTGTCTGAAGTAAACTTGTCTGTTTGCTTCAGAAATCAAGATTGAAGCTAATGAGAGTTGGCAACCACGTGAAAAAAAAATGGCCGCTGAGAGCAAGAGTTCAAATGTCCAGAAAATCTCCGATTGTTTACTCGGAGCACATGGAAGACAATTCAGCCCCGTTTCTTATGAAATATCACAAAATAGTTTGTAAAAAAAAAGAGAAAAAATTATAAAGTTAGTTTTTTAATGTATTTTTTCTGAAGTTTTTTTTGAAAGCTGTGCTATAATTGTTAGTGTTTTGTGGAGTATCACAAACTTAAATCCCCTTGTTTCTTTCTCTTCGAACTTCATTTGCTCTCAAACTCAAAAAAAAAACCTGAAAGACTGAGCTCAAGGCCAATAGAGCAGTGAGCAGCAGCAGCCGCCATTTCGCGTCCATCGATAATTGCCTGGGTCGCCAAGACTCTGAGAAACTCTTTTTTTTCTCCAAAAATCGTTTTTCTCGGTTCTGTGCAGCGCAGATAACAAAGGTGCAATAACAATTGGTGCGAAATCAACGGGCAGAAAATCAAAGAATCACTGAAAAGTTGGCAAAGAAATAGTTGATGCAATGCGAGAGAGAAAATGAGAGCATTAAAATGGAAATTCGAGCACTTTAAGCTTGAACCTTTTGAGCTGGCGCGCAAATATCGGGAGTTGGGTAATTTAAAGCTGATTTTGATAGTATTAATTTATTTAGAGATTTCACATTTTGGAAGTGTGGAGAACTAAACATTGGAAGTTATGAAATAATGATTCGTTGATTTAAAGCTATAAAAAATTATACTTGAAAAAAACGAGTTTCCACTTCTCAGAAGCTGTTCGCAAAAACTTTCTAGAGGGGGATCATACAGCTAGACGTAAAATTGAACTCATTTTACACTTGAAAAACCGGTTTCAAACCCCGATTGATTAGAAAATTTTTTTTCATGGTTGTCTACCTTTTTAGGTCTTATTTTTGTATCGAAGTACATAATCAAAAGTTTTCTGTAGAATTGTGTTCTTCAATGACTTCTAAAGAAAATTAAACGAAAATTTGTGTTTCGAGATCTTGGTTATAACCTTATTTTGAAATAGTCTGAATACTTTTTTCAATAACCAAATAGAGTCGAAAATGGGAACGTGAACTTTCAAAAAAGTACAAAAATCAACAGCTGTTTGAGAGCCAAATCTTATCACTGTCCAACTTCATTCAAAAAGTAGGTTGGAAGAGAGAAACCAAACAGTCGTCTTAAAACCGTAATTAATCCGATTTGCAAACATTGTCGTCTATTGGAACTGGTCTCGTGAGAAATGGTCGTGAATCAAAGAATCAAAAGAAAAAAGAAAGGTTGAAAAGTGATCTCAACGAACCTTGAAGTTAGAAGGAAGACAACTAAAGCTCACAGTTTTGAACCGAAAAAGTTGGAAAACAGGAATAAAGTAGGAGGAGCCTCGTCCTGCAACGGTGTCAGGTCATCTTTCGATCTCGAAGGGCAGAATTTTGGGTAAGACAAAAGGAAAGGCAATGAATGGACAAGGTAGGACAAAAGAAGGTACGCTTTTGTATGGAAAGAACTTGCACAATCACAACTTTCAATCAAGGAGGAATGCGTTCTCATTCCCACCCAATCGCGATGATAGTTTGCTGGGACTTTGCGTTAAAGATTTGTGATCATGAGCTCATAAAGTGTCACTTTCTTTCTTAAAAAACTTTTTTGTTCTACAGAAAACAGTTTTTTTCTTGGTAATGAAAAATTTTTAAATCTCAAAAGTCCAAAAACTCCGATCTCGAGTTTCTTTCTTTGCCGGAGACAAAGTTATAATCTCAGTTTGAAGTTTTTTATGTTCCACAAAAAGCGACATTGACTGGCACTTTCACAGCATTGTTTTCGAAATATTGGAAACCAGTCCATCAACTTTTCAAAACTCGGCTTTGCAGCCACATTTTTGCCGAGATGGTTGTAAAATACATAAACTTTTTCAGTCCATAAATGTTTCCATCAATAAGACAACGTAGAATAGTTATTTTTTTAATTGTGTAAAAAAATGATGAAAGTTGAAAAAAACCTTCTTCCAAAAAGTTTTGTCCTCATAACATGAAACACCTCGAAATTTGAAAATCTGATGAAATGGCGGGAAATATTATGGTGGTTTATTTAAAAAAATAACCTTTTTTTATTTTTTTCTTTCAATCAGAGATTAAATTCTCATACCTCGAAAACAGAGGAATTGAATCAAAAAAACTAATCATTTTTTTGATTGGAAAAATTTTCAGTCAACACATGAAGAAAGTTTTTTTCCTAAGATTGTTTCTCGGAAAAAAATTTTGATTAGTTACGATGGTCTGAAGTCGAGAGCGAAGTCTCAACTCAGTTTCGGGGCATTTTAAAAAAATTTTGAAAGTTTGAAATAAAAATAAGTAGGAGTTCCGACAAATAAGGTCTGAGTTTTTAAAAAGTTGAGAGTCCAGCTTGTGTACGACCTACAGTAAATACCATTGAAAAAAAAACTTTAACCAAAGCCGTTATGACAGAAAACCGGAACTGGAATGAGTGAAGCGGGAAAAATTCTTCTGAAAGATTGAAAAATAAAGGAAAATTATTATTTAATTCAAACTGGTTCAATTAATCAGATCTACTATTGACAAAAAAATTGAAACTCCTAAAAAATTTAAATTTTAAGGGGGAGGGACTCTATTCTCATGCTGAAAAAAGAAAGTTACGAAATTCTCAGCCGGGTTTATATTATCGCAAAATTAGCTCATACCCTTTGTAATGATGTTTTCTTTTCCACCCTCCGACGGATATTTTGAATTCCGCAGAATCTCTTCGAAAACGGAATTAACGACGTCTCAAACTCATTTTGGAAGGATAAGTTTTTCTCCTGTGAGTTTTTGATGATATTCGCGGATGAGGGCCTTAGAATTACATCAGAACATTTTTCAAAAAACAATAAAGGAATTAGGCCATTTCTGCATATTGAAAAGAGCCAAGAGTTTCGAAAAGCGTTTATTATCGAGTCGAAAATGGGAAAAAAGCAGGAAACACAATTGGTGTCTAGAACTCGCAATCGTCGTAGACGGCGAAGACTCCGACCTTGTCGATGAGCTCGACGCTACGAGGCAGCGACTCGTCGGCGAAGACGGCGAACCGCATCGTCTGAAACTCTCGAGTGGGCGGATGGGGCCGCCGACGCCGCGCCAAAAACCGACGCGTCGCCACCGCCCTCGCCACGAAACATTATACCAATCCGATTGTTCGGCGTATTACTTGACCTCATGTTGTTTTTGTCGGCTTTACATGTACTTAGGTCCTTGGGTTTCTTTGTTCTTTGTGCCGAATGCACTTGTTTTGGTTGATAGGAGCACAGACGACTTTTTTGCGATCAGTCCGGAACTAATCTTCCTTGTTTATCAATGCTGGATTGAAGTAATAGCTGAAGTTGAACGTATGACCGAACTTTTTTGCTAGAAACTTGGAGTCTAGATAAAATATGCCTTCTTATTTTTTTCCGAAAAAAATTTTTAAAAAAATTGCCAAAGAGCATCAAAATATTCTACTACTTCTCAATAAGATTTCAAAGGACTGTTTTTGTTCTAAGCCTTTTTTCTCAATGTTGCTTACTATTGATGAATTATGAGATCAAACAAAAAAATTAAGGATTATACAAACCTTGATATCACTGCAAGTTGCATTCGAAACGTCCCAGTCTTCATTGGGCTGCAAAATGAAAAAAATAAACCGGGATATCAAAAATAATTCGAGAAAAATAGGGGAAACTTGATAATATAATCTATTACAGCTTGATTGGAGTATAGTCGAATCAAATAGTTTTAAGATTGAGGGAAAAAATTTCGTGGTGTTCAAGAATGTTTTGGAAACGGTAATCCACTTTTTAAACGCTTCAAAAATCGCGATTTTCTCTGGAAAAAACTTTTTCAGTAAACAATCAGGCTTAATTAAGATGTTTCCAAAACTTTTCTCCTTTTTTTTCACTCACTGAAAACTGGATTAACAATGATTTTTATGGAACTCAGGCAGATCTGTGAACTTTCCAAGTTCAAAGCGGCAACGATCAAATTTCACGATCTGTTTGGACACTTCCAACAGCTTTGTTATCAGCGCGGCCTTCATTACAAATACGGATGATTTTTATCGATGAAACTCACTGGCTGCGCGTAGATCGAGTCGAGCAAGCCGACCTGCACCCACACGTCTTCCTCGTTGAGAGCACATTCGAGAGGAGCTCCAATATCGTCCTGAACTTTGTTTCATACATCAAGAAAATAAAAGTCTTCTGGAGTTTTTTTGAGAACTAGTCTGCTCAAAAAAAGTACTACTAAACTACACTCATGAAGGCGTCGAATTATTTGAGCTGAAAGAGATTCTGAAAAGACAGAACTGCATCTCTGAACTGCCTTTCTACCTAACCTCTTTGGTCGCCATAGATATTTTTTTTTGGAATCTCTGCAAAAGTGTTCTAAAATATGAATTGAATTATAACTAAATGTTCGAAACATGGGAAAGCAAAACATTGGCTCTCAACATTCGAAGCCTCAGGCATACCCAACACGCGGTGCCAGCGTCGCTCACTTCCGCGAACATCAATGTCTCAGAATCTTCTTTCAGTTTCAACTCAACCGACATCGCCTTGCTGCTTTCCACCGAGTCGATGGCTAAAAAGAACGTTCCCATTTCTTTTTTTTTTGAATCGTTTTTATTGGCAATACAAAGTTCTTTCTGTTCATTCTTAGCTCTTTTAAATGCCTCACGCAAAAGACAAGAAGATGGACCATCTAGATAGCTGTTAGCAAAAAGCTCACAGGTGCTTTTAAGAGACGATCTTTGAGAGGTCGGAAGAGGAAGAAACTGTTTTTGAAGTGAAAAAAGTTCATGGAAAAAAACCTTCGTGATTTTTTTCTTGGAAATACTAGCTCAAAATAGTTCACCTTGGTCCAATCGTTTTTAAGAAAACAAAGTTCCAGGCTTTTTAGTTCATATTTTTCACAAACTAAACGCACGATCATCTTCAGTTTTGAATCCTACAAGACGGCAATGTTTGTAGACAAGATCCAAAGGATCAACATGGTTCCAAGGTGTTTTCAGAAGCGTCGGCTTGATGTTCAGTCGAGCGACGCGAGGAGGAGCTGGAGCAGGCTCGCAAACCTGAAATTATTGTTCATCTGATCAAAAAATTCCTCCGAGCCCAACCTTGGTCTGGATTTTGTGAATCTTTATGACGGCAACCTCGCCTTCAGCGTGAACTGACAACATGGCTCTTTTCAATGTTTTCTTTGTCTTGGGAAGAGCGATAATTAAAACTCCGTCGTAGGTCCTGGAAGAAAAATTATGAATTTTTATATCGCTGTGTTTTAAACGTTTCTGGAAGATTCGGGAAACATTTGATGCTGGTGAGGACGGCGGATGGCGAAATCAGCGTTCCAGTGCACGCAGTCGCGTTGTCCGTGTTCCTTTCTCGCAGAAGAATCTGAAGTCATGGCTGGATAAGAAAACCATCGCAATTAGTTTGATAAAGTCTGAAAAAAGCAGAAGATGGAAGGAATCGACAAATTCATTGGTTCTAAAATAAAATTGAAACTCCCTGACTTTATATTAAAAAACCCTTTTTTTGAGAAAGGAAATTCTAGAGTTTTTTATTTTTCGCTTAGATGAGAATGAGCTTTTTTAACTTCATTCTAGCAACTATTCCAATACTTCATGAAGCTGTTGGTTACTTGAGGACAACGGGAACTTTCGAGCATTCTGGGAAACCTTGACGAGATAGCCGTGACGATTCCAGTCGATGTCGTCGCCGTTGTGGACGCCCTGGACGCCGAGGAGAAGAGCCATGCAAGCGAAGACGACGGCGAACATTGCAGCGAATGAAGAGGAAAACCTTTCAGGCCTTGGCGAAACTCTCGATGTAATGTTTTTGTAGCTATTTCGATATGTCGGAGGCGTTTCATAAGAATCGTTTCTTTCCTCCCACCTTTGTTAATGGATTTTCATCGAAACACTGCGATGAAATTTTTTTATTTTCTCCATTCTAAAGTAGTGCAAGTGCGTGGGTAGTTGTGCGACAATTACGAAATATCTCTTCGAATCACTGGAAAAATGAAAAGCCAACAACAATAAATAAATATGCAATGACCGGATGGGAGGGGAAACTATGCTGAGAAAGAAACCAGAGTAGTACTGCTTTGAGCTATTAACTTATCAATTCAACAAAAAAAGAGGAACAAAGAGCCTGAGTCTAGTATATTTGTGTGAGTAAGGTGAAAAAAAAAACAACAAGAAAAAAAAATTCAAAAAAAAAATACAAGAAGGTGTTGGAGAAGCAGGAAAAAAAAAACAAAAACAAGGAAAAAAAAGTTAAACAGGTTCAGACAGATCGGATCGAATCGTCGACGCTTACTCACAAAATCCAACATTCCGTCAGATTTTTTTCTGGAAGAAAGCAGCAAATTTTTGATATTAAAAAAAACTTACTTCGTAAACTTGAGATCTTCTGTAAGAACGTCTACCGTGAATCTCCCTGCTTTTCGGCCGTTTTTGCATTTTGTCGCGTCGCTTGGAGCTAATCGGTCTGCCGACCGTCTTTTCTTGTCTATTTTCACGGCTGTACACGGCTCTCCTTGGGTCATTTTGGGGCTGTTTTGGTTCACAAAATGTCAGAAAATAAAAGCGTCACACTTACAAACTTCAAAACCGCTGTTCGAGGGGGGACTTCCACTTCGAGAACTCGATATGGAATCGGCTTTTCTTCTCCAAGAACAGGAAAAAGAGCGTCAAATTCTGTTTTTGAAATATCTTTCATCCTTGGATCCGTCGCATCTACTATTGAGCGTCCATGTCGGTGACGGCGAGGGTCGGCATCGAACCCCTATTTTTAGTCACAGATTGATTTCTTAGAACAAAAAAAAAACTCACATACTCTTCGACTGGTTGGCGGAAAGGAACCCGCACAACATAAAGTCTATAAGGGTGCTAAAACGAAAAACCATGTAAATAATTTGATACTCTCTCACTTCTTTGTTTTCGATGGGTTTCGACATTTTAGAAAGATGGCCCTTTGTATTTTTCGTCTGAGAGAGCTAAAAATACGGTGATGATCGATCAGTTTCTGAAACTATACAAGAAAAATATAAATTTGTAGTATTTTTGAATTGAAGGAAAAAGTCAACAAAAAAATGAGATATAAGAAAAAGCAACAAAAAAAGAAAGGGCAATCAAGAATCTAACTGGATCGGCAATCGTTTGCCCTCGGTTCGGTATTCTCTGGCATAGGCGCATGTAGTCGTTATTTGACCCGATCTTGATCTTTCGGTAGGCAAGTCCGTTTGCTCAAAGTTTTTTTGGTAAGTCCGTCTTTTGTTTGATCATCATGAAAAACATCTTCAAAATTGACAAAGTTTTTTTAATATGTTACAAACATATTTTTCTTTTTTCAACGCGTTTTTCGAAACTTTTTATTTGGAATAACTCATTTTTATTTATTCCAAAACTTTTTGGAATGTTTCTAAACACTATTTGGATAGCTTGCATATTGAAAAATCTATTTTCATCACTCTTCTTATTCACTTTCTGATCTTGCAACCAAATCTAGTTTTTTTGAAAAATTTATATTTACTTAATTTTTAGATTTGGAGCACAAATTTCCTTTTTTTCGGTGTTAAGAATTTCATAAATATAATATACTGTTTATTCTGGGAGATGATGATTCTAGCGATTTTTGCTTGAAGCGAACTTCGTGTTGAGCTCGGAGCTTTTAGTAGCTTGAAAAATTGATCTGTAAGTGAAAATTTCAATGGAAATCTCTCAGAAGTTTTGACGAGGCTTCACGATTGGCCGCAAAGTCGAATCGATAATTAACCGATAGATAAATGGCACCATCGAACCCACCTCGCTCTTCCATTCTGCATCTTTTCAAAGCAGGAGTCGCTCCGGTTGACATCATTAAACGGCTCGGAGTCCCAAGTAGAACCGTCTATGACTCGATTTTTTGTTTCACAAAGCACGTTCTTGAATAGATGTGGGAGAGGAAGAAAAGCAAAAGTCGTCCTTCCGGATCGGATCAAAGCTGTGAAAGAAATCCATTTCGGAGCATCATCAAGATGGTGAAAGATATGGAAATTCGTCGAAGCTCGATGGAAAGGATCGTCAAAGACAACTTGAAGCTCACCTGTTATCGTGTAAGAAAAGCAGCCATTCTCTCGGAAGCTACAACCAAGAAACGGCTCGAAAGATCAAGAAAGCTCCTTCAGCGCACGTGCACTGGTGAACTCTTGGTTACAGTGTTCTCTGACGAGAAGCTGTTCACGGTACAGGCCGAATTCAACCCTTAAGATCATCAAGTACTTGCTAAGACGTCTGACGAAGCTTTTGGTAACGGAAGGACCATTCATCAAGCCTCTCACCCCGCTAGTGTGATCGTTTTCGGAGCAGTGTTTGCTGATGGCAAATCACCATCGCTATTTGTCGGTCAAGAAGTCAAAATCAACAAGGAAGTCTAAATTTCGGAGATTTTGGAAGACACTTCTTCCCTGGACATTTGTCTGCGTTCATCCCGTAGCACTAACGGCCGTCGTGTTCACCAGACCTCAATCCTTTGGACTACTCCCTCTGGGGTTTTGCAGAATAAGGTCAACGTTAAAAACCCTCAAGTATTGAGGCCCTGAGGAAGACCCTGGTCAAAGAAAGGGACGCTTTATCGCCAGATTACCTGCGTGCAACCATCGACGCCTACCCTAGACGTCTTCGTGCTGTCATCGGAAAGAGAGGAGGTCCGGTGGAACACGATTAGCTCATAATTGTTGTTATAGTCTGTGTGCCACGACTTGAAATTTCATGGAACGACATTCCGCTGTACCGCTGCGCGCTTTTGCGAACCTTGGTCGCGCTATTGATTTTTTTTTCTTTTATCAAGGTACTGTACTTTCATGTGCTTCCACAGCAATAACAATCAATTGAAAGCTTGACCTATATTCGAAAGACGCTTCGCGAACGCACGCAGCGGAACAACGGAATGTCGTTCCGTGAAATATCAAGTCGTGGCACACAGACTATATGATCTTGAATAAACTTTTTGTTGATTTCCATGGTTTTCTGACTTTTACTTTTTTATATATAGCACTTATAGCTTGTGCGGGTAATTTTGGGCCACACTGTAGAGCAGAAATCCGTTCGATTTTTGCGAGTTCGGTGAGTAATTCCTGATCGGCTTTATTGTTTTCAGCGTATCTTTTTTCATGTTCTATTCCCAAATGTCTCAGCTCTCATTATACTTTTCATTTATGTACTTCAAACTTTAGTTGTGCTTTTTTGTGGAGCTGAACATTAGAACTTAAAACTTCAACATTTTATGTGATCGATCGGAACTTTTTCTTTGCAGGCAGAGATATAACACAATTTATGTATACAAATTCATTTCATAGGCTGTAACCATAAAAAGTGAATTTCAATCGAAACAATAAATAGACCTCGAATTTCAATCATACAAATAATTGGGTGAACTGATCAAAAAGCACAATATAAATAAATAGGAAACAATCAAAGGTTTCTAAAGTTCTTCGTGATTTTTGCTGGCAGTATCCGAGCCATAGATGACGCTCTTCACTTCCTCGTCGTACTCCTTCCATTCAGGAATGATCCTCACAGCAGAATCCAGTTTTGGTTCTTTTGTCAAGGGGTTGTTGCACTGAAAACCGAAATATAAGTTGAAAATAATACTTATTATTTTACCAAGTCGATAGTCTTTGCGCTTCTCTTGCTGGAGTCGTCGCACCAAGTTTCACACCAGAGCCATTCCTGCGGCAAAGACTTGATCTTGACTTGATGGATCATGTTGTTCGGCAGATCCTAAAAAGGAATTTTTCTCAAGATCTGCAATAATGAAAAAAACCTGATCCAAGTTGGAAAGACTGTTAGGATCGCTGGAGAGTCCTTGGTATTGACCTCGGAGACGGTCCCCGGCGGCGATTTGACGGAATTTTTGTAGGTCAATGACGTAGAGAGCACTTAATCATTTTTTTTTAGAATAGTTTAGTTTGTGTACCTAATGTGGTAGCGTCTTCCTGCCAGATGGTTAGCCCAGTAGCCTTGTTTCCAGAACCGGAAGCCGTCCATTTCTTTGCGGCTGTCACAGAAAGGCACGTAACTAAATTATAATTTGTTTCCAGATAGAAAAACATTATTGCGAACCCATAAGGAGCTCCGCCAAGATCAAACTTCATGAGCTCCATGAGGTCAGATCGGACGACTTGATCAGCATCGACAAAGATAATTTTGGAGACGTCAAGCGGGAATAGCACATCGAGGAAGAGAATCTTTGATTTGATACTGTTGTTGGTTTCATGTTTGGAAGTCGAAAACCTTGTATCCCCACATGATACGATGCTTCTCCTTTTGATTATGCAGCCAACGTGGCCATTTGTACTCGACCAACGCGTATTCGAAGCCATAGTGCTCAGCCATCAGAGGAAGACTTTCCTGCAAAATTATCGATGAGAACTTTATAAGAATATATTCTCTGCAAATTACCTTAAACTGAGGAGAGAGGTAATTCTTCAGAAGCCAGAACTTCACAGGGCTTTTCGTGTTTTTCATCACAGACAAGATCATGATTCGCATGAAGCGCTCGTACAAATGTCCAGAGGCCAAAGAGAAGACGTTGATCTTCTCGTTTTTTTCACGATCCGCCACAAAGCTGAAAAGATACTTCATCCCTTATCTCTATTAAAATCGAACCTGCTCAAGCTGGACCAAATGCCGTCTTCTCCGTCATCAGACAGGACGTTTCGATCTTCCATACCAGGAAGTTTTGACACTCTGACGCGGATCGACTTTCCAGAGAAAGAATCTGAAGAAAGGTTTACAAGAAGACTGTTTTCTTTTTCAACCTATAACAACACGGACAATCTGGTCTTTCGTTGGCTCAGTTCCGACATGACTAGATATCTGATAAATTTCTTTAGAACGTCCATCTCGCAGTTGAAGCTGCCAAGCACCAGGAGTTGCCTCAAAATGCAAAATAAATAATTATTTCTGCAATTTCGATATCACTTTTAGTTGGAAGTAGCCCAAGTTGGCCATAACGATTGTATCGAATTGACTTGGGTTGCTCGGCGTTCCGAGAACGAATTGCAAGCCCCGTGGCGGCTGGCCGGAGACTTCGTCAAAACATTGTCCTTCCAGTAGAAGATGTTCAAGTGAAAATACAGCCACGACGTCGGATTCCACCTGAGACTCAAAACTATCCGAAGGCTCTCTTTTTTGCCTACTTGTTCTAGTTTGATGTTGTCCAGATCGTACTTTGCGAAAACAGCTTCTACCATCCAGGAATCCGGAGCGTGCAGAGACATCGTCAAAAGTTGCTTTTTCGGAAGGCCTTCGAATCTAAAATTGAACTCGTTATTTTTCTCAACCTTTATTTTCTAACCGAACTACGTTGGGAGACATTTCTCCTTTTTGGTCAAACTGGACTTCTGCGGGAGCCACGTATCGGTAGAATCTGTAATTTCATAATTATTGATCAGTTTACATCGGCCTCAGTACCGTTTGATAGGAAGTTCGCTAAGTTTGCCTTTCGGGTTCATCACAACCTTGATGTCGCTGTTGGTGATTTTGCGGATAACTTCAAGAATTGGAGCCAATTTCTGAGCAGAAGGCGTCAATGGATCAACTACCGCTACCACATCCATTGCGGCTCGATCTTTGTCAACAGAATTCAAAGTAACGACGCTAAAAGGTGATATGAAACTTTTTTGAGAACAGTTTAGATACCTGTTCTTGTCGTTCTTGAGAACAACCCAAGTTCTCTTTTTGGCATTGGCATATTTCCCAACAAGAGTGAAACTTGAAAGAACAAGATCCGAAGATTTGCCGTTCTCTTTTTCCACTTCCCACTTGTCGATGTGCTTGGCCAAAGTCTGAGAAAATAGAAACAATTATTTTTTTTCTGGGAAAGGGCATACCTCTGAGCCACGAGAAATCAAAAGCTTTTCCAAAAGCTTGAAGTCAGAATCGTCCATTCCTTCTCCGCTTTCAAGAGGACCAATGATCATGCCATTCGCAATGACAGCTCTTTGTCCAATTTCCAGCCCCACGACCTCGGTCAAGTATCTAAGAATATACGGGTTACTTCAAAATAGTTTTTGAACAACTTTGATTCCATCTGAATGCGATCACAAGTGAAAAGCTTTTTCTCCTTTAAGAAGCGCTCAATGTTCATTCCTCCAACGGCAATTTCTTCGAATTTCAATTTGCCGCTGATGAAATCTCTTGCGAATTCTTCCTGCAAGAAATGGATTTATGTATGAAAAGATGATCTAAGCCACCTTGACAAGTTTGGAGACCAGAGCTTTGGCCTGAGAGGTGGGCAAGAGACGGAAAGCGGCCTGAACATAAGAGGAGATGCTGTTTCCTTCGCAAGTCTTCTTCTCATCAGCTGGGTTCATCAGAAGACCGATCTGAATTCCCAAAAATTTTTTTCAGATTATTATAATTTTATTTTTTTACTCGGATTTTCGAGCTCGACTTCAAAGACTGCAGAGAATTGTAAACGAGCTCTCTTCCTTCCTTATTTTCCAAATCCGCGGCAATCCAAAGAGTTATTGGCTGTATAACAACTTTTTATAATAATTCTCAATATCATAAAAAATACCGTGGTAATGTCACTTTCTGTTGATTTCTGCACGTACTTCATTTTGTCCATCACGCAACTTCCTTTATCTTCAGCCGTGAGAGCGTTAAACTGAGTTAAAGTTTTTGCTTCGCATTCTAAAATTCCAGTTCAAGAAAGCTTTTTTTTTTTGGAAGACTCTAACGTTTTCCGCTGAAAAGGTCGACGTATCGCTTTTCACTAGGAGCGTTCAGAATTCTGTCGTTGATTTTTGGCATGACGTCCTTTTGATCCAAAAGCCAGTTGGCGACGTTTCCACGATCTTGCAGGCGACCTGAAATCAAAATTACACATCATTTGCCCTTTCGAATACTTCAAACCTTCCATAACAGCTTTTTGAATTTTCGGCGTTATTTTCATGACCTCGGTCATCACAGCTTCTTCAATGGAATCACCTTTGATCTGAAATCAAACATTTTTCAGTTCCTGTGGCTTTGTTTCTGACCCCAGCGTCTTCGAGAGGATAACCGTTCAGAAGGACTTTTGGCGCTTTGTTCAGCCCAGATCGTTTTAAGAATTGAGCTCCCGCCTGAATTTTTTATTTCAAAAACTTATTGAATTACACTAACCGATCGTCCGTTGTCGTAGTCAGATTTCGGTCCACAGACGTCTTCAAAGCTCAAGTCTGAGTTGCGCTTTGTGAAATACTTTTTGACATCTTCCACTGTGAACGTAGTGTCACGGAAGATGTCGAGGAACTGCAAAGAGGAAGAAATAATTCTCTTCAAAAAATAAAGTATACCTCATTGACAATCTTGAGAGCTTCTTCGTTGGAAGAATCAATCGAGAAGTAGTTGAAGATGTTGAGCAAAGCCACTCCAGCATCGTCCAACCCGCTCACTTCCTTATCTGCGTTAACAGCGAATACGATACCGATTCTGAATTTTTGAATGGTTTGAAGAACTTTTCAAAAACTTTTTCACCTCAAAGGAACTTCATGACGGAAGAAAGAATGAGCAATTTTCATCAAATTGCGGCTTTCTTTTTCGGTTGGATCAACAACGAAGACCAAAGTGAAGAGATTCCGAGCGATCGGACGAATCATTCCGGGGTAGTAAGGCTGGAGCATCAGTCGGACGCTGTTTCCCCATTGCTTGTATCTTTTGTCAGTGTCCAGGTTGTTGATGAACTGAAACAATGAAAACAGATGCTACCCATCACGGCAAGAAGATTTCTCACGAATGGGTAGGCATCTCTGTAGTCGACAGCGTAAGTTATTTTCTCGTCTGACATATCCAATCCAACAAGCACGGACAAATACTCTCTCTGAGACATTTTCGTTCTGTTTCGGGATAGTCAAGAAAAAATTACGTTTACGCCTAGGTTGTAGAAGCCGGTAGCTAGTTTGTCTTCCTGTTTCAAAGTTTCGACAAGTTGGAACAAATCAAGACTGTCCACGTCGAAGTTGATTCCATTCAGAAATAGTGCGCATTCACCGGCGTCAACTCCTAAAATGGTGATTCCAACGAGAAGAGAATGGGTCACAAACCAATTTCTTGAAGGCTGTTCTGGTTAGCTTCAACTTCTTTTCTCATTTTATTGTTGACAGCTACTCGAGACAGAGATCTGAACAAATGAAGTGAAGATTTTTTCTAATTAAGGTTCACCTAGCATGTAGAGGGAAATTCTGTGATAACTGCGTGAGCATGGCGAGAGCGTTGTCCGAGTCTTCGTTGAGGATTTTCTGAGCTGCCTGGTAGCTGAGGTCCTGCACTTGCCAGTTCTTCAGAGGAGCCAACTCGTCCACTTCCTTCAGGTGCATTCGGAAAGAATCCAAAGACTCGGCGACGTCACTGTGCAACTTCCTGAAAGGCACAAAGAGTTTTGAAAACAATCGTATATTTTGAGACTTTAAGAGCTTGAAGTTGAATCCGTGCAGGTTTTCCTCCTCCGGCTCCTCCTCTTGCTTTTTGTTGCTGTCGTCTTCTGCCTTGTACTCGGTGTTCTTGATGGCGAGTTCCACTCCATAACCAGACAGCGATACTTGGTTGGCAGACAATCTCTGAATGGAAAATAAAATTGTTTCTTGCAGAGAAACTAACTCTGGAGAAAGGTCGATGAACAAGCTTGATTTTATTGGCCTTAGCCAAAGAAGTTGCTGCGGCAAAAAGCTTAGCGAAGTCTGTATTTCCGATTTCTCCGTAAACGACAACTGTGACTGGTGATGTCTTTCCAAGCGGATAAACGTGGTCAGCAGACAAAATTGTCTCCGGACCTCTGAAGAAAACTTAAAAGGTTATCAGACGGATAATAAATACTTTAGGTCGTCTTTCTTGAAGACTTCGTTCAATTCATCGACAGTACATCCAGTGAGCTCGTGGGCTACGAAAAATGCTCTGCATTTTATTTCGCCATATTCAGATCCGATCTATTCAGAAGATCTCATTCAGAAGAGTCAATATTTTTATAATACCTGTTGGAAAAGCTGTACGGTTGGAGAATATTGACGGAGACCGAGAGAAAATTTGAGCAAATCGATGGTCGAAGGATTCAATAGTTTGGCACTTTGCTTGATAATGAACTCGTATTTTTTCTCTTCGGTTACTGTAATAAATTAAAATAATAAGTCTTAAGAGCCAAATTCTAACGGCTTTCCAAATCGATGCTGCTGCTGGCTTTGGTCACTGTGTCTACAAACTTCCAGTACAAGGCATCACTCTCTTTGGCAAAAAATCACTGAAAAACTTTCTTTTTAAAAAACGCTATTACTTTCTTTCAGAACCTTGCTTCAGATAAAAGAGAAGTGGCGTTCCATTTAGCGTTCAAAGATGCAAAAACTGCTTTTGGCTGGGATTGTCCGTAAGCAAAACCAACTGCCAAAGTTATTAGTGATAACTTTTTGATGATCAGCATACCCTGAAAAAAACAATACATTTTTTTTTGGAAACAATTAAAAAAAAGAGAAAAAACGGAAAGAGCCGAAAAATCAATAGCAATAATAAGACGTCGTTTATTGGCAAGAAGGTGTTTTATGTGGGAAATTTTTCGATCATACCCTCTTTTCAGCTCTCGTTTGTGAAGATCATGAAAAAAAGATTTTCAACGAAAGTTTTTTTCCAAGAATCAAGATTTTGTTAAATTAACAAACAAGACCATATTCATAAAATTTGAGCTCCGCTGAAAATGAAGTATTCAAGTTTTACCAATTTTTTTAATAGCCCTAAAACCTGATTTTTTTAAAAAAATACAGAAATTCAGTTTTATTCGAATTGACAGAAAAATTTAACTATCATAGAACAAAGAATGCCATCAAAAAAATAACCACTTAAAAAAACATTTTTTTATCATTTTTTTCAAACTCTAGAGTATTTTCGATCAAAAATTTAAGGACACTAATCTAATCAGTTAAAAAAAGCCAAAAAAATAAGAGGAAACTTAAACATCGTGAATTTTGATAGTGCATTTTTCAAAGCAACAAAAAAATATTAAAAATACTGTTTTTTTTCCTTTTGGCGGTTTCTAATGATACCTAACAATTTGACAAACAAAACGATCAAAAAAATTGTAATAACACGTGATATTGACTGGATATAACGACAAGCAAAGTACGACTAGTCCAGGACAACTGCCGATTCGAATGCCGACGTGGTTTTATCGCTCTCTCGCGCCACGGCGAATTGCGCAGCCTGCATTTTTTCTTCGCCCCATTGTTGCATTTTTCTTTTTTATGCCCTTTTTATCCGTTTTGATCAGTTCTTTTACGGGAATTTCAATGATTGGTTGCAGGGTGTTAGCCAAAAGGCCTTCATCCTCAAATCAAAATGGAGGAAAGACCGGCAGATAAAACAAGTAGGATAATTCATATTTGATTTGGATTAAAAAGCTATCTATTGAAAGAAAGGATGGTTCAAAGTGGATCAACATTTTATAAAAAATAAAATTCATAGAATAGTACACAGATACTTCGATACTTTCAATTCCTCTTGAGGTTTTTCTTGGCAAAAAAAATCTTTCCAAATTTAAGATAAATGAAATGCAATGTAGAATGATATAAAGTTGAAGATCTTTACAGGAAACCCAAAAACTGGAGTTTTTTTGTGCGGCTGGGGAGCTGGATGTATAGAAACTTGTATTTTGTACCCGACAAATAAAATTATCTTCCGTCAACAACTTCATGGAACAACAGCCAGAAATGCTACACGACAGGTTTTGCTTTTTTTCAATTTTTTCAAAGAAATCCTCAATGAAAACAGATGTTTCGTAACTTGATACTCCAGTTAACTTCAAAAAAGTCTATCTAAAGCGGAAGTTGGTTTAAATTCGAATTCTTCTCGTTTAAATGAGCTTTAAGTTTTATTTTATTTTTTGGAAGAAGAATGGATTTTTCGAAACTCGATAGTCAAGTTTTATCTTCAAAAAGTTTGATTAAAACGGTGTTTTTCTTTTTATTTTAGTTTTTGATCAATTCCACGTCTCCAAAATTTTCTAAAAAAATCACTCTGTACAGCCGAAAAATTCGAGGTACAATCTGAATATAACAATCTGATTTGCAAATTTTGGAATTTTTTTGCCATTTTATTTTTTTCAATCAGCCGATTCAGATCAAAAAGCGAAGGAGTGGCCTTTTTGTACAGAGGTCTTTTACCGCCTTTGATAATGAGAACGACTACTCGAGCCCTGATGTTTGGACTTTACGAACAGTTTCAGGTATTTTATGCTTTTTTTATAGTTTTGAGACAGCACGGATTGTTACAGAAGACCTTACACTGTCCTCACACTGGAACTTTCACTTTTTGTCATGCTCAAGCTGCAATGTGTGGTGCGTAGAAGGAACATTTTCTCGAAAAAAAAATTTTATCGAAAAAAATCATAATCCGTTAGTTTCCATTGAAAAAAATTGAACCATGTTAACAAAAATTAGTTTTTCGTGTACATGTGTTTTTTTCCAGACGAGATGAGTATACACTCAAACGGAGTTTTTTTCTGCACCAGCCCTGTGGTTTTCTGATATCTTAGTTCAATAATTATTTAAACTTTTTAGACAATAAGGAAAAAAATATAAATGAAATCTTTTATTTTATGTATTCTCAAATTTTTAACTAATTGGTACGTCCGCTTTTGACATTGAAAGATAGTATTCTACCGATCCGAATCAATAACTATTAATCATCTTCAATAATATTTATAAATGTTTCAGCCGGGTTTGTCGAAGCGTCGATGTGTCCGCTTGAACGTGTCCAAGTACTTCTCCAAACTACAGCCCACCACGAAAAGTTCCGAAACAGTGCCGAAGTCGTCAAGCAGCTGAGAGTAAACTTTTCGATTTTCAATTTAATCTTATGAATATCTTTGAAGTCACATGGTGTTCACGAGTTTTACCGTGGTCTTTCTGTGATTCTTGTCCGGAACGGCCTTTCAAACTTGCTGTTTTTCGGATTCAGAGAGCCGTTGAATCGGAAGGTTTCTCATTTTGAATGATTTTATGACTCAATGATTTTGTTCAGCTTGTGGAGGTGACTCATCGAAACGATATTTCCAATCGTTTCACTGGAATCGTTTGCGATTTTGTTTGTGGATCTCTTCTGGGCGCCTCAATTTCAACTTTGTTTTACCCTGCTGCTGTGGTCAAAAATCATATGCAGTCCAAGGTGATTTCTTTTTGATCAATGATTATTGGGAAAAAAAGAAATTGAAAAAAATAATAACAAAAAAATAAAAGAGAGAAAGTTTTCAACTGTTAAGACTCATTTACAAATGGAATGCAATTTCAAAAAAACAGGGAGAATCGTAAAATCCAGGAAAAATTGTGAATTATTTTTTTAAATTGTAAAAATAAGCGCTCATTTGACTATTACCATTTCAAAAAAGCTATGATTTCATGATGAGAAAAAGAATGGTATATTTAACACCAACTTCGAAACTGCTTATCAGTATACTACCGAATATCTCTCCATCGGCTACTGGAATTAGGTAAGTTTTCTGTTTCTGAGGTGAAAATGAAAAAAAGGGTTGAGGCTGAATGAAGTTGTGGAGAATGCACTTTAGTTTCTTTTTTTCAAATTTTCATAAAGTTGACAAAAACCACGCGACATGCCAAGTTACATTAACGGTGCGCATTTCAGATCGGCGGACCGTTCGAGAATCCATTCCGAGTGCTGAAATACCTGCTGGTGGGACGCGATCGGTCGGCTCTTGCCATTTACTCGGGAGTTTACCTCAACTTCACAAGGTCGATGGTCGCCTGGGGTATCACCAACACTATTTACGAAATGTTGCACCGCTTCGCTTCTCGCTATGCTTGATTTCAAAGTATATGGTTTTTTTGCGCAAAAAATCGACACAAAATCGTTTTCGAGGTTTTCAGCGTTTTCTCTGAACCCAATGGTTCTACGAAAGTTATTTTCAGCTCATCTAAGCCCTCGAAAAAAACATGTTCTGAATAAATGTAATTAAAAATGTTCTCAAAAAAACTACAGTTTGAGTTTAAAGGAGATTCTCCAAACTGTCTAAGCTTACCTTATAACGCATAGTTTCCCAGATTTTCTTTTTTGTCAGAGAATGTTTAAAATATTTCTCACAGAGCCTGCAAAATTTTGGAAACATCTTTGCGCAAAAATTCTATGTTCAATATATCACTTTCCGGTTTCTACACTCAAATTCTGGGTTTCCAATTGCATTCACGATATCGACCCCTTTTTGCGTTTTTTTGTGTTATATTTTTTTCTCTTGAAGCTCAATTTTTTTAATCCAATATCTCCGTGAAATCAGAGTGATTTCTTACTTTTTTTTGTGATAGACATTTTTTTAAATGTTCTAATCTTAAAAAAAGAGTTCTGTTTATAGTTCATCATCTTCGAACGAAAGTTTTTCTCGGAAGCTTAATGCTTTCACTGTTCCGCCTTACTGACTTTTTTTATTCTTTTTTTGTCCTGTCCGTCCTCACTGAAAAAGACGAAAAACTCTTATTTTGACGTGTCCTTTCCGGGTTGTACTTAAAATCAAATCACCCATTCTCTGGTCAATTTTATAGTGCCATACATTTTATTTCGAATTCGGTTAGAGAGAGAGTAGCTTTTCAAGATCTTTATATTTTCTGGACGAATAAACGAGCTTTCATTTGTTTTTTGTTTTTTATTCAAACTTTTAATGAATGCTTTTTGCTCTTTCTCTGTTCTTTCTCAAGAAATAGTTTTGCACTTTCGCGTCTTGCATGAACTTTTTGAAAAAAAGCTTTACAAACGTTCAGCAAGTTTTCTGTATTTCCTTTCAGTTTCAATCAATTTTTTAATCCTGACACTTTTTTTTCGCATGACATACAGCACAATCGCAAATTTTTCTCAAAGAAAAAGTTTCGAAAGAGTGTAATTTATGTTTGTAAATCAAATTTTTATTTATTGATGGCTTTGATGGCCCAAAATGCATTTACTGCAAAAGCCTTTTTTTGTAAAAGCTGTCTAAACTTCCGAATCTTAAATCAAAAAAGGCTATCCCAAAAACGAATTTTCGTTTTTTAGTTTTTCTCTTGAACCTAATTTTTCACAGAGCCATTGAAGTTTTTTTTTTCAGCCGTACAAATTATCTGTAAAAAACAACCAGTAGTGTTTTCAGTATCGCCTTTATCAAGGGTGGCAAACAAGATTTGAGTGCATTCGCTCCGTCTGAAGCTTTTTGAACGTTTGAGCGCTCATTATTTTTTCTTCCAAAATTTGCCACAGATCATTAAGTTCAGTTTTCAATCAGTATCATGAAGATCTTTTAATATCCTTTGTTCTTAGAGTTTTCTATGAGTCTTTTGCTCAGAAAAGTTTTTCCTGTCGCGGACTAAAAAAGTCAAATGGCTCAAAACACGGCTAAACGGATTTTTATGATTAATGACGGCTTATTTTATCTATAAAGTTTAGTGTGAACTTTAAAAAAATGATCAGATTCTGCAAGAGGCAAAGCATTGATTAATCTTAAAGTTTTTAAAAAATTTTCAACTTCATAATAATATTAAGCTCTTTAATTTCATTCCAGTTCCAGTTCCTGACCAGGTGTCTTTTGATTTACTCAAAATTCCAGACAGAAGCAAACAATTTTAGCTGTTCATCCTTGTTCGGGAAGGTGTTTTTTGTAGCTTTGATACCGAAAAAACTTGCAGACGGCTCAAAACACAGCTAATCAGGCGCAGGGGCCGAAAGGTGTGCAAAATGTATCAAGCGGGCTTGGGGTTTCCGGCCAGCCGACGGTCTTTTTGCGGCGCGGCCGGCGAGCCTGCGCCAACCGGCGCTTCACCAAACACTATCATGCTCGTGCAATTATTCGCTAGAGGCCCCCGTCGATTCGGTTCATATTGCAGCCCAGCAGGTTCACGTAATTCTCAGGCCCAGTCTCGCCACTAGTTCACCAGCTTCTGTTATCGGACTCTGACATCAGCTTCCCTCCATTCTTTCGACGCGCTCAAACTTGTATTCATTCATGACCATATTTCGGGTTGTTTGTCTAGCTTCTCGTCCATTATCTTTGTTCTTCTCGCACAATGCTTGTCCAGCCGCCGCCTGCTTGTCCTCGAATCCCTCAAGTTTCTAATTGCCTCAACTTTGATCCGAAAATTCACGTCTTGGCTTTCAAAGAGGTCAACAAATGATTACCACTCGAAAAGTTTGTTGCTTGTATTTTGTGTCTTTTTCAATTGTCCTGTTAGCTTCTAGTGATATCACTTCTACCAAGTTAGTTCAGCTGGTTTGAAGCTTTCTAAGATAAAAAATCACTAAAATTGTCGCCTTTTTGTCACGTTTTGTCACCTTTTGAGTTTCCTTAACCAAATTGTAAATATTTCTTACTTTTCCTAAGCTTTCTAAGCTTCAAGAAGGACCTTTCAATTTTTAAGGATTATTTTTTTAGTGGAGATAGAGATTTTCATAGAATTTCATTTTTGGAATGATTTCATTCAAATATGGAAAAATTATCGAAACCCCTAGAAAATGGATAATTTTTCAAATAGAATTTCCCATGAGACGAAGATTTATTTTTTTAAATGTACCTTTGATGTAGCTGTTTTTTTCTAGTTTTTTTAAATTTATAATTATTCTGAATTATGATTACCTACTTTCTCAAATTTTCGACGAAACATCTCAGAGCTCCGCTGTGAACAAAAATTATTTTTCGTATTTTTTGCTCATCAATTTTTCATTAGCCTGAAACTCGACACCCTTGTACAGCTAGCAGAGGCACTTTTCCCAATCTCGGAGTTTTTTTAGGGTTTTTGGCTGTGGAAAAAAGGTGACACGTTATCAGAAAAAATTGTTCATGCCATTTAATTTCCAGAGAAGCTTGCCCAAGTTTAATCAAGAAGCTTTCAGATCTCTTTCGAAAAAAAATCCTCGCATGAGAAAGCATGAAACTTTTCGAAACGATGTTGATGTGAAACAGCATGAAGTTCCCAGACCTCAATTAAATTTCCACAAAAAGATTTCGGCCCCCAATTGATTCGAAAGTTTGTTAAGCTAATCTGAAAGTTATCTGAAGCCGGTGTAACATCATGTAAATAGAGAAGAAGATAAGCGAAGATGATACGATATGTATGAATGCTGGAAAAATATATTGACGCCTTCACACCGAGCGCCGACTTTCACTCTCAGCGTCTCATCTCATATCAGTCGCCGATTCGCTACAATTTTTTCCGTCTTGTTCATTTTGCACAAGCCTCGCATCTCTCTACTTCCTTCGAAAATTCCCAAGTAATAACGAATTTTCAGAACGATCCGAATCTCCTTGCGGGCCAACGCCGCCAACTACTGAATGTGATGGTGACGGTTAGTTTTTTTTTCTGACTGAAAATTGGACTCACTATAGATTTGACCCGTTTTGTTCCCTTGTTCAGTTCAATTGATGATTTTAAATGGAGTTTCTTTTTGAAATCATGTCAAGTCTTTTTTGCAAACTTCAAGTAATCTAATTATCTCCGCACTTTTTTGAAGTCGTCCCCTCGACAATTTCCGTTTTTATCAAGTGGTTCATGCTCATATCCTGTTGAACTGACTTTTCTGCACGCGATCCTGCAAGACTGTTTGTCTACAAGTTCAAGTACCTCTTTGTCTTTGTTGACGGACTGTTCTTCAGAGGAGGAGAAAGTTCAAAAAACAACCGTTTCTCACAATTATTTTCTTAATGAGAGAAGTGTTGATATTTTTCAGTACAAGAGTGTTGCGATGATTTCAAAGAAAACATTCTCGAACATCGAAAAACTTGGGCACACAAAAAATCTTTTTAAGTGTTAGAAACAGTTGGAAAGTGAAGTGACCGATTTTCCTCGAATTTCTGGATTTCTTGTCCCAAGCCTTTTTTAACATCTTACTTGTCACAACCGAGATGTGAGATGAAAAAGTTAGTTTTTTTAATGAAATAGGATATTAAAACGTTTTTTTGTGAATAATGCTTTTAACAAAGCTCAATTTTTTTCAGAACAGCGTCACAAGAACAAAAATAAAGTGAAAAAATAAGAATGAAAGTTTTTTTGGCATTTTCATTATTTTCGGATTTTTTCCCAAATTATATAGAAATTTTCGATGCTTAACCAAAGAGTCTTTTAAGGTTAATTTAAGTTTTGCAGTATTTCCGCACCTTATAACACCTCAGAGAATATTTTAAACAAACTTTTTTTCTCAAGTATCAATTAAAGTCTTCAAGAAGACGCTTCAGGTGATCATTCATTTAAAACAAAGTTTGACTGTAATTTGCTCTTTTTTTTTCGAAATTTCTTCCAAATTTTGGAGTTCAAACCAAACGACATTTCATTTCTTTCTATGTTCTTTGAAGTGTTCAAAAGCTGACAAGAGGGGCGATGTCGGAAAATTGAAGGGTTTTTCGAAAAGCTAACAAGCCCAAGGGGCCGAATCCCACGAAATTTAATCAATGACTGAATGAGCTGAACAAACAAAGAAGGGCTGTGGCAGGTGAGAACCACACAAAAGTTAGCGGCAGTCAAAACTTGCCTGTAGGCACATGTCAAGTGGATCCATCAAGTGTTAATCTCATGTTCATTTTGTCAGTTTGTTTCTTGTGCCGCCTTGCCGGATCCTTAAAGTCTCGGCATCCTCTTTGGATCCTTCGCTTTCACCTCATCGCATCAGTTCGCTTTCCGGACGTGTTTTGTTCAGTCTCCAGGATTCTCTTGAACGTCTTCTAGTGCTATTCAGACGGATTCTTCATCTGACTTGAACTCGCCGCCGTTTTCCTTTTCGTTTTTGGGCGTCCGGTCTGTATTCAAAGAGAGCCTAAGGCGCGTTCGTCTGACGCATGCGTCTTCTCTTTTCTTCCGAGGTTCCGACTTTCTGGCCTTGCTTCTTCTTTTGTTTCTCTCGATTCATTAACATTTGTTCGAAGGTCCTTTTTATGATTTTCGTTCTTTCACAAAAGGATTTTTTAATAATTGTCTCCTCGGAAAATAACTTTTCTTTCCATTTTAAAAAAATTTATAAATATTCAAAGTTGTGATATTTAGAAGAGGAGGCCCTCGCAGTCCAAATTCAGTTTTTTTGTAGCTTCCCTAGACAACAGAAAAAAATGCAGTATATCGGAAAAATAATCTTGAATTTCAGAATCTGAAAAATGTAGTATACACCTTCGTTTAAAAAAAAATATGCGCCTGACTTTTTATATCAAATATCCCTTTTCTTCCAAAATGAAAAAAATTTCCGGGAAACATGAAAAACGACAGAAAAAGTCAAAAAGAAACTTCGAAAGAAAAAAAAAGTCAAAAAAACCGAAATATTTGGGAAATTGTGCAACAAGCAAATTCCGAGAACAAAAGGTGGTCTAAAGTTTCACTCTTCGGTGTTTTTTTTTCTTTTTGTTTCTGAGAATTTATAGAGCAAGAAAAGCGTTTTTATGTTATTATTAAAATCGGAAAGAGCTTCTTTAGCACAAAAAAATTGAATAAAACTATCGGGACTGGGCGCAAAAAAATATGAAATGAAAAACAGAAGAATTTATTTTCAAGCGTCACAGGCTACCGAGAGAGAATTTTTCGAAAGAAGCTCAAAAACTATTTTTGGTTTGATTTTTCAGCTGAACATCTGCTATCAAATATTTAATTAGGATCAGCAGAATAAGCTTCTCTTACGTAAAAATCTGAGAAGATCTGTTTTTGAGCCTTTTCTGCATATTTTGAGAAGGCTCTCCTTTTGTTTGCTACTGAATATCATGTTTTATAGTACTAACACTTTAGAGAACTTACCGTAGTTGGGATTTCTGAGATGTACATCGTTCGTGTTTTAGAATAGCACAAACTCGAAAATTTCTCAAAAGGCTCACATCGAAACCGATTCAACATATCTTCACGGTCGTACCGAGATCACCGCGTTTCTCCTCGACTGACTCGAAGAAAACTGCGAATCCTGAAAGCTCGAACTTGAGCTCCGAAGGGCTTCTGTTCTTCTGTTCCTTATGAATTGAACGTTGACTGCTCGTAAGTGGCCTTCCAAGTAGCCGGCTTCCCATTTCTTGGCCAAATTATTGCAAATGGGTGGAAAACACGCGTCGCCATTCGATTCTGGATTGCGCTCTGCCCATTATTCCACTTATGCCCTTCCTCATGCGATTTGTGGCTTTTCTTAGTTGAGACGTCCATGTATTCTTCACACCTTTGGTTCCCTTTTATTTCCGGTGACGACTTTTTATCCATTTTTTTCAGAACATTTCTATTCGGGACTACGATCCGGTGACCGTGGCCGCATCGTCTTACTTCAACTTACCGTTTCAAGTCATGCACACCAGATCGGTTTGTTGGATTTATCACAGTCATTTGTTGAAATTTTCATGGTAATTTGAATCAAATAAATGAAACTTTCTTTCTAATGATTTTTTTGAGTAGAAAGATAGAATAATTCCATCGAAAGAAAAATATTATAAAAAATTTATTGCTATCTTTGAGAGACTTATGACAAAAAAATAAGATTGATTTGTCGTTTTGCCTTTTTTTCGAAAAATGCTCAAGCAAACGGTGAATAAACTGGGAACAGTTTTTTTCTTTAGTTCTATAAATTTCGTTCAAACATTTTTTTCAATGAGCTTTTTCATTCTAAACTTGAAAAGTTTTTATTAAAAAATCATTTACTTTGATGACCGTTTTCCAATGATTGAGAAATCTGGATTGTTCATCACGTTATGTTGGATTTAAAACCTTACAAAATCTCAGCTGAAGTTTCAAAAGGAAATTCGACTTCAATTTTCTACCAAAACTTCAGAAAATTCACAAAACTCTTAGTGCAGAAAATAAATCTTCGAGCGATGTTTTCCCGAACAAATTACACGTTTGAAACACTCCCAAAGCCAAGCCGACGAGTTTAAATGAATAGGAAAAGAAAAAGTTATCGGGAGATTAATCTTCGAACTAGACCAAAAGAGTGCGGAAACGGTCAACAAGTTGTAAATGGCGGCCGAAGTCTCAAATTCTCAAGGCTATTCGCCACTTTCTGCCATCTGGACAGCACTTGGCGCGTGAGCCGCGCTCTTGTGTGCTTTACTAAAAATGAAGCAAACAAAAGAGCGAAATTTGAGAGTCAATTAGGCGTTTTGGCCCCGTTTCATTTCGTCGTTGCCGAGTTTCCCAGCACTTTTTATACTCTCGGAAACCATGTGCGATACTCTTTTTTTCTGTTTTTGCTGTTCTTTCTATTCGGAAAAACGGGGAGAGTATTGGATCTTTTTTCCAATTGCATTCATTTTCCATCGAGATTTTTTCTTTTAGTCCTTGTTTTTTTCATAAAAAGTGAAATGCTTTTTTTATTTCTCATGGTTTTTATGGCGGTAATTTACCATTTTTCTTCTATTGACTTTTTTTCTGAGTCCGAGAAATTCTTCGGTTGAGAAGTGATGTTTGATAAACAGATACTATCGACAAATTGAATTAAAGAGATCACTGAGTGAGTAATAGCCGCACCGTATTAAAAAAATGCGGTCTAACTATCACCTTATTTCATAAACAAAAATGAAGATTGCTCTTTAATCACACAATACTCAAGATTTTCATCAATTTACTTAACTTTTTTGACTTATAAGGCCAGCGCAATGAGTCTTCTTATACTTCTGTAAATGTTTCGCCTCGGCAAAATATCAAATTTGATACTTGTTTTTGTTGAGCGTTGTTTTCAATCAAGATAATTCTTCATCAGGTCTCCGCCAAAAGTTCAATCGAGTTTGACTGATTAGTACCTCAGAGCAGCCTATCCCACATCGATAAGCTAATTTCCGACTTTTGCCTGCCCCCGGAAATAAGTAGCCCTAAAGTTTCTACGCACGCTAAAAATCATGCTCACAACAGTTCCAGGTTGTTTCAAAGTGCACTTTTAGCCAGCTGTTTATATATTAAACCATTTTAAATATCTGTTTTGCCTGTAGAAAAGTTTTTGGATTTTTTTTTTTTTGAAACTACGCGATCATAAAAAAACTATCCCCAGCTATGTAGTTATGAAAATTTTACAGCACGTTTCATACATCCGACGGCGGCGGTCGCTGATCGAAGCTGTGAATAATTCGATTCAAGACGTGAGTCTGTTCTCCTTTTTATTTCATTTTCAATTACTTTCAATTCGATTGAGGGGAAAATTCTAAAAAAGCTAGATTAATACAACCTAACCTATGAGAATGAAACAGGGGCCAGGACGTTATGTTTGAGAATTTTTATTGATTTATCCAGGTCTTTTTTAATGAACAACGGTTAAAAAACTATTTTTTGCTCATTCCATTATCTTCTTCTTCGGTTTGCAATTAGTCGGACTACCTCGTTTTGACGGAACCACTTGCCTTGCCAATTGTTCCCGCTTTTAGGCCATTTACTACGACACGTTAACGTCAATGGAAAAAGCAAACATGGGCGTTTATGAATTGGTCAAGGAATAGAAAATGGGCAAAGTTGAGAGTCAAAAGATTGAAATAGTTGATAGTTTCTGCGTTTTCGAATGGAAAAAAAGCTCAGAAATTGGTCAAACAGAGAGGCGTTTCTGACAATTTTTATCAGTTATTTATGTTCTTCGTACAAAAAAATCATTCTCAGATGACTGATTCAAGAAAAATTGAATAACAAAATTGATTCTTATTGTGTTTGAAGGGATGAGTCTGTTGTATAAACTTTCAAAGGTTTTAAAACTTTCAGAAAAATCTTAACTAATCGTGAAGCTAAGACTTCTTTTTAAATCTCTTTCATTCAATCTAGACTCAGTTCAAAGTTATAAAAACTATGATGACCCGAGTATTTTACATAGGGAAAAACTTAGAACCGGAAGGAAAATGTGAAACTTTCAATGAATTATTGATGAGGAATTAATTCTTGAACGAAAATAGTGATAAGCTGCTATAAAATATTTTTTGGGAACCTCTCACAATTGTAAGTTAATTTTCACAGCTTTCACTTTCATAAAAGCTTGAATAAAGCCTCTTCAAGTTTCAGCATCGTGCAAAATTTTTATCTTTTTTATTCCAAAATCAACTCAAAAGCTGTTTTTTCCAAAAAGAGAAAACAAATAGACAACGCCTAAATTAAACGTCAGTTTGGCTACTCCAACAGCGCTCTCGGGACTTTATTGGATGGCAAAAACTCGACGAAAAACACCCGATAAGTGTAACGGTTCTACCTCAATGTCAACGAGAATAGATTGCACAAATAGACTCGCCAGTTAAACACAACACGTGCGATCCGCATGTACATACAATGACAACAATGCAAACAGCCAGATCGTATCCTCGTCGAGATTTCGATTGATTTCGCCACGAAACAGTCGCCCAGAGCTTCATCTTCCTCATAGTCACTATCCGACTTGCAGGACCTCTTCCTGCCCTTTCCGGACATTTCCGATACATCAGTCGAAGACTTCAGCCTGGCCGACACAACGGTTGGTTTTCTTTTCTTTCTCACTTTTGGATGACTTCAAAACTAATACTGAGGTTCAAATTCGCGAATTGAGCTTTCAAAAAGCTTACTTTTAATTGTAAATTGCTCCTGTATTTTTTTTTAAATGTTCGAACTCGAAAATTTTCCAGAGCTTTGGTAATTAGCGACTTTTCTAGGATTACTGGATTATCGCAACACTTTTTATAAGTTGTCTTTTTCAGAAATTTGCGAATATTCTTTTTACCAAACTATGGGAATAATCAAGAAAAAAATTCTCATTGATCCTTTTCAAATTCGACCTTAAGTTTTTTTATCCTCAGAATCGATTTGATCTTACCAATTTTTTTCTCATAACTCAAGTTATCAGCGAGAAAAAGAACATTTCTTTTTCAATTTTTTTAAGGTTTTAATTTTTGGAAGCTTTCACTGAGACAAACTGCTAAACTTCTTCTTTCTTGGAGTAATCCACTTTTTGTTATTTTTTTCGCAAAAAAACTAATTTCAAAAAAATCAAAAATTCTTTAACAAAAACTTTCATTCATCCCACTTTTTTTGATGCCTTGATCTTCCATTTGTCGAGGACTTGTCTTACTTGTAAAAAGTATGTCTTTGGTTTCCCGAGCACACTTGATCGACCATTGCTAAATTAAGTGGAAACGCAGTTCTCACTTCTTTCTTCTCTACTGAGAAACATCTGTTGCTACTCTCGAACTTTCATGACTTTACAGAAACTGGATTCTAAAACTTTCCAAGCTTTTTCATGGAGTCTCACTTTTAAACTTATCTTTCTTTTCAACAACCCGATTACGTTTTTTTTTCAAGCTCTTGAAACAAAGGTTACTGTAATTCCACTTCAAAGCTATCGAATTTCCATAATTTCCAGGCAAAAATTACCTTCAGATTCGATTATTCTAATCCTAGTAGACGTGCCTTGTACCATTCATCGCATCTCTAAATTATTTACGAATGCCTTCTGCCGCGTTTATTCGAACGAGTACGTTAGTAGTCCACTTTTTTGAGCCCTACTACTATTGCTTTAAATTTTCAATTGCGCTCAGCTTTGATTTTGAAAACATTTTTCCAAAAAATTTTCCTTATTCCCAGACAAGTCTGAAGAATTTTATCATTTATTCTCAAAACGTTATCAAAAAAAGGTTTGCTTTCATTTTCGTTTTCAAATGTAACCATCAATTGTTTTTATGCAAAAAGTTTCAATTTGTGTGAATAGACCTTCCATTTTCATAGCTAAGTTTCCTGCAGCTTTTGCCTTAAAGTTTTTGAAGAGGGTCAAAACAGGCTACAAAAAGGTTCTTATTTTTTTTCGCGCAAGAAACGTTCAAATTTATGGTGTGTCTACATAAACACTGCCTTTTTTTGCGCGTTGACTTTTTCTGCAAAAAATAACAGATGAGTTTCCGTTGGTTCCCACCTTGAGAGAAGAAACAAATAAGCAACGCCTTTTGAAAAGCGTAAGCTCTCGGCCAAGCCGCAAAACAGAGACGTGGCTTGTGGCTCAAATGCGCAAAGCTTGGGTGTTAATGCGCGCCGACGGACGTATTTCGGGAGGCAGAAGCTGAGAAGAGCGACGGATGAGCCGAAGGGACACCCGTGTCGACTCCTTGTCTCAGACGGTGTTGACCATCCGTCTTCTGCCTTGTTTGCCGGCCGCATCTTTCCATCGGCTCCCAATCTTGTATTGTTCACCTGAAACCTATTGTATTCGGTTCATTGAGTGCAACGGGCTGTTCTCTTTGGTCCAATTTTTGATGGGTTTGAGTTCAGACTTGCTCCCAACCGTTTTGTCAAACTTTTCTTTTCGTTTTTTTTTTTCTGAAGCTTACCTATGCTCCAGCTTCTACAAGCTGCAGACTTTTCCGATTATTTTTGAACCTCGTTTCTAGATTAAAATGGCGTCAGACGGCATTTTTCATCTGTATTTTGCTGAAATCAGTGTGTTTCGCGTTAACTATACAAAGTTAATCAAAAATTTTTTCATAAAGTTTCGATTAAATGAAAGGAAGTCAATCAAAAAAACATTTTCCCTGATAACTTATTTTTTCATAAAACTCAGTTTGCGCATTGAACGTTTTCCCAGCCGCACTTTGACATATTTCTATTTCACAGTTTTCAATGAAGAGTTTTTCGGAAAGCGGGGAACTGATTTGAAAATTTTTCACAGTTCCCATAAATTCATGAATTCTCATGAATTTTTTTTATGTTGATTGTGTTTTCTGTAACAGATTTTGTTTTATACATTGCTTTTTTTCTTTTTTTCCTGCGCAGCTATTTTTTTATATTTAGAAATTCTTATCTCGAGAAATCCTTTTTAAACCCGAAAAATTTCTCCCGAACGAGTCTTACACGCAGAACATGAAATTAAAGCTATCTCATTTTATGAACCCTTTTTTTCAAAAAAAAAAAGGAAATTTTTTTTATGTTTGCGTCCTCATGTTACGTCAGAGTTTTGTTCCATATATTCAAAATCAAGATCATTCTTCCTTGCTTTTAAAATTTATTTTCACATACCTGTCACGTTTATTTTTAGATGTCCCTTGGCAATGGTCACGACACGGAAAGAATCTTCTCTATCAAACAAATTTTGAGCAAGGTGAGGGTTTTTTTTTGAAGTTCAATTTGTTTGAGAAGAAAAGTTGAGAAAATGTTTGGAGAGGCGATTTGAAAAAAAACAACAGAAAATGTAAAACGTGATCCATCGGACGGAGATCTTTGAAAAAATCGAGACTCGGAGCCAACGGCGGGTGTCAATAACTTCGGGAATTTGAATGCAAAGTCGGCAGAAAAAGAAAAATCGGCAGAAGACCAACAGAATTTTTCCTTTAGTGGAGTAATCGCGCTGATTTTTTTCAAAACTGTGAATACCAAAATTGGAACATCAAGGTACAAATGGCGAAGGCAGTCTAAAAATATATTTTAATATTATTTTGATCACAAGTACGATTTGCATCTTCTTGTATTCATTTTTTTCATCAATTAGGTGTTTTTAATAACTAATGATTGGATGAACTTGATCGCGAAAAATTGACAAAAACGGGGAAAAGGCAGAAAGAGAGATTTTTTGAATTTTCGATAACGATTTGTGTCTGAAAGTTTCATAAAAGGTCTGGTGTAGCTGGGAAAAACGTACATATTTGAAGCGAAAAATTTTTGAAGGTCAGTCAAACAGATTTTAAAAAAATAAAAAAGTGTACACGGTTTTTTTGGCGTAAATTATTAAGAATTGTAACTTCACTTAGTTTCTTCTCGCAAAGATTCTAAAACTGATAGCTGACGATCAGAAAGAGTTTGACGCCCCTCGAAGTCATAACTAAGAATTATAAGATTTAAACAAAGATTTACAGTCCCATTAGGTCAGGAGGCCATTCGAAAATCGAAAAAGGCCGTCAAATCGAGATGACCATCTCCGGAGCGGCGCTTTTTGCGCGGTCAAACGACCGAAGGCGAGAAACACTGTAGGCCGAGCGGAATTGAATAGAAAAGTTGGGCCATGTGTGTACATGTGTGTGTGCTTGTAGCTGCCCCCGGCACAAGTTTCCGGCCAGTTTCCAGCGGCTCACCTCACCTCTCACTTTGTTCTTCTTGCCCTGACATTGCGCATTAGCAGCCGACGCCAGAAGTCGGACCTCCCCAAAAAAGCCTCGTGTTGTGTTCGCCTCGGTTTGTAGTGGCGCCGCGCAATTTAATCGGCTTAACCCACAAGGAGCTTCTTTTTTGAGGCACTCTCTCCACCGCTCCTCCCCAGACTGCTAGCCAAAGTTGAGGCCGACCACGATTCTGGTTCTGGTTGCTAGAGCCGAGAGTTTTTTTTTTCTGCTGGCTTTTTGATTTGCTATTCGGCGGTCGGCCCATTCGTCTGATTCTATGACACTAATCATTCCTATACGATTAGCGGTAAGCATTTGAACAAATTTTTGATTTCTTTTCCAATTTTTTCTGTCGCTTGGGTCTGGATTTTTTATTTTTTCTATTTTTAAGTATAAGTATCTCTTCAGTTCGTCTGTGTTTTGTTATAATATGTTCATTTCTCCCAAAACCTGTTTACATTCAAAACTTTTTTTATATCATAAACGAAGTCTCTGAAAAAAAAGAATTTCATGAAACAAATCGAGTTTCAAGAACCTATATTGTTCATTTTTCTGTGGTGTTATGGTATAGAAACTGAGTAGATTACTTGGTTTTTATACTTTTCAAATCCCTGTCCTTTGCACTACCAAAACACAGAAAATGGAAATCGCCCTTTGAGAGAAGCACTGAAAAATTGCGATGTTTTTCGGTTCATGTTATCTCAAAGTCCGGTTTTGTTTGGGATTACTATACCAATGTGACTGAAATTTTGGATTTGTTAATTTATTACCATTAACATCGCTGTTATATGTTCATTTCCTCTGATTACAAAGAACGACGCACACAACAACCCTTGAAAAAAGGTCGAAATTCCTCATCAAAAGAAACATTTTTCATTTCAAGAGATCAAACATAAAATCCCCTTGCAGATAAAAAAGTCATGATTTTCTCTTCTCATATTCATCAATCTTTATTAAATTGCAGAACGAAGAGTTACTGGAACGCGGGCGGATGTCGATGCGCGTGCCGCGGATCAACGTCCGTTACAGCGGCGACGAAGAAGTTTACGAGGCTTGGCAGCCCGATTTATCCCCTTTCATGCGATTATTTCCAGGGTCCGCCACGCATCTTCCGTTCCAAGACCCAAAAACGGTCGCAAAGCCATCCACACAATTGCACCGCCTCGCACACTTCGGACGAAGATTGCGGTGAGCCGGAAGAAATCTGAGCTGGTCGAAGGAGCAAAGATTCAGAATCGGACACTTGTACACACAATTGCTGCGACGAATTCGACCGCATCAATTTCAAAAGGTCCTGCAGGTGCTCCCTTCACAGCACCTGCAGCTCTTTCGCCTCGAGGAGCATCAGTACCAGCAGTACTTCTTGTGAAAACGGGGTGAGTTGACTTCTGGAATTGGAGAGAACTTTTTGAAGAACAAGAAAAGTGAGCTTTCAAAAAAAAAAGCGATAATTTCTAATAATCAATTTATTGTACCTATTTAAATACTTTTTATGTTATTCTCCTCTTTTGAAATTTTTTTGCCCCTTCATTTCGTGGGCTTATTTTTTTATTCTTTTTTTGACCACAAAAAGAAAAAAAGAGCGCAAACAAGCTAAAAAGATTCAGGTTAAGGATTCTGAGCATGAAATCTCATAATATTCGCCTCATCTAGGCTTTCTCGTTCAATTTGGTTTTTTTCTTCTTAATTTAATTTGTTCGAAATATTAATTTTTTTGATTCAAAAATAACATTGATATTCTGAAACTTAGGCCTCAAAAACCTTTCCCTCTTTTTTTCTCAAAAAGTCTTCTATTTTTTTTGAAAAAAACGATAATGTTTGTTAAATATGCAAAATGACCATCCGAAAGGACTTATCGGCTCAATTTGTTGTTTAAACTTTTGAATTTACATTTTCCACGTTTTATTGAAATGTACTAGTCGCACTGTTTGTTCACGGATAACAGAAACCTGTCACGGGAGAACTTGTCGTACAACAATTTTTTTGATTGTTTGTTCTCTCAAGACTTTCTCTCGAGATATGATTGTGCAACACGCGAAGATATCGAAAGAGAAGAAAAACGTGAACGTGGTCTGGTATCAAACTAGAGAAAAAGGAAGAAATGAAAAAAATTGAATTTTTCGGTATGGACGTTTTTTTGAAAAAAATGAAATGTTAGTCAGCCGTCAAATTTCCAAGCAAAATTGAAAAAAATTTTTGAAAAAAATTCATAATATCTTTTGAAACTGTGAGGAAATAAAGCAACTTTTTGCCGAAAAAGTTGACAACTTTTGTTTTTTTCTTTATATATTCTTGCCATTTTTTTTTCCATGACTTCATAGTTTGATTTTTTTTTTTGGTTGTTTTTTTAGATCTAATTTGTGAAATATTTTATCTTTCTATCCTCTTTGCTATTAGTTTTTGGTTTTCTGCATTCGAGACCTGCCTTTTAGAATGTTTTAGATGATATCTTTCTTTGCGACTATGATTTTTTTTTGAAATTCGGCCAAAAATTCTTCGTACAAAAAAAAACCATCAAGGTCTGCCAAAATAAACCGTTTTGAGCCCTCATGTCTTGGTTATTGGGAAAAAAACGAGCATTAACCAACTTTAATTGAGTAATCGAGAAGTCATTCGGTCACTTACCAATGAAATTCTGCAAAAAGGAAATAATCGTTATGTTCCTACTTGACTTAATGGCGATGCTGAGTACACTCCGATTTTCAGAACGTGCTGGCGGAAGCCATTTGGGACCACGTGGCCGTGTTAGCCGATGAGTTGCCTTTTGCGGCAGGAGAACTGATAAACGTTCTTGACTGTACATCTCAATCTTCGCTGTGGTACGGGTCCTGCCGCGACAACCAAGGCTGGTTCCCCGCCAGTCATGTGAAGGTGCCGATTATTGAGTGTCCAAGTGGAATAACACACGATTTTTGAAGGTTTTGTGCAATTCCAACGGACACAAACCCAACACCGAGAACGACTTTCACAGTTTTCCACCAGCCATGCGCAGATACAGGGCGAATGTGGTCGAGGAACTGTTGCACACGGAGAGAGAATACGTCAGATTGTTAGAAGATATCGTGCATGTGAGTTGTAGAAGCCCCATCGCGAAAATATTCTGTTTGGAGGGGTCGCTTGAAGAATTTCGATTCTGTTCTATTTGTTGGAATGATATCCCAAAATAGTAAAAATTCGATAGCGGTTGACTAAAAAAGACATCAACATATTTTTGATAACATACGCATGTGTCAAGCTTCCTTGACTCCGAAATTCCTTCATTTCTATTGATTCAAGTTTTCTGAAAGGAAAAGCTAGAAAATTTGAATGAATCTCCGGTGAATATCAGATCTGCCTCTCGAAATCTCAACAGAAAGAAATTCACATTTGAGAAGGCTCATAATATGATTTCAAAATCAAAGGACGTTACTATTCAATTTTCTGATCTTTTGGGAGACAACGTATAATTTTAGGTTGTCCAAATTTGAAAAGGAAATTTTTTTTGAATTTATAACTGAGTTTGATTGAAAATCGAGTGATAATCAAATGAATAATTTTAACGCGTCTGTTTTTTAATAAACCCAGTTTGTTTTTCCAAACCTTTTGAAAACGATTTTTGAACGCTCATCTTGAAACCAAAACAAACATGATTAAGAGCGAAAAAAGCGTGGGCAGTTTTTGGTCGGGCGCAAAGAGCGACAGATACTCCAAAATGACGTTTTTTCACATGTGGGAGTGCGAAAAATGAGAAGAACGCTTTGCAAACAAAACCGGCGTCATAACAGCTTCTTAAAAGATAATGATGTCACCTTCCAAGTTTGATAATGTGACGTCATGAAAATACTTTATCTTAACCTTGGAGAAACAGATTTACAGTTAGAACAACAAAAATTGGCAAGCTTTAATCAAGTGTGAAGATTTTGTTTTTTTTTCATCAACAGAAAATTAAAGAGATGATTTAAATTTTATTAAAAAGTAAAACAAGACAAGAAACGGGAAATCAGGGATAATTAGTCGTTTAAAGTTTTTTTCCCCTATTTTTGCAAAGCTTAGATGAAAGTTCCAACAAAATTATTCAGGGCTTCCTGGAACAGACCAAGCGACGGACGGAGATGTTCAGCTCGACCCTTATCAAAAACGTCTTTGGAAACATCCAATCAATCTACACAACTCAATGCAAACTTCTGCGAGACCTCGAAATGGCCTTGGACCAGCAAAAGCCTGAAAACTCTTGCATCGGACCGGCTTTCCTGCGAAACGTATGATCCGATAAGTATTCTAATCCAAGAAGTTTCCATTCAGAAGCACGCTTTTGCGATTTATTCGGATTACTGCAACAATCGGCCGTTGTCCGTCAGCGAGTTGTCACAACTGTCAAGGCACACGATTTACAGACAGTTCTTTGAGGTGGAACAAGTCTTCGGGAGAAAGTTTTCAAGGTTTTTCAGGCCTGCCGACTTCTCCGTGGGATGCCAAACTTGTCACTTGAAGCGTTTTTGCTGACGCCAGTTCAACGTATATGTCGCTACCCGTTACATTTATCCGAGTTGTTGAAGGTGAATAAGACTTTCACAAGAGCGAAAATGACTTCAAAAAAGACACTTGAGATCTGCGCAGGAAATTAAAATTTGCCTGATTGATTCGAACTATTACTCTGCGGTCACGTTTAAAATGAATGATAAAAGCCTTGAAATGATAAAAAGATGAATCTCGAGATTATAGCAGTGAAACATTTTAATGGCGTTGCAAAAAAAGAAACGATTTTTTGATTTTAATACTTTCAATTTCACACATTTTCTTCCGACCGAACTATTCAGAGATTGAAGAGCAATACACAAAGCTCAGGTTAAGAAGAAAGTTCTAAGTACTTTCTTTTGTTTTTTTTCTGCAAACTTTGACTTTTCGGCTCAAAGCGCGAATCAAGATCTCTTAATACTTTTCGACTTTTTTAAGCATACTTATTTATTTTCAGGCCACTCCAATGACTCACGACGATTACTCAACCTTGCAAGCGGCCGAAAAAGCAATGAGAAGCGTCGCATCTCAGATAAACGATCGCAAGCGGAAGATCGAAGCTCTCCAAGAAATGATCAAGTGGCAGAGAAAAGTTCTGCATTGGAAGGTTTGAGTGTAGTTTGCGCTTTTTTCACCCACATTCACACAAATCACGTCAACAATCGGTGATCGGCGGTCAGCACGCACTAAACGAGAGTCTTATCCATCCTACAGTAAGAGAAGAAAAAGGGGGAGGGAAAAGCTCGAGGTGGTGGTGCGTTTAAAAAATCGAGTGTTTGCGTTGTAAGCGATTGTGCGGCCAGTCTCCCGGCTAACTGTATTCGATTCGATGTTGCACTCGCCAAAGTTCTCCTCCTTGTTCGACTTGGCCTGGGAATATCGGAAGCTGAAGCAGTTCCGCAAGCAGCAGCAGCAGCATATCAAGCTTCTGGGCGAAGCTCGCTGCAGTAGTCAGACCGACCTCGTTCAGGTCTCTTTGGCTTTTTTCGAAAGTTCGCCGTTTTCTAATGCTTTTTTTTGGCTCCACGATCATCTAAAATTGGAAAATAACTCTCAATTTGTCCACTTCTTTGGATATTATGAACAAATGGACTCTTCAAGTGTAGTTTTTCATGTTGTTGAAATAAAGTTAAGAAGAAAAATACGATGGTAGTCTCAAAACTATCATCATATCTCTTTATTTGACGATTATTTCCATTTTTCAACTGTAATCTAGTCTCCTCTCACGGATCGAAGATCTATAGCACTCAAGCCGTTCTCGCCTCGCGTTCGATGGTCTTTCATACCCTTTTCACAACTTTAGGCGTCTTATGAAGTTTTTGAGAATAATTTTTTCACTTTCCATTTTTGGGGGTCATCAGGGTAATCGAATTTTTTTCAAAATCTAAAAAATGGTTTTCGCTTTTTTTTTTCTGAATCTCAAAAGTATAATAATTTTTTCGCCTAAACGGAAATTTGTTTTTCAGGGTCCGGATCTCGTAGATAACAACAGTTCACTTCTTCGTTCTGGCCAGCTCTACTGTAGATGTGTTGTAGATTCCCAACCTCAGTGGTCAAAAGTAAACATTTCCCATTGTTTTATGGGTTAAAACTCGAAGTTCAGGACGTTGTCTTGTTCCTTTTCGATCAAGCTATCGTAATCTGTAAGAAAGACGTTCTGAAGAAGAACGGATTTGTCTTCAAAGAGAGGATGTCTCTTACAACCGCCAGTATTCAAGATACACCTGACGGAAAAGGTAATTTACTTCATATTTGAATACCTTGTGTTTATTTATGAGAAATTTCTTACGGTTTATAAATCAATAGTTCAGTATCAGGAAAAATAATTGATTTCACAGTAAATTCAGTCCAAAATTATCACTCTTAAGTAATTTCTATCTAACTTTTATTTTAAAAACAGTTTCCAAGCGTCTGAACAAAGTACAAACGCTTCCATGCACTCCCACTTGACTCTTTTCTCTGTATTACTCTGGACCAATGGTCTGCAAACATGTTCTGTGAACGCACTCAATAAATAAAAAGAGCAATCGTCAACCTAAATTTAGACCAATCCTTCGGCGTTAACGTCAAAAACGCGTTCAAAGTCGTCAACGGCAGCAGACAATATCTCTTCACATGTCCAGACAAAAAAGCCAAGGTAAGTAGTAGGAGAAAGGCACTTGAGGAAAAGCTGCAAACTCCTGATTTTTGCGAGAACGCCAACAACAAAATGTTATAAGATGATTCTTTTCAGTCAACATGGCTCTCGGCTTTTTCCATGCGACAGTCCATGAGTTTCGCTGCAAGCGCCGAGGAGAAAAGACTTGCGATCGCAACTCTCAACGCCTCACATTTCATTTGAGAGTAATCCACGATTTTCCACGAGTTGAAATGCCATGAAGCCGCGTAAAACGCTTCTAAAAAACGCCTCTGCGTTCCGTCTGTCGGTAAAAAAGTTTAACTTTGACTCCAAGTTCGCGGTCCACGACCTATAGAATACCGTCCTGCGAAAGTAGTTTTTGATCGGGTGCTGTGAATAGTCTAAAACCCTAAAAAATTAAGTTGACTCGATAGAACTTGTTTTGTTTCACAATAATAACGCGTCACAGCTCGTGGAAAAGAGAAAGTAAGAAGCTCCAGTTTTCTTTTGTAATTTTGGACAAATGGGTATTAGAATGACAGTTTCCTTTTTATTGAATATTATGACGGTTTTCATGGACCAATCCCATTGTACGTACTTTTTTGGAGGTAATTTTTATTCCATTTTTTCCTTGGTTTCTTTTTTTAAAACCAATTCAGTTGTAATCATTATTTTTGGAAATCATTTCCATGGGTTTACCTAATGTTCGCTCATTTTTATAACTTTCCAAGCCTTCAAATGTTTTCTTTCATGTTTTTTTTTTTGCTTGGCACATTTTCTCTATTTCGCGTAGCGTGCCATAATTGTCTCTTTGAAGTTTCCGTACAAAAGTTCTGCCTGAATTTTTCTTTAAAATTGAGATTGTCTGAATCTCGTGCTATTTTATATTTGTTCCATTGTAAATTCTTGAAGAGTAATAATAATTTTTATGTACTCGGGATTGAATGAAAGGCAGAAACATGACAATAATGCGGAATTTCAGAAAATGAAAGATCGGAACATCCAAACGGTTGTGGCACAGTTAACAACAAAGAAAAATGCACTGAAAAGGATATCAGTCCAGGAGAAGAACCGTTGCCAAATGATTTGAATTTTTTCGGATGATTCCTGAAAATTCGAGGTTTATTTTAACTTTGGAGACAATCTCGCAAGATAGAGTATGAATGATAAGACTTTCAGACCGGTCTAAAACTTTAAACTTTGGTAAAACTTTTTTTTCTTACCGTCTTTCACAAGTAAAATGAGGCAACCCAAAAAAGGCTTGAACGTTATTCTACTTAAGACAGTATATGCCAAAAGAACTTCACAAATTTTTTTAATTTTTCTTTCTTACATTTATTTTTTTGCTATTCATGTGGAGACCATCAAAAAACTTGAATTTCGGTCAGCGGTGGAAAAAAAACAAAAACTAGACTCATTTTTTATAAAGTCTGTGAGCCACGACTTGAAATTTCACGGACCGACATTCCGCTGTTTCGCTGCGTGCGTTCGCGAAGCGTCTTTCGAATCTAGGTCATGCTTTGAATTGGTTGTTATTGCTGTGGGAGCACATGAAAGTAGAGTACCTTAATAAAAGAAAAAAACTTGAAAGCGCGACCAAGGTTCGCAAAGGCGCGCAGCGGAATGTCGTTCCGTGAAATTTCAAATTATGGCACGCAAACTATACTCCATTTTTTAAAGGAATTTTTCCATTTTTTTTTTCTGAAAGGAGCTCTTCACAAAACTTCCGAAATCATCTCTCACCTGATCATCGAGGTATTTGCGTATTTCTTCCATACAAAACTTCAATTCTTGTACCAACTCGTGTGACTTGACGTTCATATCCTCGTCAAACTGTAAATCGACTCTGACTAATTCTTTTTCTTATTTTTGAACCTCTTCTCCAAAATCGTTTTCATTGAAAAATTTGTAGAGCCACCTGGGCGGAGTCGCCTCCAAATAGACCATCCTTTCGTGAGCGAAAATAATCACCACAGAGACCAGTACTGCTATGACTGATATCACGAATTCAATAAGTACGTAGAGACCTGAAAATGAAACTAATTTAAATGAATATGTTCTGCGATCGACCTAAAAGAGGAATTCCTTCGCTGCTTCGGGGCATTTGACCAGTTACCATGTCCAAAATGACAGCCATAGTGAGCATTGTTGTCAATCCAAGGGACACCTTAAGTGAGAGATAAAGAAATCAATCTGAATGGAGATGATCACATGTTCTTCTCGATCTCCATGGACGCCATGTGGCGTGAATAATCCGACATTAGAAACTGTGACTATGAGGAATGTGGGTAGGAGAATTACGACAATGTAATAGAGAGGCTTTCTTCGAAGCTCCTGAATTGAATATATAATCATAAAAAGTTTGTAACAAATTACAGATTTTCTTTTAATTTTAAGAACTCCGTCGCTCAATTCTCAGGATTTCACTCAGAACTTGAACAAGATTCTTAAAAAAATAGCTAAAATTATCAGAAGTTACAGCGTTAATTCTTGTAAATGATAAACTTTTCTAATGCTCTTTTTGACGAAATATGAAATAAAAGCTTTTTTTGCTCCCAAAATGTCTATTTCAAGCCGATTTTTCAAAGCAACGAACCAATTTATAGAAGATCTCCTCGTACTCGTTGAACCCGCCCAAAGTATTTTCATATTTCGTGACAATTTTTTCCGCCTTGAACGATATGATGTCCCATTCGGAGTTCTTCTGCAATCCAACAGATCTATGATTTTTCCGGCATATGAATCTTTGGTTGCAATTACTCATTGAGTGGAAAATACGGTTTCTAAAAAATTCAAGGCAAATATAATTGAGTCGGATGACCAATCATTTGAAGATCAAATGGGGAAAAAAATATCAGTATACTTTTGTTCTTTTTTGAGTCAGTGAAAGTAATTTCTCATAAAAAGTATTTTTTTCTGTAATTATGTAAACTGAATTTTAGTTGTTTTCAAATTTTTTTCAAAAAAAGCGTGCTAAAATTCAAAAAAACAAAACATCCAAAAAACACTTTTTTTCGGCACAGACATTCATATTTGATTGAAACTAATTTATTTTTACAAACGGTCAATTTATATGCAGTCACTCTATCTAAGCTCACCCCTTGTTTTGGCACGAACGTATCCAGAACGTTAAAACTGATTTCGTGGGCTTGATAGGACCAAGATCCAAACTGCAAAGAGCACAGCTGAACGTCGAAAGGAAACGAAAGAACCGACATCGGACAAGTCAAATCTACGAGCTGAAAATCATCAAAATAAAGATCAAGGTGTTTATAGTCTGACCTTGTTGAAATCGACCTCGACTCTTCCGTCGTTGCTCACTCTCGCATTGTGATTCGTAAGTGGTTCCGTCATTTCTACGCTGGAAGATAAAAAAAATTGGTAGAGATCGTGAAATTCCTCGAAACTGTTAGAATATGAATAAAAAAGATTCAGACTTATTGTTTTTTTACAGCGGCCTTTTTGAACTCACGTGTTGAAAATATAACCGTCCGGAATCCAAATTTGCGAAATAGGAATGTTAATTTTTTTGATTCCACCCCAGTCCACTGGATCCCATGTCAAATAGTCGTCTTGCCAACTCTGAAAATATCTAATATTTTTCAAGAAGCTTTTGTTCAACTACACCTGTGGAAACCATAATAAAATTTTTATTTGTTCGTTTTGCTCGTTCTGAAAATGATGAAAGTTACATCAAATTATTGAAAAACTAATTCTTACCACTTCGACGAGGTTATAAATCTGTGGCTGAACGGTCACGTTAAGAACTTTCGAAAAGTTCTTAACAGGCCGGGTGTACTGATAATAATCAGCCAGGAGGTGTTTGGCCAGTCCTCGCTCACTGATATCCGGCTCTTCTTCGTAAACTTCTTCCTGTTCTTCCGGCTCTTTGAGCGCTTCTTCTTGCTCTTGTTCTGAAACTTTCTGCTCATGAAATTGGTAAAATTTTCAGTGAAATCTATGGAGGAAACATGTATAAGAATATTTTTTTCAAATAGTCGTTGGAAAGATCAAAAAAACCAAGTTTCTATAAATTTTCAATAAATTTTCTCAGAATCAAAAAAATAGGTAGAATTAATTATTTCTATGAAATTGAGTTACTGGGTTTGAGCGAATTAATGATGAAAAAGTTCAGCGAAGTGTGGCTTATTTTTTTGAGCTTTGAACTATTTAGAAAAAAATTATGCAAACAAGTGGAATATTCCCTGATTTTTCATAACTATTATAAATATGGACTCACGGAACGAATGTTGTGAAACAAGCAACAAGGCAAGAAAGATCAACTTCAAAGAGCTACCGTCCGTCATTCCGAAATCGAACCATGTAATTGTTACCTGGAATTGATCTTGAACAATGGAAACGTTGTGCGGGTAAAAACAAAACACACATTCAACATGAATAAAGTTTAAAAAAGTTGATGGGATTGACAAACACTTGCGAATAGATTGGATGCGCCGCAACAAGTTGAGTAAACGGAAGACACTCGAGACGGTCGGTTGCAAGTTGGAAGCTCTCAGGCCGCCTTGTCGCCAGAATCTCTTTCGAAACTGTGCCAAGACTCTCCAGAACCCGCGGTTTTTCTAAGATTGCGGCTATCAGGTGAAGAGAACCTTTGAAAACAATCTTTTGAGTTAAAACATTGAAAAATGAGTTGACTCGCCATTGATTTCGATATTTTTAAAATTTTTCGGACGTTTTTCGGAACTATCTCGGATTTTTTTTTGAACTGTTCGAGAAGCCTCACAAAAATCAGTTTTATTTTGAAACAGAAGGAATTTGGTTGAGTAGAAGATAGAAGATGTTCCGAAGATACGAAAAGGAAAACTGGCAAAAATTAGTTGAAATATCAAGATTCCGATCTAGAACATTTTGAATAAGTTTCGAAGCTTCGAACTATTTCAAAACTCGAACGAACGGACAAAAAAGCTCTTCAGAACTCGTGTCTCTGTAAAGATTAACTGAGTCACGCGAAGAAAAAAATAATATTATGATTGATATCTCAAGATTCGAGTTTTGACTGCATGAAAGGTTAAAAAGCAAAAAAATTTTTAAATCTTTCATATACAGTTAGAGAGTTTGGATTTACTTGAGAAAGATATACTATCTTCAGAATTAAAAAGCTGCTTTGTATATTTTTGTAACGAACTCCATATTTTCCAGATACTGTGATCGATCGGAAAATAATTTCCCGTAAAACTTTTTGAAGATGATTATATCGAAGAAAAAGAGAAAAAAAAAATCATCGAATAGTTACAAAAAGATAATCAAAAAGATGATAATAAGAAAGGGAGCTTAACGAAGATAGAACTGAATGCAGTTTTGAAATCCCTGCTCACAACCTCCCATACTAATAATAACTAGCCCTCGCATATTGTTTAAAGATGTTTTTCATAAAATCGGAAACACATGGCTCAATCTTTGAAGGCGTGGAGTTTGAAAGGTTGAAAAAATCGAACTACCGCCTGAAAAAATGTTCAAAATTGTCTATAAACTTTTAAAATATCGTTACGAATGAGAAAGTCACTAATTTTTTGTCGTTCAACTGGTAAATGCTGATTTTGTACAAAAAACAGTACAGGTACAGAGCAAAGGCGCATAGAAAGAGTTTTTTCACGTTTTATGGCTAAACTTTGTGCATGTTCTCACGGTTCGGAAACTTCTACCTGAAGTGTTTGTCATCACTTCAGGTGATCACAAAAAATTTGATCGAATCGGTTAACTATGCTATGGTCATTTCATCAGCCAGCTTTGCGATGAGATATTTATTTTTTGAAAACACTGATTAGAAAAAAAGATTACGAGGAGTAGACTAGGAAAAAACGCAGAGGAAAAAAGCGAGTATTTGCTTTGATCTAAAAAACGATGGGTGGGAATCGGACCGGCACTCAGACTCCGTAGTAGATCGTGTGAACTTCTTGGTCTGTGTGTTTTCATCGCCAACTTTCAGAATTCATTTTTATTCAATCAGGAGAAAAACTGAGTCATATAATTGTAGAATACGAGATCTATGAGCGATGGAAGAACAAAAAAAACGATTTTGGGAGTTATTTTGAGACGAGTTGCCGCTGGCCGAGCGGATCCTCGATCCACGGATAATTCTTCGGGCAACTGCCACACACACGGAAACTGTGAGCAAGTTGACCGCGCGACCTCGCCGAATAGCTGCATATTGATGGCGTCTGCAAATAGTGCCCATTTTTCATTTCTGTTGAGTTGGATCACATTTTGAAAGGCTCGTAAAAAAAGCAGTCTCATTTTAAGAAGTAACTCACTGAAAATTTCTGAAAAATATTCAGGAAAAAGTATTTTCAGAAACTTTAAAAACAGTAATTTCATGTACTTAAGGGGGCATGACATGAACTTCATCTCCAGTTGGGGATCCATAATGATTTTGAAACTACAAGTTTTTTTTTCTCCAATCCTACCTCACAAGGTTGAATATGGTCATTCATCATGAAATTGCACTGCCACGGCCTAAATCGATTGATGGAAGAAATATCCATTGGCGACTTCATCCAAGCAATCATTTGAGAGCCGGTGACCGCGTAAACGTCGGTTTTATTGAGAGTCTAGAATTTTTTCTCGTTTTTATTACATTGTTGAAAAAAAAACCTCCATCAACCATTCTTCCAAAGCCAAAACTGCGCCATTGTCAGGCAAATAAGTTAAAAACTCAGTGTCCAATGAAAGCACAAACGGCGCTCGATTGGTTTTGTAATTTCTCAAGAAGTTTCTGTTCAACATCTGCTTCACTGATTGTCGAGTGTCGTATGGCTAAAAATAAAGAATTTTATCAGGAAAAATAAATTTTCTTCACCTTCAAAGCTTTGCTTGCCGTAGTGTACCAAATGCCGTCATTTGCCTGAATAAGCTGCACAGGAACCTCCCAAAGACCTCTGTAGGGCTTTTTAGGACAATCTTGCTGACCGCAGTCCCAAGCAAGTTTGTGGTCTCAAGAAAAATCATAAAAAAACAAACTGAATATAGCTCACCTAATGTTTGTGGCCAAAAAGGTCCTTCTTTCACTGGCATCGAGTTATCGTACAAGAATTCATTCTCGGCCATCATTTCGAACTGAGACTCTCCTAGAAAATTGTTCTTGTTTTCTATGATGTAACGATAAAACGCTCAAAAGTGATTTTTCAAGTGGTGCCAAATTAGTTATGAAGAAGAAAATTAAATTCAAAAAGAGCTTTTTAAATAGTTGCAATGCTCATTGATCCTCTCTGAACTCGTTTTTTTTTTCAAATATTCTTTTTTCAAAGTCACCTCCGATGATAAAATAAGGCGCTCGAATGCCCTTTATCGAGTGTTTGTCAATGTAGCTGAACTCGTGAAGAGAGTCCCTCATTCCTCCCATTTCATGACGCCATCGTTCCTTTGTTTTGTTTGTCAAAACTTCATGACTGAAACAAATTTTTTAATTCGCTTAGATTTTTTTTTTTGAAGCGACAGCTGATTTCAATATAAAAACATTGAAAGATGAGAGAGAAAGGATGTGAGGGCTCGGAACTAACGTGATGGAGTTGACGGCGATCTCATTTCCGCGACTATGAAGCCATTGGGTTTGGTCGTAGTTATTCCATTGATGCGAGACGAAAAACGTTGCTTTTAGTCCACATCCGTTTTGATTTCGGATCTGACAATATCCGAAATTTTTGAATTGCATTATTTTTTGGATGCATACCTTCCCACTGAACAGTGATTTGTAGATGTTAATGATCCTATCAGTTACCGGATCATCAAAAGTAAGAACGATCATCTGAGGGGTCGATTTCCGTTCCAAGCCTCCGGGGATCGCCGTTCCAAGTCTGGCGAATTCTCTTTGTTTTGTTTACTGCTGCTTTTTTCATTCTCACTGGGAACAGAAGCAGTTCGGAAGTTGACAGGAATTGTCAGTAGGACAAGGCGTCAGTTGAACCTTTTCTTTGGGTTCAGTTGCCTTCGGTGTGTAAACTTCTACAAAACAATAGCATTTGAACGTGGTGAGAATATCTTTGGGTTCTAGCAGTTTTCAATGTTACCGGGAGTTATCGATCATTTTATTAGTAACAGATATACAAAAAAGGTATTAGAATGTAGTGAAGGATGAAAAAGAAAAATTAAAATTGGATTATTCAAAACTTGAACTAAAAAAGGAAAAAAAAGTTGATTTGAAGGTTAAATTACACGATTTTATGTGAAAAAGCATCTTTATTCACATTAGATCACTAGTAGAGAAAAAATCATTTTTTGAAGAATTTTTGAAATTGCTTCATTTCGATGCAATTTTTTTCAGTTCTCTCGTTATGACATTTTTAAAGGTTTTTCAAAGCACACCAATCGAAAATTAGTCAACATCAGAATAGAACAGGTGAATTATGAGAAATATTGACACATAAGACATTTGCGAAAGACAGTACACTCGTAAACATGGCAAAGTTAGTGGGGAACGTGCTGATGTTAACGTTCAGTGAGGACAGAACGGTATTGGCAGACTCCGTTCTCATTCTGAATCATTGTGAAGGGACATTGACAGACGCCGTCTTTGGAGCACACCCGAGGAGCGTCGCAGTCGCGGTAAGAAGAGCACGGTTTTCTCATTTCTGGAACATCTCTTTTTCTTAGTTTTTCAAGGTTTCAATGTTGTCGGGTTTTAATTTTTATCCTCCGTCGATTATCTTCAAATTGCAAAGTTTCTTCAAAAATTAGAAATAACCGATGTTTCGTAATTCGTGTAATCTTGATGTTTTCGGTTGAAAAACAAATGTGATTTTTTCCAGTTAATCTTGTCGACGAAAAAATATCATTTTGCAAAAGTGAAACAGTAGAAAAACGTCTAGTGCGATGATCCAATTTATAAATTCTTCGCATTACAAGAAAAATTCACAAGAAATCAGAGGCTTTTTTTTTTAATTCTTGAACTAAATATGGTGTCATCTGATTCTAAGGATCGTCCACTAACGTTGATTTTTTGATCAACTTCTAAATTGTCATTCAGTTTCACTCACCATTCCTAGGAACACACGTGTCGTTCTGCTCAGAATATCCTGAAGGACAGGTACAAACTGAACTTTGGCAGACCGAGTTTTTGACTGAAGAACAATCAGACCACGAAGTACATCTCGTTCCAATCTCTGAAGATTTTCCAGAAATTTTTCTCGCAGTCTGAATTCTCACTTTTCATTGTGTAAGCTTGAGCCATTGGATAGGCTTGAGTTGTAGCTGACATCAAAAAAGGCGAACAAGTGGAGTCGCCTCTGTTCAAATAGCCTTTCGCACAGATGCAATGGCCGTTTGTGCAGAAAGAACCTCCAAGACAGGAGTTTCCAGTACTTGGACAAGCAGCTCCAGGAAAAGCTGAATTTATGTTGTTACCATACAATTGATTATTTTCACCTGATTCGAACTGAACGGTAGACGGAGAAGCACAGTGGCCGGTAGAGTTCATCTTCGAGTTCTGAGGGCAAACACAGAATCCGTTGAGACATTCCGAAGATCTTCCGCAGAACTTGGTCGCACAGTGAGAGCCCGGCAAAGCCTGAAGAGATTCATAGGTTGGATAAACTTCGGAAAGATACCTCCATTTCACATTTCCCGTCAATCAGATGTTCATTCACTCTACATGAGCAATATCCATTGGAGCAGGCAATTCCAGTGGGACAGTCGATATCAGAAGAACAACCTTTTTTGGGATAAGATCTCTGAGAAAGTGGCATCGACGTCAGAACGCAGGACGAGCGATCGTAACTAAAATTTTTGATAACTGCTGGAAAAAGTTTTTTGCTTCAAATTAAAGTTCTTGGACTAGTTGAAATTAACAGTATTCCTGAAAAAAGGTGAGTCAAGTCTTCAAATTTTCAAAAAAATTAAAAAGCTTTTTCACCTATCAAAAGAAATATATTCCAAAGCCTCCAAAACCTTCACGCCTTAGTTTTCAAATGTAATCTATTTTTTTGTAGGGTTTTGTTTGGTTCAATTTCCAGCAGTATCGGAAATTCACCTCGGAGCGTAGCCAATGTCGCAATTGCAAGTTCCAACAATACAAGAAGATCCGCCCGTACAAGTTATGCTCACGTCACAACTGTCTCCAGGTCGAGCCGTTTTGAAATTATTCGGTGGATTCTGCTGAAAAAATGCCTTGTGGGTTTAATTTACACTTCTATTTCACTCCAGGAGGTTCGTAAGCCATTGGTGTGCAGATATTGTTGAAAACGTAGCTTCCTAAAGGACAGGTACAGATCGATTGAACACAAACAGATCCTCCTGAGCAGCGCTGAAGACAAGGCTGAAACTCGCAGCGAGGATCACATCTGGAGCCAGGAACTACTGAAAAATGAGAAGACTATAAACGTTTCGATAAAAACTACTCACAAGTGAACAGTGGAGATTGAGTTGTTGGAAAGAATGGGATAAAGGTGAAGCGGATCTGAGTTGGAGTACAGAAAGAACCACTGGCTACAAGACCAAAATCGCACTTGCAGAAGTTGTCGACACAGGATGCACCACCTGAAAAAATAATTTTCAAAAAAAAAAAATAGAGTGTTCACCTCGACAAATAGTTCCGGGCTGTTGGCAGCTCTGTCCAGGATAGGCGTCACCAGAATAAGACACACAGGAAGTTCCACTCAGAACTAAATTTGTAGGACAGACGCATTGATTGCTGACGCATAAAGCCTATAATGATTCTCATAATGATGGAAAAAAAAACTTGAGAAATCAAACCGAGTTACGACACAACATTGCTCCAGGCCGCAGATCACAAGGTTGACCTGGATTTCCGTTAACTTAAACCATTTCACATGAAGAGTTTTATAGAAAAGCTTACAAGATCCTGGGTTAAGTTGTGGATTTTGACAGGATTGATCATTGCAGACACAGGATCCTTGCTGGCAGCTGTAGTTTGGTTGACAAGAAGGGGAACATTGGCTGGAAGAAGAGATGCAGCCATCGTTTGCCATCATGTAGCCCTTCAAAGCGAATATTAAAATAGAAGTATTGTTTTATACTCTATTCGCTACGGCTCGAAATAAGTTAATCAGAAATGAGGCATGGCATTTTCTTGAAGTTCAAAGACAGAAGAATCAACTTTTGCAACAACTTATTAGAGGTCTTCAGATTTTTTCTGTGTCATCAGTTTTTTTGTCACTCACCGGGGCACACTGGCACTGATCCTGGACGCAGACTTGGTTCTGCTGACATGGAGAAGGACAACCGCAGTTATTTGATGAGCATGGCGAAATTAGCGTTGCTGTCGCTAGAATCGTCACGCATTGGCCGTTCATGGCAGCCTGTTTTCAAAAAAGTTCATTATACTCGGTCAATAACCTTACTTGGCCTTCAGGACATTTGCAAACTCCATTCAGACAAATTGAATTCCCAGTGCAAGTCGTGATTCCTTCCTCGCACATTGTTCCAGGATCAGACTGAGAATCGATAGACACACAAATATCGTTTCTAAAATGATGGGGCATTGTATTATAACTAAAATTTGATTCTTACTTCACTTGTTCCCCTCCAGGACAGACGCAAAGATTATTAGCGCAAACCGAGTTGCCAGTGCATAGAATTTGACCGTCAGAACATTGACCGCCAGGAGAAGCTGAACAGTTTGCAAAATATTTATTCAGTGTCATGAAGCTTATGTTTCGAACCATATTGGAAGTTTCCAGGTAATGGGTTCACACAAAAGCCGCCACTGTTTTGAGTTCCGGCCGGACAGGTGCAAATACCTTGAATACAGAACGAGCCGCCAGTGCAAACGTTGGGATTGTTGAAACAACTCGTTCCAGGAGACTCTGAAAAAAAGATATGTTTTTTGTATAGAATTCTGGACAAAGAAATTCGAACCAAGTTGCCTGGACTTTTTTTTCTTTTCGAAAAAGCGACTAAATTTTTGACATTTTCGAAGTTTTTTTTTTTTCAAACCCAGTGATTATTGGGATAAGTGTAACCCACTTGCAATAGACGGATACGAAGCCACCTTTGGCTGAGCAGCAACTACCGCAACACATTTTCCAAATGAATTTTTGGTTCCAATTGGACATTGACACACTCCATTTGTACAAGATGAGCCACCACCGCACTTTAATCGAGAATTGCAGAACTGTCCGATTTTCACTTGAAAGTTCATATTTTTGAGGTGAAGTGCAAATGATACTCTTACCAGTTATCATGGCGCAAACTCCATTTTTCGGCATATATGAAGACGGACAAGTGCAGACATAGTTCAGGCAAGAAGAGCCGCCGTCACAAAAAGTTCCAGAGAAACATTTGGCTCCAGGTGGAGCTATGGATGCCGCGACTGAACTTAATTATGATGAACGCAATTTGAAAATAACAACCTGAAGATCGATTGATGCAGGTGAAAGAAGCTTGGAGGTATCCAACCCGACATTGGCACAAGTTTTGCTTACAGACGGCTTGGCTCATACAGTCCTTATCCAAATTGCAGTACTCGCCGAGACCAGAGATTTTTGTTGTGGCGGCAATTGAGCTTTCCACGGCGTTCATACTTTTCAGAAACTCGATGTCATTTGCTGACGACACCTTGCGCTTACTCCTCGTGTTCCCTACAAGTTTCGAAGCCATGCTGTTAGTATTCATGCTTTTTTTAGTTTTTTTGTAATTATAACATTGAAAACTGCTTTTTTGGTTTTTGCCTATCTACCTCTGACTGGCGGTACACATTTATTATCGTTGAGGTAGAGGTTAGGTTTGCAGACACACATTCCTTCGATGCAGCTCGATTCTCCTCGGCATTGCTCGCCTTCTGCGCACGAAGTTCCAGGCTCCGCTGTAAATTTCATGATCTTCAGTGATTACTGTTTCCAGACACAAAAAAGAAGGTCAAATTTATTTGATTTTTTTAGACTTTTTGAGGTAAAATTCCGCTATTTTCCCATACTGAAATAAAAAAACAGTTTTAACAGCAGTTTTTTTATAGATGTCCTAAATTGTGAAAAAAATCTTCATTCTATAGATGATTATTAAACTTTCTCGATTTATTTTTTTCACTTTTCACTTCAGAAAAAAAGATTTCAGTTCATACCCCTGAAATTCTCCATTTTTCATAAATTTCATTTATAGAGCTTTTTCTTTTCCAAAAAGCTGGAGTTTTACTTCTGGCTTTTTTTGCAGATTTTGTAGGTTTTCAAATAGATTTTTTTCTTTTTTTGTTTGGTAAAAATTTTTCTAAACTTATTTTTTTGAATATGAACAAAAAAACTGACCATAATTGATAGGGATGCAGAAACCAAATCGACTGAGAGCCAGTCCTTGCTGACAATGACATTCTCCCTTGACACAGTCGGCCCCAGATGGACATTGATTGGAGGCCACACACCTTCTGGCTGAAAAAAATCAGTTTTGAAAAGAAATAAAATGGGTATTTTGTTTTACCATCGATGGGACTAACACACTTGTCACGTAACAACTCAAGACCTTCAGGACACATACAAAAGCCGCCAACACAAATCGAACAGTTTGTACAGAACGTGCTGTCATCACATGCATAACCCGGTTTGGCAACTGAAAAAAAAACCGAAAAATGCCGAAAGCCAAATAAATTAGTACTTTTGAACCAAAAAGGTGCCAAAGTCGACACCGAGGACGTTTTTGGAGCTTCTGAAGTTGAGCTTGAAATGGTACTAGTAGAAGGAATTTCTGTCGTCGTAGTCGTGGTTGAATCAAGAATTTTCGCTCTTCGAGGTGTCAAAGTAACCATTTCGGCTTCAATCGCTCGGATCCCATCAACTTAATTTTTCTGTTGAGCACAAAAAATGGGACAGCAAAAGTCACTTTTTTCTAGTCGTTCACATCTTCCTCGGAACAGAGTAAACTCATTAGTGCAGAAACATATTCCATACAAACATTCGCTGTTTCCACTGCAAATTTCACCACGCGAGCAAGATGATAATGGCGGAACTGAACCAACTCAAAAATTACAAAAGAAGAAAGAATGGAAGTTTCACCTATTTTTTGAGAAATCACAGGTGTGCAAACTCCTTTAATCAGAGCGAATCCAGTAGGACAGATGCAAAGTTTGTCGATACAATGAGAGCCTCGCTGGCAGATTCGGTTCTCTCCACAGGCAGATCCGGGAAGAACCAGTAGAATTGTTGGAGCTTTCGAAGTTGTCGTGGGCTTCGGAGTCGTCGTCGTGGTCGTAGTAGTTGTAGTAGTGGTAGTAACAGGAGGAACAGCTTTGGGCATGGGTTTCGGCGTTGTTTCTGGAGGAGACTCGATCCTTCTGATGCACTGAGTTGAGCCGAAGATTCGGAATCCTTGTTTGCACATGCACATCTCCTGGTTACACTCGGAGTTAACCACCTTGCAGTCCTCATCTCTACTGCATTCATGTCCCAACAATCCAGCTGAAAATCACACGAAACTGAAAGAAAGCAAAAAAGTAATTTTCAAACGTTTTTTGCGAGACGCAGAAGCAACGTAACAAGAGTTATTCCTCATTTGCATCCCAGCGGGACAAACACAGATATTTCTACGACAGAAAGCCCCATGCCCACAGTCGGAACTCCGCACACATTTCAGAGGACTCGGAAGACGTTGAGATTCTGTCGAGGTGGCCGGAGTCGTTGTGAAAGCTGAAGCGGCCGGGATGTAACAAAAAAACACAGCAAACTTTGAAATCAGAAAAGAAAAAAATTTCAATTTATGGAAAAAAATAGATGTTTAGAGGAACTTCGAATTTTTTTCCCATCGGATCAATTAGTGATAACTAGAGTTCGAAAGTAAGTTGGGACGTCAAAAGAAAAATGTTCTCTACCCAGTTTCGGTCACATTTTTTTATTGGCTTCATTGAAAAATTTTTTTTCTTTTCAAACATAAGTTTTTTTGAAACTCAGGAATAAGGAAGGAATTAAGAAAACTAACTTGTCGAGGAAGAAGTCTGACTGAGAGCTTCTGGAGGTCGTCTTTTGACACAGCTTCCGTTCATTTGTTCCTGACCGGGCGGACATTCACAAACTGAAGCCGAGCCGCAAACTGAGCCACCCGTGCAAATTTCGTTCATCGCACAAGATTCGCCCACGCCGACTGGAAAAACTTGATTGAAAAGTCATTTTTCAAATGCTTTCTAATAATTAAATAATCAACTATCATCTCAACTTTTTCTCACTAAGTTTTTCAAGGAAAACAAGATTAATACAAGCGAAACGGAGCATTTTTTAGAGATGAAACTATTATTTTCAATTCTTAAGCTCCTTAATTCGGTTATGCAGAAAATTTTTTTTACAGACCTGAAGGCACAGCTTTGCAGACGCCATTCATTGGAACTTTGCCAGAAGGACAGGTACAGATTCCCCGTCGACATTCAGACTCTCCATCGCATTCATCTGTTCGAAGGCAGACTCCACCAGCCATAACTGTAACATCAAAAAGTGTTTTATTCCCGCTTGATTATCATGGCTGGACCTGAACAAAAGAAAACCCCGATAAAAAAAATAAAAGAAACAAAAAATCAAAGGGTTAAGCTTTCTACCTGAAACACCTGAAAGCTTTCTTTATTTGAGAGAAGCCGATTACGATTGGCTCTGTAAACTTACCCATTCGATTTTTAACACACTGGTTATGGATCCTCGTATGATGAGGCTTGCACTGACACACGCCTTTCATACAGATTGACTGTCCAGTGCAAACGTCTTCCGATGAACAAACGTAGCCAGGAAGAACTGTAATAAAAACCAAAATTTTTAGTGCAAATGAATAACATTCATCCAGTTTCCTCATTCGTGGCCCACTGGGTAGGTTTTTTTAATTGGGAAGAAATCCTCAAAAAAATTTTTTTGCCTTGGTCAGTATTATTTAGAAATCCAAGACTTTAACTTAATCCTCAAGAGTTTTTTTCTTCAAAAATTATGAGTAAGAAAAAAATTGAATTAGACCAATTTATTGTTATTCTCACTACGGAAAAAAGTAACCTCAATTTATCATAATTGAATGAAATCGACTTTTCCGTCTATATTCATGCAGGCTCACCTGTCCTTTTAGCCGAACAAACACCATTCCTGATGGAAGATCCTGGAGCACATTGACACCTTTGGTCGACGCATGTCGAGTTGCCCATACACTCGTCGAAAACGTCGCAAGAAGATCCGGCGTCGATCTTTCTTTTGTAGACGCAGACGTTGCCGCGGTTTATCATGTCGCCGACGCAGGTGCAAACGCCGTTTCGACACACGGAAGAGCCGGTACAGACGTCAGAACCTGTGCATTCCTGGCCCGGATTCACTGAAAAAAGTTGCCCTGGGAAAGCTTCTTGGGAAACTGACCGGTTCTCTGTTGGACGCATTTTCTGTTCTGTGGCCTCATGTTGTACGGACATTCACAACGACCCCGTGCACAGTAAGATCCGCCGCCACAACGAGTCACAGCGGCTGAGCAGCGTTCTCCGGGAGAGACCAATTGAACTTCCATGCATTCCTGAAGTCACCATTTTGAAAACCAGATTTCTGACTGAACTGATAAAATATTGCAAATTAAGGTTTTTTTCCTGAAATGGTTTGTATGGAAAAAAATCATCGAACTGTCCTGAGGAAAACTGATTTTTTTAATAAAAAAATAAAATATTCATTACAAATATCTCCTTTATATCTTTTTTTTTTTTTGAAATAATAAAGCATCGCTGATGATTTTTTCAAGTGATGTCCTCAATTTGAAATGTTCGGTATTGAAAAAAAAAAACGTACGCCTCCAATATTCTGTTGCCCTCTTTCACAAGTGCATTTTTTTGAAGAAGAGTCGCAATGAGATCCTCCGGTGCATTTTTCTCCATTTCTACAGCTTTCTCCACTTTTAACTGGAATAAAGAAAATGTATATTATTTCGATAATCAATTCAACTCGCCTGAAATCCTTTCGTGACAGACTTTGTTAACTTCAATCTTATCCGCGTCACAAGCACATCTTCCATCGATACAAACCGAGCCACCAATGCAAATCTCGTTGTTGGAACATGGGAATCCGGGATGTGATCGTAGCCTTTCGACGCAAACGTTTCCAATGACCTGAAATTGGAAATCATTAAGAAAGTTGACTCGAAATGCCAAAAATAAAACCATTTGAGATGGACTGACGCATTCGCAAATTTGAGTGATTTCATTACAGTAGCTGCTTCCAGTGCAGTCCTCGCCTTGTGAACAAGATTCTCCGGGATTTCCTGAACCCAACTATTTTCCTCGAAAAAAGACTATTCTTACCAGTAACGTGATTGACGCAGTAATTGTCATTGGGCGTTTTTCCAAGAGGACAGACGCAGATTCCAGCCACACAGATAGAGCCGCCCCCACATCTGACGCCAACTCGGACGCAGGATCCGCCGATGGAAACTAATAGGGCAACAAAATAGAAAGAGAAATACAACTCAAAAACCGCAAACGAGGCATGCAAAATGTTTTAATGTTATTAACCATTTGAGACTGAGTTAGTAGAAGAAAAGGTGAGTTTCATTTGGACATGCTCTTTTTGTGGAGGGCCGGTCAGACAATCTCCTCCTTCGGTTTCTCCATGTTTACACTGGCACCTGAATTTAATAATTTTGAATTACCCGAAAGGATTGGAAAGGTTACCTGCTCAAAATGCATGACTTTTCTTCAGGACAACTACTGTCATCTCTACACTCTGGTTTTCTATGAGTTCTCTCTCGAAAATGGTCAGAAGGAACGCAAATCTTTCCGATTGCAACATGATCAGCTAAATTCGAATTTTCAAAAGTTTTTTCCTCTGAAGGAATTTACCTGGACAAACGCACTTCATCGAGGGAATGTCGCAGTGGGCGCCGTTCAGACATTCGTACTGAGACGAGCAAGACCCCAAAGAATTTGATGTGTGATGACAGATTCCTTGGTAAGACATGGATCCGGCAGGACAGATGCAAATCCCATCAGAGCAAAACGAGCCACCGTTGCAGGCATTTCCTAATATTTTCCTTTGAAAAAAGTTCTCTGATAACCGAACTACCGAGAGAGCAGGAAGAGCCAGGAGGGACGGAAGAGAAGCTTTTGCAGACGCCGTCTAGACCGTGTGTTCCAACTGGACAGAGACAGACTTCGTCTTTGCAGACGCTACCGCCGCCGCAGGTCTCGCCGTTGCTACAACTGCTTCCAGGTGGAGAGCCTTCTCCAGAACCGGCAGCTCGACATTCTCCGTCGACGATGGATAGGCCAGTTGGACATTGACATTGGCCATCGATGCAGACAGCGAGTCCTGAAGTTTCGATTTCAAAGTACAAAAAGCACAGATTTCTGCTTTCATTATTCTTCTTGAAAATTTCTAGTCCAAAACTTCGATAAAATTCTGAGATCCATTGCATTCCAAAATTTGAGACAGTACTTTAAAAATCCAGAAATTTCAATTTCAACGGATTAATAAACTTTTTTTTCATCTTTTGAATGAAAAATTGCAAGTTCCACTTTCAAGAAGATTCACCAGCCAACATTGAGATTTTTTTCCGTCTCCTAGCTCGTTTATTCTTGAATTATTATGGGCTGATAAAATTAAAAAATGCGTCTCTAATCGAAAACTCTTAATTTCTCATAATTTGCACACTTCTGAACCATCAAATTTTGTTGTGCGCCAAACACCATTCTATAGAAAAATAAAGCTCAAACTATTCTCAATATTCAATTTTTTTCACTTTTTACACAGGTTTGAAGCTCAAGAATACCTTGACATCTAGTGCTCGACCCGCAAGAAGCTCCTGGGCGCGCGGCTCGCAAAGCAAGACATTCATCTCGGACGGCATGCGTTCCAAAAGGACATTCACAGACTTTGTTGATACAAGTCGACTGTCCAAGACAGCGTTCATGACCCGTTGGGCAGGCGCCACCAGGTGAAACTGAACTCAAATTTTATTTTCTTCAGAAAAAAACTGATGAACCTGAAGGAGGATGTTGGCAGATTCCATCGATCAAAGCTTCATGGGCACTGCACAGACAGACGTTGTTGATACAAGTACTGCCGCCAGAACAAGAGACGAGGGGATTGCAAGGGCTGTTAGGCGGAACTGCACAAGAGTTAGGAAGGTTAGTCAGGGGAGGATATGTTATTTATAGGTACAAAAGGTTCGATAGAAAAGAGCCTACCTGATTGCGGAGCTACGCATTGTCCATTGACGACTTGACGACCAGCAGGACATGTGCAGTTTCCATTTGCGCAATAAGAACCACCACCGCATTTCTCTCCATTTTTGCAGGAACTCAAAGGTGCCGCTTCCACTGGAATTCGATTATTTTTCAGCAAGTTGACTTTAAAAAAAGTTTTCTCTTCTTAAAAAATCAGTGCGCGGCTGAACAAATATGCTTGTGTGACCCATTGATAAGTATTTTTTTTCTGAATTTAGAATAGGAAACTTTGTTTTTTTATTTGATCAGAAAGGTCAGAGAAGTGAAAAAAACTAATGAGAAATGCTTTTGTGAAGGATAACCTTTCAAATAGTTAAATTGTATTCATTCAATGAATAACTTGAATCAAAAAAATATTTATTTCTTTATTCTCATAAGCTTGAAAAATAATTATTTTTTTGATTCTTTCCTTTTTAAACTCCTTCAAAAATTTCATCAAAAATGTTCGCTCCGTCAGGTTTTATGGCTTTTTGACAAGTAATCAGATGTCGGGTTTTTTCTCTAGATGAATAAATAAATTTCGTACAGACCTTGAACACATTCACTGCCACGAGCGACCATTCCAACGGAACATTGACAAACGCCGTTGTGACAACTGCTGCTGCCAGTACATTGGGCGTTGACCGTACAAGGACCGCTGGGGACTGACTGCGGCAGACAGTCGCCTTCGAACTCCACGTACGTTGGTCGGCAAGCTAAAAAACTTTTTTCCTCATTTATGAAATGAATAAACCTTCAGCGTTCAGAGTTTCTCAACTTCAAGGGGTGAGGTTGCAAAAAATTGTGATTTCAAAAATGTACCTTCAACACAAACTCCACGATTGTTGAGTCGCAAGCCGGGCGGACAAGCTTGAGAACATTTCGTTCCGGAGAACTTCAAGCCGTTGGGGCAACGACAGACGTTTTTGTCGCAGATCATTCCAGGGAAAATCGCGTGACATTGTGAAGTATAAGTGCACTGACCACCAGGTTGGACGGCTGAAAAAAACTGAAGCTTACAAAAAAATAAATAAAAAAATAAACTAATTCAAAGATGATATTCGAGAAAAATCTTTGTAATTAGAAATTGAAATTTTTGTAATTCGAAGCTTTCTTTTTTTGTTATAAATGTTTTTTTATTTTTTTAATATCAAATTTCGAAAAAAAGCAACGTTTGAAATGCTTCCTCATTTTTTTCTTATCTTTTGTATTGATTTTTCATTTTTGCTGTTATTTGTTTTATTAGCAGAGATAATATCCTTTTTTTCACGAGAATTCCCTTCAAACGTCCTTCAAAATCTTACTCGGCAAGCACTGTCCAGTGACTCCCGAATAAGTCTCTCCACTCGAACAATTCCTTCCACAGGTTCCATCAATCGCAACTGGAAGATTTGGCGGGCAAGTGCAAGTTTGCATGAAACACGTCGCTTCAGGGTATGCTCCGGTACATTGTAAATTGTGAGAACATCCCTTGGCCCCAGGAGCCAAAACTGAAAATATTTCTGCATTTGTCTGCAAGAAAGACAAGTGAAGAACCTTCACGACATTCTCCGAGTTCGCTGATCCAAATATAGCCTCTTTGGGTGCATTCATTGTTGGCAAACGTGCAGCCACTGCCACTTTGCCGCATTCCATACACGCACTCACACCTGTTAATTGTTTGATGTTCGCTTTTTTGGATTTTTTTTTGTCCCTCAAATCACTTATTCAATAAAAATCTGGGCTGTTCAAGAAATTTTCGTTTTTATACGTTATCCAGTTATTTTTGCCACAAACACAGTTTGATTTATAGAGATCCATTGTTTTATGTGTCCCTTAAACTTTCAAAGATCACTTTCCCACAAAAATTTCGTACCGTAATCTCAGGCAATAAGCTCCTGGTTCTGCAGAAGCACACTGTTGGGAGTACTGGCAGGGCTCTCCCGGATGTTGAGCTGTAACGTACGTTTCTATAATTGTCAGCTTTTTTGACTTGGTCAGCTTACCAGTCATACACGCTCCGGCCTCGGTGACGTATGTTTGACCAGGCGGACACGATCCAGCAGGCTGCAGGGCTGAAAATTCCAGCGCTCCATCTAATCTGACTATTTCTGGATCTTTCAAGTACCATTTCCGCTTGAAATACACGTCGATCCGGCATTCAGAGCTCCTTGAACACATTTGCAGACACCGTCACAGAAGGACAAAGGATAGCCGGAGCATTCAGAATCCATGGAGCAGACTTCATCTGGAGGAATATGTCACTGTTAGAGAAAAAGTCTAGGAATAGATGTGCAAAAACTTTCTTTTTTTTCGTGACTTACCTGGAGCTGTCCCAATCGTCGAGCTCTTTTGAGCTGGAACTCTTCGGAAGAAATTCTTAATGCGCTCAGTGTCGAAAAACGGCCGGAGATGCTTGTCGTCCGAAACGATGACATTGGCTAGGACCGAAGCTGTAATGGTGGGAGTATAAAAACTTTAAAAAATGTTTGTTTGAAAATTATTCAGTTTTCTGAACTATGTTGTTTTCAGAAGACCAGTCTTTAAAAATCTGTCAAATGAGAGCTTTTGAGCTTTAACCAGAGCAAAAAAATAGTTTAGTAAGCGCGAATTAACGTGATCAAAAAAGCTGAAATAGCTCCTTTTTAACTGAAGATGATTCCAGGACATGTTGGTCAAAAAGCAAGTTCCAAATAATTAAATAATGTTAATAAATCAGGCTCATCGCTTACAATGTTTGCGCGGCTAATTAGTCACAAAATTGAATCAGTTAGTTTGGCTTTTTTTCAAATACAACAAGAATCACTGGATTTTATCTATTTCTCAATTTCGAAAATCACCAAAACCAACCTAAGAAGAAAAAATACAACAGCCGAGGCAGACGCATGGCTCAAGTAATGAAACAACCACCTGGGCTTAAGGATGAGTCAGACGCTTTGACGAGCGTCCGACTTGACATCCCAGCAGTCGCGTGTGTCAGAAAAAGAGAAAGAAGCAAAGCAAGAAGAAACGGACCCATGACACAAGTTTGCTGGTGCACGTGCATGCCGTGAGGACAGACGCAGGTCCTGGAGACGTCGCATTCGGCTCCGGGAAAGCCTTTGTTGCATTGTCGAGTGTCTTCGCAGCCGAATTGGCCAGGGTAGATTGCTGCAAACAGGTTGATAAAAGTGAAAATAAAATCTAGACTAGGTTAGTTGATGAATATTTGAATGAACTGTTCTTCTCTTTTAAAAAGCCAAATTTTCAGAATATATTAGAGTTCACAAAATCGGTCACAAGCTAAAAAAAAATAGGTTATCTGAAGAGCCATAACGGTCTACTTCAGAAAAAAGGGTGAAATATTTGATTGCGGTCTGTTTCACAATAAGATTCCTTTTAAAGGGCGTTGTAAGGAATTTTTCTATTTTTCTATGTGCAGAATTTTTTGACTGAACCATCGAGAAGAAAATAAGCCCGAAACTTGAAAAACCTTTGAAACTTGATAATCTATTTCTGGGCTATCTTTTCTAAAAAAAATATCTTACTAAAAGTCCATTGGCTTTTCATTAACCATTTCTAACTGCTGATCAAAGAAATAGCCTCTCAATATCCTCACAGCGCCCCATCAAAACTCTTCAGCGACTCTCAAAAAGCTCTCGAGAATATTTTGGCCAAGTTAGTGATGAGCAAATGCTGAGGGTCTGCCCTTGACCATAAAAGAGGATCAACAGTAGCCGGAGATAAGAAGCGCCGAGATATTTGTCCAAGACGTGCCACACGGCTTCTGCCAAACACGTTGCTTTTCTAGGCGCAAGTACCCGCTCGCAGCTTTGTTTAACGAATCCCAACCTTCTTTAGATGGTTTCTTGGTCAGGGACTATTTTATTAGAAAGGAAAATGATAATTTGTCGGAAATCTTTAAAAGTTTAGCAAGTCATTTTTTGACGGAAAATGAAGATCCTGAGAGGGCCTGCAGAATTTTCAAATTTCTTTGAACAAGGACACCTCTAAATTGAAAAAAAGACAATTGTTCTTAAAAATAAGCTATTTCAAGAATTTCAGCTTATTTTTCTTCGAAACTGAAAGTTCGCGCAAGTTGAGACTTTGTAATCTTTATTTTGTACATTAAGTCATTCTCCGCGCTTTCTTTACTTTGTTTTAAGGACCTAATGATTTTAGCTGATGTGGTGATTTGTTTCAAGTTGAATAACATCTATCAGAAAAACTTCTACCTTGAAGTTCAAAGAAATTTTGTTTCTTGAAGCTGTTTTATGAAAATCATAAAGAAACATTCAGAGAAAGTAGATCAAAAGCATGAAAAGAAACTAAAAATAATAGAAAGAAAAAAGTCCTACTTTTTCAATTTCGATTTTCGAGTATTACGCGGAGAGCTGGAACAGTTTTTGGAGATTTACCTGGTTTGCACTGGTTTCCGAGGTCGACATGGGTGCTCAAACACATGCAAATTGCAAAAGAAGAACAAAATTCTCCTTGTCCTCGACATTCTGATCCGCCACGGCATGGACGTCCTAGTGTTGTGCCTAAAATGATTTATTCAATCTTTTGTTTGGAAAAAAAACACGGCTTTTTGTAGTGAAAAAAAACCAATTATTATTAATCATTGAATTGAATTAGTAAGCAAAGACTTCGAAAATTTTCAGACATTTTCACGAAGAAAAAAAATGATGAACTTAAAGAGGTAGACCTGCAATGACTAACAGAGAAAAAAGAAAAAATGCAACACAAAAAAAAATAACCAACTTTCATCTGTTACACAGCTTCCATTAACAAATCGGTAGAAGTTCGCGCACATACAGACACCTTCGATACATTGCGAGTTCGGTAGAACACAAGAGTCTGGACTATCGAAGGAACACGCGTTTCCGATCGTTCCAGCTTCTGCGTTGGCTTCTCGGGAAAATATACCTGAAAGATGTTCATTTTCAACTTCAAACCTTAAATTTGAACTTTATCAAGCAATGGCTAAAGACAATTTTATTGGTGTATTCATTCTTCTAGCTCTTGGAAAGAGCTAGAAGCCTAGGATGATCAGGTCTACTATTTTCTTAAGTTTGCAGTAAATGAAGTATTCTTATGCTATACTGTATTTCAAAACTTTTTCAGAACTTACCATAAAAGAGTAAAAGGAAGGGCACTCGGACGGCGGTCATTTCGTCGGCAATGCGGTAGCGCGCAGGGTTAGCCAAATAGCAGAAACCGCCTCTTCTTGGTTCTGTTTGGACACCTAAAACAACACTGCGAGGCATCACACGCGGCACGTTTTATTGAGACTATCTGATACGTTCCCGAAGCTATTTTTGGTCAAAAATGGAAAAAAAAATGGACAGAAGAGCTATTATTGTTTTTATGGTCGTAGCTTATTTGTTTTGAAGCTGTTCGATAGGTTTCGAAATCAAGAATGGAGATATATGAAACTGTCCATCAAAAATGTGCAGCTCGACAACAAGAGATGAAAAAGCTTCTAAGTGTTAATAATGATTGAAAAATGGTTCAAAAGGGGATGGAAAAGAGAATAGTTCACATTTGGTAACAAAAAAATTTTTTTAAAAAAATGTTAAAAAAAACTTTATTGTTATTAAAAAAATGTTCTATTTTTGCTTTGGCTGTTTTTTTGAATGAATATAAACAAATAATTATTATATTCGGACGTACTGCGAATGAAAGTGTGTGACACTCCTCAAAAAATTTTCACGCAATTTTCTGAAAATTTATCCACTTTGAAATAACTCATGGAAATTTTGAGAGAGAGTTTATTAAATAGCATCTTTCGGAATTCTTGTGAATTTTTACTCACAAAAATACGTCCGGTTATTCTTCGAAAGTAGCTTTTCTGGATTTCAACTCAAAAAAGATGAGGTGTAATCTCAACAATTTTGTAATCTTCTTTGACATTCGTCTTGTGCTTTGTGCTGTTTGTCTCCTCCTTACTGAAACCTTGTTCAAAATGACAAAAAGTGCTTAGAACACCTTAACTTCGTGTTGATTGTCGTTTTTGCTTCTTTTTCCAGCGTCTTCCCCTTGTTTTCTACCGGTGTAATACCGCCAGAGCACCACTTGGCTTTCTCTAGAGATTGACTTTCTTTCCTGAACGTTTCCGGGGGACTACACTTGCTGCGCAAATTTATTAGGCGGTGTGCCTCGAGGCGAACGATGTGACCCTCGCCGAGGTAAAAAATTGCCGCTTACTTGAGGGCAGCTGTTCGTTCCGGTATCACCTGCGCTCACACTTTGACATCCTGCAAGAAGTGACTTTTTCAACTTGTCAGTTTGCTGCTCATCATTCTTCTTCCCTAGTTTCAAATATCAACACCTTTTAGTGTCTTGCGAGCATTTCTGGTCATACTAAAGAAAATTCTGAAGATGATATCGAGCCTTATGTAAAAATTGAATTATGCATTGTGACTTGATATTTTTTCGGTTCAAAGTTCATTCAAGTAACATCCAAAGTCTACTTTCACATGTGATCGAATCGTAAAACCGGTGTCCTTACTTTGTCAATGTTTCGATGAATTTATCCATTCAAATGTTTCTGAGGTCGCATTGATTATTATTTTTTGGTAAGAGGTTATTTTCAAATCAGAAACCTAATTTTTCTATTTGGTTAGTGAAAAATTGTACTTAAAAAAAGAGCTCTCAACTAAAGTTCTTGCTTTGAACATCGGAAATTAATTCTTACAATTTTTCAAATTGTGGCGAGCGTCCGAAAAACGTTTTTCTCATTGTTGATCTCTCTGATTTTTATCAAAAAGTACAGCAGAAAACAAATAAGTGCTGAAAGAAGAAAACTGGGTTTTGTGATGAATTGCATGAGACAGCTGAGCGCTTCCATGCAATCAGACCTCGATAATGACGTTAAATCAAGAGCTGCCTTCTCAGCTTCTCCTTCATTTTTAGCGGATCTCTTCAAAGAGATTTATGTTCTTAGCAAACTTTTTTCGCTGATTGGATCGTCAAAGTCAACTGATTTCTCACAAAATTAAAGAAGACGAAATACAATTTTTGCTTTTTCCTGTCCTTCCGAAAAATTGTGCGCAGAAGACAGAAACTACAAATTTCTTAAATTTTTTATCTTGTGAACATCTTCTTTGTTCTTCTTTTTACAAAGTTTTTTGCCAATGGTACAATTTTTCCCTACAATATCGTTATTTTTTCGGTATGATCAGTTAAGGTTAACTGTAACTACACTATTTTTTTTCAAACTGGATCAAGATGAATAGTTTGTTACCAAAGCAGTAATATTTCGATCTAGACCAATTTTGAAACTTTGAAATTTTTTTGGTAGCTCTTATTTTTTTGAATCTGGTTAGAAATCTTTGAATTATTTAAAAAAACCTGAAGTCGTTAAGTTCATTGTTATTTTTTTTAATTATATCAGTGAGCTAGCACATTAAAACGAAATGTTTTGAGACGCTTTTTTTCTTTAATTTTGACCAAGACTTTCTTCATTGAGACATTTCCTGACACTCATTAGTATTTCAATTAGTTGTTAGTGAATGACAAAGCTTTTCTCCTGTTTCATAGCTTTTTTTCTTGTTTTCACATTATTCACTGATAGTTTCTCGTCAATTTCCTATAAGAACCTTGGTCAACCACGCACTTTGGCGTAATTAACTTGATTAAGTCTGGCTCACGCCGTTTTTGAGCAATTATACTCGTCAACTAGCGCGAGGAAACTCTCGAGCAAGGTGCGGGTATAAATTACACGAGAGGTGGGTCCATTGTGTTTGTGGATCGGCGGTCGGTCAGCTGTTGTTCTTCTTCCCCATTCCTCACCTCCACATTTTTATGCTCCTCCAGATTCTCGAACAATTTGTTGATCTCTTTACCTTGTTTCACTGTGTCTTTCTGGTCGTTTTTGCTAGATTTCGAAGCTATTTCTGAAAAAAATAATCATTCAGAAAGTCAAATTTTTAAGGAAAAATATTTTAAAGTGGTTTTTTTCTCAGCAACTGAACAAGGATCGGCATTTTCGTCTCAATCCGCATTTCTCTAAGTCTAAGTTTGGTGAAGCTCTAAAAAAATTCGAAAAAAATCCCTACTTTTTTTGGAAGATCTGTACGTTTTTTTGTGAGTTTTTTTCTTTTCCTAGATATTTGATTCGGAGCCGTTTTTTTCTCGAAAAATTCTTTCAGCGACTTTTTTTCTCAGATTTTTTTGAAGATGAGTTGACTAACTAAGATAGCTTTAAAAAAATTGTTTCTACGACTTTTTTTCAATTTTTTTCTATATTCAGAGGGTTGCAGCAAAACAACCAATCTATTTTTCTTTTTTTATAGACTTTTCCGATTGAGCGAAATCTGAGTTTTTTTGAACTAAGTTCAAAAATAGTTCTTTCTTAAATTAACTTCTCAGATAGAATTTCCAAAATCGACCAAAAGTTTGACACAAAATAATCTCAAATCTTTCAAGCTTGTACCAATGAAAGTACTAGTAACTTCGTACTTTTTCTTCAGTTTCCGAAAATCTCTAATCCGCCCAAAGTTGTTCCTGAGAGGACTTCTCCTCCGAGTTGTTGAAACTCGCTCCCAGATGAAGTGTAAATCGCGGCTCTCTCAGCGATTCGAAAGTTGTTTTACCCAAATGTCCCGTCGGTGTGCCGCAATTCGTCTTTCGTCGGTCAGCTGTTGTTCTTCTTCCAGCACCTCCCGTACACTTTTTGTTTTAATACGCGCCAGGGCATTTTTCCAAGTCCGATTTTAAACTTCACGCAGAGCCCAAAAAATTTTGCACACACCCATCCAATATTTCATTGGGCCGAGATTTGCGATCCGCGCAACTGTCGCACTTTGTCGCCGCCTTTGAATTTTCCCGCTTTACGGTGTCTCTCTGTCTCCGTTGTTTTTGTCTCTCATTATCCGCTGAGTTGCTTTGTTATCACTTGGGGTTGCTGTCTGATTAAGAACAAAAAAGGTAACTAAAGAAATGATCTGTCTAGGATCTGTTTTCTGAGAAATTTCAATCTTCAACCGTTTTTTTCAACAAAGTTGAGCATTACTGAACTTTTTTCTGAGTATTTTATTGTGAACAAAAATTTTTTTTCTCAAATTTTTTTCAACTTTTTGAAAAAGAAAGTTCTTTTCTTAGAATCTGAGTTTTTTTAGTCAAAAGGACAAATTTGGAATTTTTTTGAAAAAAATCAATTGGTAGAAAAAAATTAGGTATGAAATCTTATTCAAAAAAACTTTTTTTCGACAAATTTTTAAACTAGCTACTAATATAATTAAGCAGCTGGCGAACTTGTAAATTTCAAAAAAATTAGCCCGCACATTTTATATTTCAGGCAAAAAAAGCCTCACGGTTCTTCAAATTCTCGTTCACAGATAAATGCTCGAAAAAAATGAATTAGCATAAGTAAAGAGTTAAAAAGCACAAAAAAAGGTTTATGAAAGTAATCAATTGTTGACCTAGGTCTTTTGGGATACGGTAGTGGTAAAAAAATGTAATTTTCGACGCTTGACTCCAGAAGACATTTTTTTAAACCATACTCATGAATTTTTCACAAAAAAAGAACAAAAAAAGAACAACAGGACTCGGTAAGCGACGGGCATTCCTAAACGATTCTGGAACTTCTTCACTCTGCACCGCTTGAAACCTCTTCGAGTGCTCGGCAAAGGTGAAAACAAAACCCACGAAAGCGATTAGACGAGTTCGATGGGAAGACGCATTCAAGTGTTGTTTGGGAGGAGCGAAAACCGCAGTTCTCGTGGAGAAGAACGGAGACTCTCTGGGGGTTCAGAAAGGAGCCTTGTGGACAGCACGTTAGTTATGCCTCAATTGTTGCTGCTCACTGAGATTCTCAACACAAGGAGTTCTCTCTACACTTTTTTGACCATTCTGCTTGAGCTCTACTTCCGGTCGTTGACGTCATTTTTCAATTTGCTTCTTTTCTTGACGCCGTTCTAATCTCATTTGGAAATCTTTCCGCTTTTTGAGTTCAACTGATGGAATAATTTAACTTCTTTTGGAATTCACTTTTTTTTTTGTCACGTACTTAGAAATGTTCTCACTAATTGACCAAACCTTTCAAGATGATGGAAATTGATAGATTTGAAGTTTTAGAATTTGAGTAATTCTCATTCAAGGAAGAGCTTTTTCAACTAATTAGTTCATTATTCTCACATCAGGCCACCTCCCTTCTTAACTTTCTACTAGAAGTCAAACTCACCATATGCTCAGATTGTCGTTTTTATCGATTCTCAAGTTATATTCTTTTTTGAAAAAAGCTGGTTTAGGATATTCTATTGATTAGTTGCGGAGGCTCATCATTTCAACTTTGACAAATTTTCATATTTTTTTCGGAATTTGTTCGTTATTTTTTTTAACTCTAATGAAAACGTCTTCAAACCTTATAAGACAGGTTCTGTCTTTGAAAGTACAAATCATCCTAATTTTCTATCATTTCTGTAATTGGCTTGTGCATTCACCACCTGCTGCTTCTTTCTTATAACGGAGATGTGTACTGGTCCGTAATTCCCGTTGTACTAATTTTCTCTCATTAGGAACAATTTCTCGTTAATATTCTCCTGTTGTCTTGCTTTAAGCCCATGGAAACGCTTTGAAAGCATAGCTCAAAGTTTCTTTGAGGACAATTTTTGACATACATCATGTCAATCTCGGCAGTCGGCCTCGAAAGTAAATAACATTTTTTGTGAAAGCCAAGTCGCCGATTATGGGTGGCTCGGCCAGTCGTTTTCCTTTGTCTAATAAATGTCAGAACATTTTTAAAAGTATCCATAGAAATGTCAAGAAAAATTCTCGAAAAATTCTGATGTTGGGAAAAACTTTCGGAGTGAAAGGACCACAGAAGTTTCATAAATTTGGAATTTTTTTCTAAAAAAACTTCTTCAAAAATATAAAGAAGGACTAGTTTAAAAATACCAATTCTGAGCGAAGTTCCTGTTTTTAGACGTTTCAAGGTAATACCTTTCAAATTTTCATTCATTCTAAAGATAAGTTTTTTTATTGAGAATCATATCACTGATAATAACTGTTCGACAAATTATAAAAAAATATTTTTTTATTATATTACTTATAATAAAAAAATTAGAAAAACATTTAAATGATATTTTTTTCTGAAATTTGGCTGCTTTTTGAAAAAAATGTTTAAGAATTTCCTGTGTATTTATTTTTTTAACGAAGTTTCATTAAACAAAGCTGTTGAAATGAGAATATTATTTATAGTCTAAAAAAACGGTTCTGATAAGTTTAACTTTGTAGAAAAAAATAAAAATCAAGTTTACAGGCTCAAGGCTGTGATCGAAAATTGGACAACGGATTTTCGAAATAAGGCATAGTGAAATCTCAAGCCATTTTTATTTTTACAAAAATGGGCCTGCCAAGATATTTTGGTCTTTAATGTAGCAAGTTGGGGAGCAGGTCAAACGGCTAAACCATTTGCCCGCGAAAATTGTTTATGGTGTTTGGATTCATTCGAAGACGGTTCTCCACTTTTTCTTTCACTCTTTTTTTCCTTGCTTTTTTTTCCTAACTGAACGAAACAAAAACTTTCAGCCCAGTAATTTATTCTAGAAGTCGACGGGAAAAGTTTTAGTTTCTGGAAATCACTATGATCTCTTGCAAAAATATTGACGACGCTTTTTAAACTTTTTGAGCTTCGGATCGAATATTTTTTGCTGTTTAATTTGAAAAATGAGATAATTCGTTTGAAGTGTATTCTCATGAATGTTAATGCCGAAAAACGATGCCCTTTTTAACTGATTTTTTTTTAAAATTGTGTGAAACAACTTGAAATTCTTTTTTCAGTCAGCTGTTAGGAGCATTTCAAGCTCTGAAGTCTTTGAACTGACAGCATAGCTTATCTATTTTGCAGTTACTTCGATGTTTTCTTAGAACGATGATCCGATTTTCGTTTCTCGAGGGTCATCCAAGCCAAGTTTGGTGTTAATTGGTGTTGGAGGGTGTTGAAGATGATGGATCGGAAATCGGAACAAAAATGAGCAATTAGATGAGGAGCGGAACGTCTAGAGCCCGGGTCGTGTGTATATAGCCAGTGCGTGGAGTTGCGTGGTCCTTCGGGTCGGCATGCGACGGCTTGTTATGACACGCCATAGTGCTGACCTCTCACCACGGCGTCCACCGTCCGGAGCTCATTCCCTTTCCTTATTTGTCCCTTTTTATCATTCGTCAAAAATTTCCGGATGGCCAAAGAGTCCTAACGCGTTTTTGAATAGCCTTCAGAATCTTCAACTTATATATTACCAGATTCCTCTTCTTTTTTTCTATACTTTTCTTGAGAGAGAAAGCAACCAGAGTCTACAAAAATATCTCATCTTTTTTTGTTCCTAACCTCTCATCGTCTTTTTGAAGATCTACTTTTTCCCCACAAATTTTTTTGTTCAAAAAAATTTTTTTCAAATTTTATTAGAACATGAAAAAGATTTGCATTTTCAAACACGAAAATGAAATGTTTCGACCAATCCATTCTTCTGAACTTTTTTTCGAAAACTTACTTCTGACTCATCTTTGTTTTAATTTGTTACATAGCCTTTTTTTCCGGCAATAATTTTCCGGCAAAAATTTTTTTTCCAATTGATAATCAAGGGCGGGAATTTTTTTCACTTTTTCAAAGCAATTTCTGAATTTTTCTTATCTAGATCGTCATTTACGCTTTGACTTCATTATTCAAAGGATTTTTGGGTCGAGAAACAGATTTTCTGATAACTCATTGATCGATCTGAAAGTTCGTGAGACTTCAATGAAACATTTCTGTTAATTTTCAAAACCTTCTCGTATGACGTTTCTTCCAGCTAATATTTCATTTTGAGCCAGAAATTTGTTTCTTCGCACATTTGAGCAAATACTTGTTTCTTTGAAACGAGATTTTTGCTTCGTTCTCGTTTTCGAAATCTTTTTTTTCGAGAATCTTCGTTTTGTATGAAATCTCAATGATGGACTTTTTTCAGCGAAAGCTTTCAGAATTTTTAGAAAAGATTACTGTGAAAGATTTAATGCTCTGCTGTCACGCGAATCCTTTTCAACCCACTCTACAATTAAAAACCTTTTTTGAGATAGGTTTCGGTCTCAAAAAGCAGGCTTCCGGTGGCTGGGCCTTCAGTCAATCGATGGCGACCTTTTATCAGCGCCGTCCACTCATCGCAACCTTTTTCGCAACCTTCTTTTCTCAACTTATTGAGCTCCACATGACATAAACCCCCAACGCGTCACCAAGTTGTCGGTCCTTTGTAATGTTTTGGTTTGGCTCCCGCCTGGCCTCCCAAGCTCTCGTTTTTGACCGATCGACTTGTCTTCTTCTGTCGTTTCTTATCCTTCCATTATGTCGTCCATCGCTTTTCCGATCATCGAAGGCGTGTCTCAAAGTTGTTTTGCAGGGCTATGGGCAGTGCAGGATCTTCTGCACACCATTCCTCTTCCGACCTTATGGAACACCACCATCAGTATCCAGACATGAATATGATCTTTAAGGGAATTCCGAAAATGATCCAGGTTGGTCTGAAATGACGTTCACAATAACCGAATTTTGATTTATTTTTTTCTTTTCCGTCGAATCAAGTGAGTCAACCAATATATTTTTAGCAATTTTTTCAAAGTTTCGATCAAAAAAGTTCAAGCTTCATCAACTCTCTAATTATTTTCTAGTTAGGTCGTAGTCAAGTTGAAATTTTGACAGTGGGCAATAATTTTGTAGACCAAGGAATGTTTTTGATGGTAAAATTCTGTATTCACACAGTTGTTTATAATTTTTTCGATTTTCGAAAATTAATAAACTTGAAAAAAAAATGTTTCATAAGCCTCGACCTCAACAGACTCAGTTTCCATTTCTCCTTCAAACTTCAAAAACGTCTTATTTTCACATATTTTCAACAAGCCTAACTTATTTGAAAAATGCGTTCGCTATATCTTTTATGTTCCTCTGGGATTCAAAACGATTAAGACCACTTTTCATTTTTCGTTCGGCCGAAATCCATTTACATCAACATCCTTGCGGAAAACACAGGATCGTATATGTTGTTGCGTATGCGCGGAATTGCTTAGGGGTTATTCTTCCGGCATTTACATACGCCTGAGATCTCAGGCTTTCATTCGCCGAGTTCATTCAGTCATTTGCAATAAGTGCATACGAGTTAATGTGGCTTTGGAAAGAAATAGTGAAGAAAATCCGGAAGGAAAAGTAGAATTGTTTTCATAAGTGGTTATGGCAGTTCTATCAAAGAAATTACCCCCCAATGCGTTAGAAAAGTATAAAACTAAAAATAAAAAACTAAATGTAGAGTTCAAGGCAACTGAGAACAGCTTATTAAATAAATTAATCGACAGGTTCAAAGAATGTTCTCGCCAAAACGGAAACTTACGCGAGCAAAATTTTTCTAATTTAATAATTTTTAAAAATATTCTCAAATAGATGAACTGAAGTATAATTGAAATGGCTTGGATGAAAATTGTTATCCTAAATGATGAATCAAGGAATGAATAAACAGGTGGCGGACGACATGCACCGTATGACGGATTACATAATGGATCTACGCAACATGACTATCGGACTCGTTGCCATATCAGCTGTCGGACTCATAGGCTTTTTGATCCTCAAAGCTGTGCACGGACGGAACAACAAAACCCGTAGAAGGCGATCTCTTGCTAGACAGGTAACCTAAAAAGAAAAAAATCAAGTGGACTGAAAAAAAAATTTCCAAACAGATTTTTAATAATTTTTATAATATCGTGTTATAATTTTGTACAATATCAAAAAGCGTGAAATTTTTTTCTCCCTTCGATTAACGTCACTTTTTAGGAGCTCAGATTTTTCCTTTTCATCTGAAGAACTAATCTCTACCTCACTTTCTCTTCGTGAATTTTAGATGTCGTTAACAAAATCCGAAAGTTATTTATTCCTGCTAATTTCACTTTAATTATGTTCTGGCCTTTTTTACACATTAATCAGTTTTCCCGGCACACTAACACAACTAAACTGAACCTCCTTAAGGCCGAAGAAGGTTATCCGCACAATCGTTACTACTATCAATCGCAGTACTCCGCGCCGGAACCTTGGGACCGTCCAAAGTCTAACTATAGGTACATTCCCAAGTTTTTATAATTTTCAAGCTTTTTTCGAACATTTTTAGTTTCAGCAATCACACGGTAGACGAGAAACGAGTGAATGAAACCCGAGGAAGTCCAGAAAACAAAGGAAACGGCAGTCTTCCTTACAAGGTATCGCTCTGACCGGAACCGATCCATTTGTCTCAACGGCTGTCGCTAGGGCATCCAGATAGATCTCGCCTCTAAATATTTATAATTCTGGGGTGTACTAATTGCGGACCACATGTACATGCAGATGTGCGTTCGCTTGTTGATTTCTTTTAGAGAAAAAAGCTTGACTTTCGTTGACAAAATTTGCCGCGCTTTTTTTGCCCTGGGGACCGTTTAAAGATCATTCTCTGCATGTTCTAGAAGGTGCCTTGGGGCATTGACCATTTGTCTTCAAGTTTTGCGTTGCCGAAAAATGCCTGTCGTTCGTCCAAGATTTCCTTGGGGTGTTGAAATGTGAATCCTCGCCAAACTTTGCCGTAAATTTTCGAGGAGAAATGAATTCTGAAAATAAAACTTCAAAAAACCTACCGAAATCTTGATTTCTCCAAAATTTTAGCGTAGAAAGCCAGTTTCAATAATGCTTGAAAGTTTTTTTAATTGTCTTATTTATGATTAGATTGAAATTGAAAAAAACTGTTGGATAAATAAAAATCAGAGGATAATACTTTTTATCTATGGAATTATTTGAAAGCCCAATCATCGATTCAAGACTTTGAAGCAATCAAAAAAATACTTTTTTTATTTGACATCGTTATTTTGCAGCCATTCTCGAACGATTCGTCAGAACTATCGCCAGAAATCGAGAAGAAGAGCTCCGTGGTCGAATCTCCATTCCGCGCAATGTCGCACAAAGTCTGAACTCGCCACATTTCTTTCACCTTGTTTATACATATAAGATTTGTTTGTTTGGTGCCCATGCACGTGTCTGCATCAAATACAAAAAAGTGTCGTTCTTTTCAGTATTGCTATTTTTTCAAGAAGTATAAGAAGAACCACAAATTGCACGGAAATGTTTGGTTTCAGCGCACGTTGGAACCCGTCAAGTTGGTTGTCGGCGACCTTCCTTACGTCGATTCGTGAAAGTTCCCACTTTTCAGCACCTTTTCTGTTCTGCATGGTTCTATCTTTTCTGAGTTTCTCGATTCAATTCTTTCCCCCGTTTGCTTCAAATTTTTCGCTTTAATTTGAGGGCAGGATATTGTTCTGTTGTCATCCCTTTTCTTCTGTTTGACGCTCGGTTAGATATTAATTTTGCTCGTTTCTTCCTATTCATCCATTATTCAAGCAATAAGAAAACGAGACAAGATCCTCGTTGCATGTGCCTTCCAAAATGCTCAACTGCTCCCGATTTCCTCCTATGCATGTACATTTTGAGTATTTTTTTCTTTCTGATTATCTTGATATCATTGAATAATAAGAATTTTTTTCACGTTGTACTTGATTTTGATAGTTTCATGCAAAACCCAATAAACGACTGATTATTTTTTATTTATTTATATTTGATTTGTATCTGGTGTGCAGAAGCAGAGGTTTGAGCTGACGGAAGTGATAGAAATAAAACCAGGAAAAATAAAAAAGTTTGTCTCGATGTTGAAAAAACAAAAGTTAAATTTCTTTAAAACAAATTTCAATAGTAAATCCTTATAGTGACGTCACCGGAATAGAAAAAATCGATGAAAAAAAACATTTCTTCAGGAATCAGAAAAAAATGGTAACATGATTTTACGGAAAAAAAATAAACCTCTTCCGCTAGCTCAAGAAAAATAAAGCAAGAATGAATAACCGCAATCAGGGCAAATGACTGTGAATTAACTGAGAGTTGATTTTGGCCATTTTCGAGTTACTGCAGGTAGCGATGCATCAAGTTGTTGATCATGAGAGGGTTCACCGAGGCAATCGGCTGCACGAGGTCCATGTAAAGGTCCATTCTAGGCGCTCCGAGCTGGAAATCGAGAACGAGTTGGATTCGTCAAATCAAATGTTTTGTCGTTTTTGAAAACGTTACTGAGGCATAAATTGGATCTCACCCAAATTTTTGAGAGAGTGATCCTAATTGGAAAGAAAACCTGTTAACATAAACTGAAAAAAAAATCAATTATTGCTTTTCATTCTAAAATTTCCAAAAAAAATTGTTAAGAAAGATCTCAATAAAGCCAAACAGGAAAAAAATGTTTCCTTTGAGAAAGAGAAAACAAAATCAGAGATTCCTTAGCAAAACCGGTTTTTTTAGTTTAATTTTTTTCGGAATAACTGAGCTTCAAAAATGTTTACCGGCATTCCATCTATGCCCAAAAGAGCCGTAGAAGGAGGCAACGAAATTTCGAGAGCTCGGCTGACCGGTGCGTAATCGATTTCAGAAGGAATCAGGCCTGGAGTAATACTTGTCTGACCTTCTGCCGAGCCTGAAGACGCACTTAATTATAAAAAGACTATAGAAAATATCAATTTCATCTTGTGAAGAGAATATACATATAAATTGAAATCCATTTTTTTTTAGAGTGAAATAAGTACATGGAAGAATGTTGAATAGCTTCAAAGAGATTTTCCCCTTGGATCTTCTGAGCGTTTAGGAAACAATCCAACCTGAAGTAGTTGAATAAGCACCGTCAGGGTTTTGATCAGACTCTCCGATGCCGTCAATATAAGCTGAAGCTCAATATTACACACAAAGTTCGAGCAAATTAGATTACTGTAAGTAGGGCTCTGTCCAGCGATGCTTCCACTAGGAGAGTTGCTCTCGCTGTCGGTCTTGCTGACGCCGTTCCACCGTCTTCCAGCGTCTTTTTTCAGTCGCTTTTCTTTAGCTCTTCGGTTTTGAAACCAAACCTGAAGAGTATGTTGAAACGATGAAATATAACTTTTTTGAATCGGGAAGATGGTAATTTTACAATTTTCTTGACTTTTGGAGATTTGGAGAAAATTGACCTGGACAACACGCATATCGAGGCCGGTCTCAGCTGCAAGTTGTTCTCTCACGTGACGAGCTGGCTTGCTGCTCGCTTGATATGCCTGGAAACGTTTTTGATGTCACTTAAATTTTGAAATGAAAATGAAGAGCTCGAGAAAATGAAAATTGAAAGCTAGGCAACACTGAAATTCTTCTCATGTATCAGTCCCTACAACAAGTCTTTGTTTTCGATGTCGAAAAAACAAGAGTTTTTTTCGAAAAAGTTATTCCAACAACGTCCTGTATGCTTTCCAAATTTCAAGAAATCATCTGATAAGTTTTTCAGAGAGTTAATGCGCATGGTCCTCCCAATATTTAACTTTATTTTCACAGAATATTGATGACGAACTTGTTTCAAAGTCTCCAAGCTTTTGGCTGAAATAGTTGTCCTGGGCCTTTTATTCCCGTTGTCAGCTTCGGCGTCTGAAACTAAAATAGCTTTGCAAGGTTTTTGGATGAAGAGCCAAAAACTCACGTTTTTCTTTGGCCAGTTCATAGTCAGCTTTGCAGACAAGCCTCGCTTCATTGGCAATCAGGTAAAATTCGTCCCCAGTTTCCAGCTGCCTTTTACAGACAACGCATTGGAAACATTCTACATGATAAACGTGCCCTGAAAGTTGTCCGTGTGACTTTTTTGTTTTTTTTTTCCCGGAATTTTCCGAATTTTCGGAGAGATGAAAAAGACAACCCAGAAGCCATACATAACTTTTTTCGAAATTTAAGCTGCCAGAAAACATTTTTTTTTTCAGACCTTAAACGAATGCTTTAACTTTTTTTTCCATAAAAACGCAATAATATTCTAATATTTTCAACGTTTCGACTTCAAAAAGTTTTCCTTGAATACCTGAAGCTTTTCGAACGACATGATCTGGCACAATTCCTTCTCCACAGTTGGCGCACTTGGTACCGTATTTTCTGCAATTTCAGAAATATGTTATGACTCAATGGATATACGAATGATTTATTCCTGCCGTAAGCGAAACTGATTCTAATCAGAAAAAGAGAGAGTTTAAATTAAAGTTTCGGTTGATTCGCAATAAATTATTCCAAGCTCACGAGACAGGGGCAGCTAATAAAGTTTTTATGATTCTACTTGTAATACCTGGATGATGAGGGAAGGGAAATGAGTTTTTGAGTTATTGTGATTAGTTTTTTTTCAACAATCTTTAGACGATATGTTTTTATATTTAGTTGGGTTCATATCCTTTTGGTAGATTAGGGTGGAACAGAAACAAGAACAAACTTGAAAAAGTGAGGTTTGCAGAAAAGACGGTCGTCTCGATAGAAACACGTACTATCGAGTTGTTCGTTGCAGGTGAAACATCGAACACATTCAGTATGGTAACTTCTGCAACTTTTTCTCTCTTCATTGGTCATAATAACTTTTTTTAATTATATGATTCCAGACTTACATCGCTAACAAAGAAAAAAACGGAGGAAAGCTTGGAAGTCATATCACTCCATACAAGAAGATTACTTTACCATATCGAGGCTGTTTGTGGACGAAAAAGAGTCGGTAGCTTGTCAATAAGAGCTTTATGGCTTTGATATCAAGTTTCTCTAGATTTAATCAACAACATGACTGCTTCAAAAAATTCATTCGAACAAATAAAGCGTTCGCTCAAATATCGCAACTTTTTTTCACATTATTCCTTTATGATACTACCAAGTGCCCGATTTTTTTGTTACGAGTTTCACGAAAAAAGCAAAAATGAGCACATTGAACGTCCAGGAATGTTGTTAGTTTTTTTTCCCTTCCACAAAGAAAGTAAATCAAGTTCAAAATTGAATAGTTTGAAGTTGTTTTACTGGACCTGTCTACAAAAAGTCTATCTTTGATTGATATTAGAAGCACTAGGGAATCAATGTCATTATATTTTGTGTTTTTGTTATTCGGTTCAAATTCTTAGTTTTCTTTAATCACAAGATCGTATATTTTTTCGAAAAGTCGTTCAACTGTATATTGACCAATTAACTTTTCGAACGAAAGAAATATTATTTTCAAACCGACCTGTCGAGGATGCGGCTGACGAAACGGTCCCGAATCGGATGCTCGCAGGCGCGGCAGTGCGAATCTTCTTGGTCCAGGCATCCTGTGCTCATGCATTACGTTTTGTGAATTATTCACTTCTTTTATTCGCCCTTTCACTTTTGCCCCCGCGGCAACTTTTTTCGTCTTACTATGCTTTTTGAGATAGCAGAGGCGTGAAAATGATTTTGCAGGAGAAATACAGCAGATTTAGTCTCTGAGAAGTAGCTAAAACGGCTAAAGTTAGGTTATCGGAGAGGATCCCACGTCATGGAATCAAAGAGCTAGTGATAAACTTCCGGTTCACTGATTGTAACAGTGATGATGTGGGAAATAGGTTTCAGGGATTCAGTGCATAGAAATATGATGTCATGGTGAATTTTTTTCGGACAAAGGAAATTGTGTAAAAACTTCATGGAATCTATAGTAAGGGGTAGAACAATAGACACCCTATTCCAACCAAATTTAGTAGTTTATTCAGTAGAAATGGATGACAAGGCTTATGAAAAACGGTCAGAACATTTTTGGGACTGTGTGTACAAAAATGCAAAACTGCGGTAATTAAAGAAGAATTGATGTCTTTTTTGATGAAAAGTTTTTTTTAAATGCTGAGCTCGGAGGGAACTTTTCAAAGATGATGTATCTTCATCCAAATCGGATTTCATGAAAAAAGTTTAGTCAATTGAAACTCTTCTGATACAAATTATTTTAAAAACCGTCCTCAAAGTCCAGCAAAAAAAGCAGTATTCAAACTTTTATCAGAATCTCAGCATCTTGAATTTCACCGTGACTTTTTTTCTTTTTTTCAAAAATATCAAGAAATGTCTTAATATATCTTCTTAAAAAGCTTTGCAACTTGATTTAATTTTTCTTAAACCTAATTTTCACGAGTTCAAAACCCACTTATCTAGCCCTAAAATTTCGACAACTGCAAAACCATTGGGAAATCCTTATTAAACTCAGAAATCTCACCCGGAAAAGGGACAAGGGCACAGTCGAAAGCTGGCGGCGAAAAACACATGCGTTCAGAAGAGCAGCGGCAACATGTGAACCCCGGGAAAAGCCGCAAATGGATGACATTCAATCGTGAAGTAAACAGACAGGTGTGGGCAGGTTAACACCTCCGTTCAACCAGCTACATCCAACCGCCACCCGGAGTCATTTGGCTTCTCGCATTTACATAAAAACAAACAAGGCTTTTGTCTCGCCTTTTTTGTCGAGTTTTGTTATGGCTCTCTAACTTTTCCGAGGGAAGGCTCTGATTTTCCAAACGAAAACTGAAAAAATATCAAGAAAATAATTTAAATTTCAAAACACCTTTTGGGTTTATTTTTGCTGGAAGTCAGAGTTAGTCCGTAGGATTACAATAACCGTTCATTTGTTTCGTATGATTCTTCCAGAGGTTCTCTCGTCAAAAAAAGTCAAAACCCCCTGCTAAGATTGAAGTTTTTTTATCTACCACTTGAAACTTTATTGATCTTCCACAAAACAGGAAGTTTTCCGATTTTTTTATGTCCCAGAGTTTATGAAAAAGAAAAAGGATAGTAGATAACTGGTTTTCTGATACAAGTGTATCTATTTTTTTGATCATCATTTAACTGTTCGAAATTCAGATCGAAATATGATAGTGAAAAAAAAAATATTGAGGCAGAAAATCGGAAAAATTTTCTATGTAGATGCAATCTTGAGCTTTCAAAGAACTTCACTTGTGTTGAAAAAGTTATGATCCCTTAAGAGATTATTCCGATCACATTTTTCTAACCTTGAAAAGATTTGCGTTATAGGAGCTTCGGACTGGGAAAATTGTAGGGCAGATGAATTGATGAAAAGTTTGAAAACAAACTATTTTTAAACGCCTACTCAAAAGTTGTGAATCTGAGCAAATTTTCCAAATGTAGTGTTGGTGATTCATCAGAAACTAAAAGACTAAAATTTTTGAAATAACTAAATTTTTTTCAAATAATTTTTTTGAACACAACGATTTCGCTGGAATAAATTGCCAAAAAAATTTAAAAGTTTACTTCTATCAAAAAAATGGATATTTTTTTCCTCGTTCAATTCATGTTTCCCGATCTTGCTCAAAAGGAAATTTTTGAGATATTTTAGTTTGTCTGAATCATTTATTTTTCTGCCAAAAAAAGAAAAATCCGTTTTGAACTTTGGTAGAAGGCGTGTTGATAATCTGGGAACATTGAGACAGCCTTCATGCTTTTTATCTTTTTATACAAAGATCGGATTTTTTTCTTGATTTGGCCAATTTTGTTGGAGTTCCACGTTTTTTTCATCATATCAACAGTCAATGAAATTCAAAAAAATTTCACAATAAGTTAAATTAAAAAAACGGTTCAAGTGTTCTTTTTTTTGTTTAAAAAACGCCTCATTAAAAGCGATTTCGGGCATCTAGAGCCGTTTTCAAGTTGAATGCCGAATTCTAAACTTGCTCGAAACTTTTGAGGCAACCCAAAGTGATTCAACAGTTGACCCATTCACGTGAAGTTATTTTTGATGTTATGATAAATACTAGCCTCGGAGAGGTCCACAAAGTGCCAAAAGCCGTTCATCCCCGTGGATAAGCGCCACATTTTGGCTTCTCTCGTCCCTTACACCCACAGTCCGAAGAAGCCGTTCCTCATGTAAGGCTGCCTATTTCTAAGTTTTTCCGAAATATTTCACGAATTTCTGGAAGTTGTGAAACTTGTTGGCAACAGATTTAAAGTGGGCTGAGAATGAGAAAGTGGTAGAAAACTTAAAGGAGAAATATTAAAATGATTTGAATGTACAGAAGAGAAGTTTAGAGTGAAAGGTTGAAAGTTCGCAGAAAGTTCTTAGCAATACAGAATTTTTCAAGAAAATTTATGAAAAAATACCTTCTCTCGAAGACCTGGCGGCGATGGAGGATTCTTCGCGTCTGGAATGCTCCTCCACGCTCCCTTCGAGCATGTCGTAGTGAAAGAGACACTCCAGTTTGATCGTCTTTTTATTCTTCCCTTTCCTAGAAACTATTGAAACCAATGAAACTAAAAGATGATCGCGAAACGTAAAAAGGGTGCATTAAATAACAGACTTTATATGATGCTCTGACAAGGAAAAAAAACATCACCGATCCATTTTTTCCCATTTTTCTGTGTGTATGAATTCAAAAAAAATTCTGTTCTCAAAAGTATCTGTGGGTTTTGATGGCATTTAGAAAAGCTTCCAAATTTCAATAACGCTTGAAGTGGAGATTGAGTATCGTAAAGTTTTGAAAGGCATCTGAAATGAATATCAGGGTTATGACTGCCGAGCGCTTCTGCATAAAAGAGGAAACATTAGAATTTTTACAGAATTGAAACAGATTGTTCAAAAATGATGTTTGGCGATGCCGATTCGCGTAAGTATCGTACGGTAGGAAACGTAAGAGAGCTTCAATCTTTCAGAATTAGATTTGATCAAACTCAGAAGCATATCATCCTGCCGTTCATGATTGGAATGCAGGTTGCATCTATAAAAAGAGGTTATTCCGATTTTCGAAGTTTGTCTTTCTCATTCCATAATGCGCATTAAAAAAGCTTAGCCGAATCTGTCTCATAAAATGATTAAAAAGCTTCTCAATGCTTGAATGAAGAGATGTTCGGCTGATTCCAGCTTACAATTTAATTTGAGAAAGATGAAGACTAACTAATATCATAATAGTGGCGAACTATAACAAACACGTGAAGAGGTGGTGAAAAAGTGGTGGAAGGCTCGGCGAGCTGGAAAAGGGAGTATGAGCCGGATGGCGCGCGACGCAGAAGTACTGGCGCCGTTTTCGACCACGCCCACTTCTCCGCCAATGGCCGGCCGACGTCTTCGAAGAATTCTTCTACCGTAGATCTTTTCGGTTGAAAGCTGGACAATGATCCAAAGAGAATGGATAGTACAAAAAATGTTTTGCGATTTTTTGGGCTTTTCATGTACTCTCTTTTTTTGGTTGGGATGCATCCTTTCTTTCAAATGAGCGCATTTTTCGGCTTCGTTTTCAATCTCGACAATGGATAAGCGGGCGTGGCGACACTCGATTTCAATCTCTGCCGGCTGCATTTTCGAATAGACAGGGTTAAAGCTGAATGGCACCACCCTCCGTGAGTTCACCTTCGGCCATTCCTTCTCTTCGACGACTGATTAGCTTACGAGAGCACCTGCCGGCAGATTGGTTATGGGAGTTGTTATGGAGTCGGCAAAACAACGTAGAAATTGTAAATAGCATTATTTGATCCGAAATTTTGTGGACAGGCGTCTGTCCAAAAGAATGGAGCTAATTTTTTGAAATGGTTTTTGGTGTGTGAATCGGAAAAAGCTCATGGAAATCACTACAACTTGGATATTCAGGTTTTATAAAGTAATTAGTACATTTCTAATGACAGCCTTAATTTCAAACGAATCGATAGAAACTGAAATCTTCACAAATCCTCGAAAGAGAACAAAAACAATTTTAGTTCAAAGGAAAATAATGATAATTAGCCGATGCAATAAACGCCAAAAATTCAAGTCGATGGAATTCTCTCATGAGATGCTTCTCGACGTGATAAACTGAAGAAGTGAATACTAGAACTTGCACTTGAAACTCGTAACCGCATTTCTCGTTTAAACACGGTTACACGTTATTTTGGAACCGTAGATCAGGAAAATCATAATAATGGAAAGTGCATTTTCGTCATGATATAACAGGAAAAGCTGCGGAAATTGAAGCTGAAATATATTTAGAAGTGAGTCAAATGAAGAACTTCATCAATATAAAAAAAGTAATCGGGGTTTTTTATATCGCTATGAGTTTTCTGATTTATCGTAAAAACTTTCTCGTTTTTAGTGTTATGATATATATCACAAAGAAACAGGAAAATAACTCTCAAAAATCTCAGAAAACAAGAAAAAGTCGTTTGTCAAAAAACTCTTTAAGTTTACAAGAACAAATCTGAAAATTCCCGATTGGAAAGTTTACTGATATCCATTCCGTACCAGCGAAAGAACAAAATCATAGTAAACAAACAAAAAAAACAGGAACTGGAAGGTGTCATTTTTATCATAATGGACAGGATGAGCTGCCAAGGAATCACAGCTGTAGCGCGGTAATTGTTGCACGCATGTCCATTATCTTCATTCCTTCCATCTTGCTGACCACCAATTAGGTAATAGCTGGCTGCCAACAAGACGTCTTCCACTCCCAATATGGCGCAGTTTCAGCTGACTTGCTCATAAAATGGAGACAAATCGCGAGAGCAGCTGTCAGTCCATCGCTACATCCAGATAACCGTCTTCCGCCCACCTTTTACCATTTTGCGCAATTCTTCACGTCACGCAGCTATTTTTGTACTGGGAGTATCTTTTCATGTCTTCTTCTGTGAATTTTATTTCAATTCATGAGATGATTTGCAGCCAAAGGTTTCATGAAAAGGCTTCCCCCATTTTGAAACAAAAAAGTTTCATTCATCCATTGGGAATCCAAAATAGTTTTATCAATGGGATTTTTTCTTCGATATTCTTCGGGAAATTGAAACGTTTAGGGGCTCTTCCAAATAAAGCAATGACGTCATTTTTTTCTTCTTTAAAAAGTTTTTTTATATTTTTTTGTAGATATCAGGTCCTTAAAAAAACATTTATCATTTGAATTTTTTCCAATGTTTGCAGTTTTGTTTTTTTGATTTTAACAATTTGCGTATATTTTTTTCAAGTATGTCTAAGTGCTCTGTGAAAAAGGACAATGGTTAAAAAAAAAAGTTTTTGCTTATTTTCGACGCTGGGATAAAGATGCGTTAGAACTTGTTTGAAACTTTGAAACTTTCTTTTTACATGGTTTGATCGAAAAGCTAGGGTATTTTTTCAACTTTTTAGGGAAGACGAAACAAATTTTAAATTTCAGTCGAGCTCCCTTTTTATACTTGAATAAATTGTCTCAGCTTCTGATTCTTTCGATCCCCATTTGGAAAAATTTAACAGAATACGGTAAGAACACTCGAAAACACCGTCACACAGTACCGCGGACGTCGCCTTCGAAAGCTTTGAAATATTAACACGACGCCGAGAATTAATAAGCAGTGCGGCAAAACAGCCGCGTGAATAATAAAGAACTGTGCTGCAGGCTGACACATTGCATGCGTCTTGAGATGAATTGTTCATCGATGGGTAAAACTCGTTTCAATTGAACTTTATTGAACAAGCAATATAATCAGAAGGTGATCAGCAAAGATCTTTCGCATCGAGCAGCTTAAAGGAAATTTTCGTACTTTTATATATATGAATAAACAGGATGTTATTTGCAAGCAATCGATGATTTTGTGTACAATCTTCTCTTCTCTATAAAATGTAAGACTCATTATCAAAAGGAGAATATTTTTCTCATTTTGCCGATTAAATGAGATGATTTTTAAGGTTTTCAGAACAGTAGCGACTTCATATACCGATGTGAGTGTTCTCAAATGAACAAATTTATACGTATTCTTGGAATGTGTTTGCCCCCTTTTTGAAAGGATTAGCTCAAAACGAAATAAAAAAAATTTCTTTTGAAACTTTTCAAGTATCTATGGGATATATTCTTTTTGAAATGGACTTTTTCGAGTCTACTGATCCAAATGGTAAAAAACTTTTTTCTACTCTTTTCACCGCTAGCTTATGGCAAAAAGTACTAAAAATAGTTCCAAATCTCTTACTGCTCGATTTTTTTGCGGATAGAGTTGAACTCTCCATTAAAAGCTGTCCCAAGCTAATGATGAAAAAAAAAACTGCATGATTTTTTACAATTTTTCTCACCGCTTCTCTGATCATTTCAATAAGCTGGTAATTTTGAAGATTCGTCCATTTATCCTAGAAACTGGAAACCCAAACAACAACACTTTTACGGGTTTAAACCTCCGCAGAAAGAAACAAGACAACATCCGACAGGATTAATATTGCTCGCCAAAAAACAACACGTTGTCTTCGGACATCCGCCCTCTTTCAACCGGTGCAGGCCTATGGGTTTCGAATTGCGACATCACTTGGACGAGAATGAGACAGCGCCAGCCGGCCCAACGCCCATAAATGTCGCTAATTACCGCTTCCCAGGAGCTTTTCGCGCATTACAGTAGAAATGCCTGCCTCCATTACCGTAGTAGGCAGCTGCGGTTTTATGCTCCTGCGTGTTTTATGACACGTAGCTCGACTCGTAAACTTGTGTCGTTGGCTTGTCGTCCATTGATCCCAGGCTCCTTTTCAAGAAATGCTTCTGCACAAAGGTCAACCATGACCAGAACCGTAGGAAAAAAGTTTTAAAATTCAGCCTTTTCAGTATCTCAAGTTTTATTCAACACAAAGAAAAAAAATGTTTAGCGAGGCATAGAGAATTGAAAATTTTTCATTGCTAACAATCCGTTGGAAAGTTCCCAAAAACTAGATTTTTTGATGTGAAAATTTTGGGAAACTTACAATACAATACAATACAATATTGATTGGTTGTTTTAGTCTATTGGTATCGACTAGGCGGTGAAAAAATTGCTCTTTTGAGCGGCACTAACACCGCCTTTGGCGAAAAAGAAGTCAAAACGTGTAGTCGATTGAATTGAAAGCATGGTCTTAGGGTCCTTCGCCTCGTTCTTTCACAAGTTGATCCCTCAATTTCGCTTGTACGGGCACGGCGGTGATGGTGGGGCTCGGGCACGGACTCCGTGTACACTCTAGGGGTAGCCTCGGCCGACTGAGAGAGCTACCACTTCAAGTGAAGAAAATACACGGAATGTTAAAAAAAAAAAATGCAAACTTCAATATTTTGAAATGAAACATAAAAGATGAAGAATTAGCAATCGACTTTTTAGGACACAAGATTATGAGACCAAATCCAAAAAAGGTCGAATGAAACCTCAAATTTGAATGAAATGAATCGGAAAAATGTTTTTATGGGTTATCTTTGAAAAAGAACCATTCTTCCATCAACTTTTTCAAAAATAACTTTACAAATGGAAATGACCTTTTTATTTTCAACAAATATTTTATTATGAGAATTAGTGTTGAAAAATGTGAACATCAACAAATATAAACAACAAGCAATAATCGTTTATTCTTTATGACACGGATACTTTTCAAGAAGCTATTTTCCGTAGCCGCCTCCAGAATAAGACGAAGGTTTCTGAGCTGGTTCATCGTTGGTGTCGAGCTCCGTGACAGAAGGAGCAACGATCTCTTGAACGCCACAAGACGATGGACAGTGACCACCGGGCTCTCCAGCATCTCCAGGAGGACCGAATGGACCTGGAGGTCCAGGCTCTCCACGCGGTCCTGGTGGTCCAGGCGGTCCCATCTCTCCAATAGGGCCCGGAGGTCCGCTGTTTTGAGAAGGCAGACCGTTGGCGCCTGGCGGTCCTTTTGGTCCTCGCGGTCCGGGCGGGCCTGGAGGTCCCTTGATTCCAGTTCCGCCGATCGAGTCGTCTCCAGGTGGTCCTTTGATACCCGGCTCTCCTGGCTCTCCCGGTTCGCCTTGAAGTCCGGCGTCTCCAACTCTCCCAGGCTTTCCAGGACGTCCAGGAAGGCCGGGATGTCCAGTTTCTCCCGGAACACCAGGTCTTCCGGTTTCTCCTTGAGGTCCTCGGTTTCCCGGAGGTCCAGCTGGACAGATGACACATGGGAACGCTGGTTCAGGATCTAGAGGAACGTCAAGGCCGTCGAGACCAGGTTTTCCTAGAAAATCACTTTTGAGTTCATGTTATCTTCAAACGTTAAAAAGTTGATTTCAAAAAATGTGCTTGATTGTGAGCTCTGAGCGCACTGGAGTTGGAAAATTTAAATTCATTATATTTCGCTTTGAGAGCAGCACGAAAAACAATCTATTGACTGGGATTTACTGATTTCATACTCTTTTACAAAAAAAGACACTACAGAAATAGTTTTCAGGGGATCATTTTCGAAGTTCAGCAACCAAATACCTGGTCTACCCGGAGATCCATCAATTCCAGGCTCTCCAGCAACGCCAGGAGGTCCTGCTGGTCCAGGAGGACAATGAAGTTGAACGCAAGAAGTGCACTGTTGATTCTCCCCTGCAGCGTCGTACCCACCGTATCCGCCGGATTGACGTCGGATTCTTCCGTTTCCTTTCACCAACATGATGTCTTGCCAGACACCTCGAGCAGTGAACTGAAAAATAAATGGAATAAAAAACACTAACAGCGACGAATACCTTGAAAGAAGCCATGCGCGAGTGAAGCCGAGAGTTCGCTTCTTCGAGCTGAATGTGCAGAACTGGAATCACCACCGCGACACAAAGAACGCACGAAACACTGAGGATGCTGGAGATCCAGCTGGCCCTCATGTCAAACTTTCCTCCACCTTTGTCCATCTGAATGACAAAAAGTTAATGCTTTGATTTCACACATTTTACGAAAAAGAGATTCTTAATAATTGAGGAAAGTTCGGACGAGAATGTTTAGTCAGGATTAGATATCAAAAGTTAAAAGTTGAAAAAAAAATCCCGAAAGTAGTAGAACTATTCTGATCGAAACTCTCCAAAAACATGTTAAAAAACTACCCGTTTCTCGTTTTTGTGCTTTTCTAAACCCTGAAAAATTTGGGAGAAGCTGTTGTCGTAATCAATTTCTATTCTATTGTCACATTTTTTTCACTCATCTTCTTGTTGAGATTTTTGGAACTGATCTATTACAAAAATTAACAGAATTTTATTCAGAGAAACTCGAAAAAGACTTTTACTGTACCAGTTCTCATGACTTTTCAGCTCTATTTGCATTGTTTAAGTTTTCGAAAATGTTTTTTTTCACAAAATGAAGTAGTGCAACGGAAGAAGAAGGGTGATAAAGAATGATACAAAGACACAAAATGACAGATATTGGATGAGGAGTAGAGGAGGGAACTGGATAACCTAAATGCGCGCAAAAAGAAAAGTGGGTTATCGCAAATCATTTGGGTCACCCGGTTGCCCTTTTCCTTCATTTCGATCATTCTTTACGGGCGATTGACAAGAAAGTTGAAGAAATGGAGGAAAAAAATTAAGAAAAAAAGTAAGTTTTTTTGCTCGAAGTAAGGAATATTTTTTTGGTTTTTTTGGAATACGTGATTCTTTTCACGCAGTTTTGGAAATTTCTTAAATTATATTCTGGGACAAAGCTAATTGCGAAATGGTTTCTTTACAGTCAAGATTTTTACCATGAAAAAAACCAGAATCGTTCTTTTTTTAATTTAGAAAGAAAAGAGGATATGAAACTTCATGAGGTGAAAGGATAACTTTAAGCCTTAAAGGTTGGATTTAAAAAGACCTTTCTTTTTTTTTTTGATTGCGCTGTCCTTATTATACCCGTGTATTTTTCCAAACAATGACAAAACCAAATACATGGTCCCAGAAAGATTTCGAAAGATGTGAACTTAATCTAACGAGTTTTTCTTCTCTAACTTTATTCCATCATTTTCCATCGGATGAGACTTTGGCTGGATGTCACATTTTCTTCACTCTCTTTACTTGTCCTATCCTGTGCTTCGAAATTAAGTTTCCCGAAAAGTTTATAGATTCCCAATTCCAACACAGAACAGAAACACACGTTTCTTCCCAATCGATGGCCAAAAAAAGAAAAGAAAAAAACTGCTCGTTATACATTCAATTAGAACTTTGGCGCAAACGTGCTGCGTCTCTTCGAAGATAATTGGAAAAGGAATCGCCAAGTGACGTCATGGATGGAAACGGACAAGAAAAGTTATTGATTTGATGAGGAAGTGCTCGGTTGACTGAGTTCGAAGGGACACATCTCGAGTTGAACCGAGGAGCGATGGCCGTTCTGAAACAATGAATGAGTGGGTGCGGCGAAGCGATCAGAATGACCTTCCTTTTCTGGGTTTCTTTATGAAGAAATTGTTTATAGTTTGTAATAAGGAGCAACCAATGACCAATTTGGCTTGTTTTTGGTTTGGTGATTGAAAAAAAGGTTATGAAAAGCTACCGTAGTTAATAAAAAAACAAGCTTTCTTTCAAAGTACGTGGTTCATTCAGCGTAAGTTTGGAAAAAGCTGAAAAAAAGTGTCAAAAAAAGAACTTCAGACTTATAATTCAATGATATTTTCGAAGTCACTGTAAAAAAATTTTTGTCCTGATTCTCCTAAAGCTGTTTGATTTCCAGCGTCTCTATCGAAGGTTTACTCGTGTTTTCTGAATATTCTTGCATGTTTCTTCAAAATAAAATAAAAAGAATGAGTGATCCTTTTTTCTCCATATTTCTTAATATGTCTTACTTTTTCCTCCAAAAAAAAGATTCAAAACTATGATAACTAATAAACTATTCGAAAAATTTCTTTCCAAACTGACATTCGTAACACTGCACTGTTTTTTGAGCTTATTGCTGAGTTTGCTCCCCTCAGGAATTTCGATTTCAAGTGTGGAAGGCTCATCAAGGTCGACGGAGTCCTGAATTATATTGTTTTCGTTCAGTTTATTTCTCCTCGGATTTCACCCCATGAAGGAGTTTGGAAGCGTTGTGAAGAACTGTGGATTGTTTTGATAAAACGTGGGTCGCTGAACGATTTTCATCAAAGCCGGCTCGAAGCTGAAATTTCACACTTCACAATTTCTTCCAGTTTTTCAACTTTTTAGATGAACTTTTCTCAGTTTTCATTGTAGGAAAATCTTGCCTGATCGATAAGACAGGCGGTGAAGATGACCCAAGCTTGTCCAGCTCCAGGAAGATCTCTGACGGCTTCTTGTCCCAAAACAACATCGATCATCGTCTCTCCAAACTTTTCCCAGTATGCCCCGGTTAAGCCGTATGGCCTCAGAACGGCATGAGCTCGGCCTACACAGATAGAAGGATAATTAAATCAGCATTTCAATTTTTCTACCGCTAGCTTCAAACAGAGAATCAATACAGGAACTGTATTCATATTTTAACAACTCAAGAAAGCTTCGATTTTGATCTAAAACCGACCGATAAGCCTTGGATCTTGAGGAGTCCCGGTGTCTGTCCGCTTTGATTTATCAACGTCCAAGTTTTTTATCACGACTTCCAACATCCGGACCGTCACCTGAAAATATTTTCTGTGTTATGTAAAGTTTTACGTCGAAACCCTCGAATGATCGCGGATAGTTGATGTTGAATTTTTTGACATTGCACACAAGAACATCCGCGTTGTGAACATGTCTCTGATGTTTGGAAGCTGGCGGACAAGTTTGTCAAAGACCTGTAATATCTTTTCGCTCGAAAAAAGCATTTTCCAGAACACGAAATTGAAAAAAAACTGTGAAACTTTGCATCATGATTAGATGGATATAAAAATTGAAAATCAACAAACTAAAAAATCTCAATTTGATGAAAATGATTTGAAGCAACCTCTGAAAAAACTCTCAAGTGGAATGAAAACTTTCCGAACCCAACAAAATTCAGATTTTCAGAATGATTATTATTTTCTTATTCAACGTTTTAATCTACAAAGAAAACGAACGTTATATATTGTTTTTTATGATGTCATTTCTTTCAAATGGGCTCTATAACGTCATCGTCGATATCACTTTTTTTCTTCGAAGTATTCGGTTGAACCTTTAAGTTTTGGTGATTAAAATTACGATTACCACCAATTTTTACTAAACTCGATTTTCTTTTCCTTCAATACATTTTTTTTATTCTTCCAAGATCAAGAGTTTCACTAAAAACTGGCAAAGAAAATATTCAAAACTAGCCTCCTCGAACACATTCTCCACACGTTTGCCCCCATTTCTCGTCTGAAGACGATGCCACGTGAAACGCAAGGCGCGTCTTTGTAACTTGTTCAGTTTGCCTTCGTAGTTGTAGTGCTTGAGTGTCGAACTAGACGCTGAAAAAACAATAAAGATGTATATCGATCGACGGCTTTGGACCTTGTTCCATATCACAGATGCTTGGCATACTGCTGCTGCGTCGGACCTGCGACCTGTTCTCTGAGTCGATCGCCGAGTCGACAGATCCGCATAACTCGGTCTTCCTTCTGACTGTTCCGCGTCTGATGGAAAACGGATGAGTATGGGAAAAGGTCGATAGATTTTGATTGAGGTTTTCGAATCGTATTGAAATGACTCAACGGTTTCAGTCTTACTACGCGAAATCAAGTTCATGCTTAATATAATGAAGCAAACATTCTTATCAAACGATTATCCGAAATCTTCTTTTCATGCATTTTTCCAACCTTTTTGGGCTATCGAACATTCATAAATTCAGCCAACTCAAAAATAATAATGAATTTTTTTTCAAACGATGCTCTGTGAATTCCTAATAATTCCAGAAAGAAATGGTAGCAGGATTCGAATAAAATTGCAGGAATTTTATTTTTCTCCAAATTTGTAAAAACTTGAAAATTGATAAAAAAAAACTTTTGAAAAAAATTTGTTCATGTTTTCTTGTTTCTGTACCATTTTCATTGAAAGGAAATCTATCACTTATCACAACTACCTCGATCTCAACCTGGTTCTCGAAACGTCTGGAGAGCCATTTTTGCCATCATCAAGCGCCGAACCTTTGGAGTGTCGAGCCACAAGCCTTCGAGATACCTTTAAGTTTGAAATATCGGGGGATGTTTTCAAAAATTGTATTCCTTCGCAATAAGTTTAACTGCAAATCGTAATTTTTTGAAAAAATTTCGGAAATCTTGAATAAGTAAGAAAGAAACCAAGTCACCTGCGAAATGGAGTTGGCTGCATCGAGAGCCGCAGCAGCTTCATCCCGTTCTTGTTGTTCAAGCTCGTGAAGCAGACGTCGACCGCGAACTATTTTCGATATCAGGAACATCTGAAGCTTCCAATAACACTCGTCTGAATATTTTTGCACATTGGAAAATGAGATTTGGTCGGGATGATTCCAAGCAGAAAAATGAGAGCAAAAGAAAATTGGAAGGGGAGGAAAGGCTCAAAACACAAAAAAAACGCCTTGCGTGACGGGACCTCCAAATTCCTTCGTCTATTTTTACAAGTGTAATAAAAAAACACCACCGATTCCGAAAAAAAAAAACATAAATATATTTTTACCAAGGAGATTCACATTCCAACCACCGAGCCAAAACCACAAGAAATCGCTGTTTTTATGGGAAGACGTCAAAAAGGCAATTTCCGGTTGAAATTAATGCGTTGAAAGTTTTCGCACTTACTGAAAAGGATTTCACAAACACTTTTCTGCCGAATTTCAGAGTTTTACACATGAAATCAGACTATGTAAACCAAATATCAGAGAAAAATAAACAAAAATAAGACTTAAGTTCAAAGCGTTTGGAATTTTTGACACTGCTGCGAAACTATCAAGTTTCAGCACGTGTTTGCAAAAATTTCAATTTTTTGGGATTTGATCTTCTGAAAAATATGATTTTCCTAGCGTATGAGGTCTCAGTTGAAAGTAGAAACTATTTGAGAAATTGCAACAAAGTTTATTTCTTCAAAAAAAAATGTATTCTGATCAAGAAATTCTCAGAAAAAATAAATCGAGAAAACAAGGAAGCTGTAAGAATAAGAAGGGCGAGAAAAATAATTTTTAGTAATCTACCGTTAGCCGAAATTTCAATTCTTCAATTATTGTGAAGATTTCATTAAACATAAGAAATCAAAACTTTCCCTAAATTTTTAGATTATTTTATTCCAGAAACAATTATTCCGTTGGTTTTTATTGTTGGTTTGATAAAAGTAGGTTTTTAACTTTCTTCTAGGAATAAGTGCACATTTTCTGAGCAACTTTGTGAATAGTCTGGAAACCTCTAGAAACCTCAAAAGTCAAGTTTATAAAAATCCTGTTCATAGCACGTTTCAGTTTCCGAAAACGAGATAACTCTCAAAATCTAGCGCCGATTATGGAGACGGATCGATGTTTCTAAAGGAAGTCGAAGTGCAGGGCGGCGACGTCGTGGCGTCCCGATCCATCGACGTCCACATTCTAATTGAAGCCATTAGCAAAAACGAAAAGCCAAGGAGCAGGCAGGACGAATCGAGAAATGAGCCCCGTCGTCGACCAGGTGGATGTTTTCTCGTGGATTTGGCACCTTTGTTTTGCACGACGCCCAGCGTTTATCTCCTTATCCGGCGCTTGAGCCGCCAAATCTTGATGAGTGGTGGTTTCATGATGAAAGTGGACCTTTCCCAATTTTCGATGAACAAATCTCTATTCCCTTGTATAGCGCATCAGAGTACAAAGATATGCAATCGTTTTTTCTATGAAAAAAATTTTAAAATTCTCTATAGAGCAATCTAGCAAGATTCAAACTTTTCAAAAATAAACGGCTGTTGTCGAAATTTTCTGTTTTCGCAGTTCTTGACGCAAACTGGTGGTTTTATAGCTAAGATTAGGAATTCACCCTTTTAGTTGCACGAATAAAAATAACTGTGAAAAAATTTTAGCAGGTTCTGTTTTGGCAGCTTTTATCCTGCAATCTAAGAGGTTTTGAATTAAATTTAGAAAAAAGCCAAAGACCTCATTTTCGACTTTTTTTTAAAAATTGTAGAACAGTACCTGTAGTAAGAGATCATACCTAACATTCAAAAAGTCTTGAAAAAAAGATTCTAAAAAAATAGAGATTTCTTACATCAAAACAACGTGTTGATAAAGATTTTTAGAAACTTTTTAAAAGTTGAAGAACGGAACGAGACGAAGTTGAAAGGAAAACGAACAAGGAATATCATATTTATTCATTAATAAATTTTACTCCAGCAATTTTCTCTCTACAGCTAATTCTTGAAACCGCCAGACACCGGAAGTGCAGGAAGATACACCTTCTTCTGAGACTTATACGCCCTAAACCGCGACTTATCGCTTAGTATTTTGAAGCAAAAGAGAGAGAAAAGGAAATTTATAAGTTTTCATAGACTTTTATTTCGAGTGTCGAAAATTCTAAAAAAAAATGAACTCAAGAAAAATGATAAAAAAAAAAGAAAAGGAAATCTATAAATAAGGTTGTTTTCACGTTAAGAACAATCATAATTTATCATTTCCGGTGTGTACGGAGGCCGCCTGAGCACTTAATAAAATATTAGATTGTTTTCCTGACTACCTGTCCGCTCATTCAATTGACAAACGATACCTGACAAATAATCAAAGTACAAAACAAGAAAAAAAAGTTAAACCTTCACCTTGACAAAAAAAAGTTGAACGAAAAGATGCAGAGCAATAAAAAATGAACAAATGTCGGATCTTCAAAAGGGGAATTTTGTTCCAATTCCCCAAAAAATACATAAAAGAGGTCGTAATTTTGGGTCACGAAAATTGATACGTTCTTCTGAAGAGTTCCATTCATTCTCTTAACGTCTTGGTTTTCTTTGAAAAAACATGCAAATGAACTAAGGAATTTGGGAGGTCCGGTTGAAAAAATTTCAGCTTTGAAATTCGATGCTTTACTTTGAAACCGCTACTCTTCCTTTGTATACTTTGTGAAGTCAAACCTGATCTTTGAACTGAAAGAGTTTGATATATTCTGTAGTGTAGTATTTTGAAAGAGAAAAATTCTACAGATTTGAGAAAATAATAATAATGTTCTGTGGAAAAGAATGAAAAAAAAAGCAGAAACAGAGAAATGATTTTTTGTACGTATTCACGCCTAAAACTTATTCGATAACTCTTTATTACAAAAAAATTTTCACAATCAATTGAACGTCATATTCAGACATGATCTTCAAAATAACGCCTATTCAAAAGTTGATAGACAAATATCTGAAAAAATTGACGAATTTGTTGAGAGGCTCCGGGCTCAATTTTCAGTTATTCATGAAAATTTTCACGCTGAATAGGTAATCATTTTCTCCCCTCCATAACCATCCTATTGCATGTTTCACAAAAGAAACCTACGCTTTTTTTTTTGCTGAAAAGAGCTAGTACCAGACTGAGATAAATGAGTGCAAGTTTCAACTCGATCAAACTCGACAAAAACGGCAAAAGCATGAGAAAAAGTCAGCACATTCATTTTTCCAATAAACTTCATGGAATTTGAATTATTCACAGCAAAAAAAAAACTTCCGAGGCACAATCGCTATTGTCTTTATTTGGCTTCCCACTGCACCGGGTTGAAGAATAATAGTGAGAGAAGTCAGAAATTATGAAAGTGGAGAAAACGAAAAGCCACTTCATTATTGTGACACTTCAAAATGTCAAGAGGCAGGTGTTTTTTGGCGATCCTGTTTGAAGAAAATTGATTTCTCTGTGAACTTTGCTTGTTTGTTAAACGAAAATAAAATTCGGTTTCATGCTGACTAGAATAACAGTTCCAAGGATTCATTTCAGATGAGAATTTTTCTGGAGTATAATAACTTTGAAAAAAATTTCATTTCTGGCAATGCTTCAAAAAAAGCTACATAGATTAATACCTGAGATACATTTCAGGAGCTTGCGGAATCTTTTAGATAAAAAAATCTCATAAAAAAATCATACAAGGTGTATTTGTTTTTTTGGTAAATTTCTTTTGACCTGGTAGATCAATTTTTTGAAAAAAATAAATACCCTGAAAAAGTTTCGAATGAAACTAAACAGCTTTTTGAAACATTACAACAACAGCTAAAAAAACCTTCATGACAGAAAAAAATAGGTTGAAATTACGAAAATCAGAAGCTTTTTGTCTCCAAAATGACCTCAAAGAACCGGTAATCATGAGAATAACTTTTTCTTTTCTGTTAGTCAGAAGAGGATCAGGCAAAACGAAAAAAAACATGAATTTGAAACACACGAGAACGTATAAGAAAAAAAAAATAGAAAAGTAAGAATTGAGCTGAAAAATGAATTTTTGTAGCTGAGAAAAGACAGCCGTGTTTTAAGGCAATTGGCTCAAACTACCGTAAGAAACAAAACAGGATAAAATATGCAAATGAGAATTGAGGCGTCCGGCCGGCATATCTTTGTGTCTGAGCCATTTACGGCTTGTTTCTGTCTTGTAACGCCCCTTGCGCGAGCAATTGATGAAGTTCGGTGGTGCGTGCTCGTTGCCTTCTTGCCACTCCATTGTCCGACTCTTTCCATCGCATTGGCTCCCACCAATTAATGGCTTCCGATAATGCCATTTTTAACAAGCAAACTTTAGATAAGCAACTCGTCTGAGCCGGAAGTTTCGGTATCTTCTGAAGTTTTTCTCTCAGGAACTTCCGCGAATCTCTGGAAGCCCCGCGGGTAGAAATCACATTAGGGTAATGAAGCGGCTCTGACAATGAACGCGAGTCCTCCGAAATGGAGGCGCTTTATTTCTATTGTTGATGGATCCATTTTTATGAACTTTTCTTGTCGTTCTTAAAACTAATTCTGGAATAAAAGATCGGTAGGCAAAATACGCAGTAGACGAACTCAATTTGGAAATTATTTTTCTCTTTTTTCATACGGAACTTCAATCAAAAGGATTTTTGTGAGACATCTATTTTTTCTAAGCAGTCGAAGAAATGAAACTAATTTAATTTTCATCAAAATTTTTTCAAAATTATTTAAAAAAAAACTTTGAACCGGAAAAGAACATCATTTTAATTATTCAGCATCAAAAAAACTTCAGAAACTGTCTGAAAATCGCTCTAAAAGTTTTCTAATGACCTTCAGGCACCTCCAAATAATTTTTTTTCGTTCAAACGAAAAATTCTTCTTCCTAGTGCAACGCGACCAGATTTTGCCGGTTTCGCCAAATTGAAGAAAAAAGCTTTTTGCGAAGGGCGGACAAGAAAAATCAGCTTTTGGCAGACAATCCTTGGGTAATTATGCTGCGGTAAGTCCAGAACACAAATGACGCTAGAAAGGGAGTTTTTTCGACTGTCCATCTGCTGCAACGGACTGATTCCGGTGGAAGCGAATTGGGGAATGAAATGTAAGAAGTGCAAAGAAAATATCTGGGCAATCTCCGATTTTTTGGAGAAAATTTTGAGGTACACAGACTGAGAAAGAATCAATTTTGTTATTACTGTTTTTTTCAGCCTGGCAATGGATTTAATTATATGTTTGAATGAAAAACTTAAAAAAATGAGTTGAAAGCCAAAAAGTTATCATTATAAGAAAAAAATTATAAGCAACGATCACTTTGTGAAAAAGATCAAGTTGAAAAAGACTGGTTTTCCAAGATTTATTTCTAAAAATCACGCTCTGATTTATTGAAACTTTTGATACCTACATGCTCACGAATTTTGAAACGGGAGATTCAAGATAGTTTTTTTAAGCAGGAACACTTGAACTCGGATCTTTTTAATTTTATATCAGAATGAATTTAAATTAACCAGTTTTCTCTCTCAAAGGCCTAAAATAATCAAAAAAAGAGCCTGCACTAAGCCTCAAAATGATGTTCTATCAAATTTTAAACTTTTCTCATTTTTCAGCTCCAGGTTCTCGGCTCAGTTAAGCTTCAAGATCATATCAGATCGAAAACCATTTAAAAACTAAAACAGAACAAAAGTCGTTTTCGGTCGCTATCTCAACTTCGTTTTTTGCTTCATCCCTAGTTCGAACTGAGACATGAAAAAAACCATGTGTGCTTGTTTTTGTTCGAGGCAAAAGCCACAAAATGCTGCGAAGGCCCAAACGCCCGATAGCGCAATTATATCGCACATGCCGGTTCTTCAAGTAGGCAGAAAGCAGCGGTGGACGCGATGTCGACACCAGATTTCGGCCTACTTGTATTTCGCCACTGTTATTAGAATCCTTCATAAGATAATAATGCGAGCTTGACGAAGAGGCCATTTTGCCAAGGCGAGTTGAGAAAAAGTTGGAAGCTGCGACGATATCAAAAAAGTAACAGGTTTGTGATCAGAAACATCCCTGATTTTCTGGATCAGGAAAGATTAGAGACTTTCTTTAGATCAAGATTTAATTAAAAATAAATGTTTCAAAAATAAAAAATGAAAACATAAAATTACAAACTAAGGATTTGCTGTCAGGAAACTTTAAGAAAATTCGAACCTTTCTTAAATTTTATCAGAATAACAATAATTGACTTTCATGGAATCTTTCTCCCTTCTTAACTTCAGAAAAAAAAACTGCGACAGAATAAAAAAAGTCTTCCGAACAGAGTGAAGAAATAATTTTCTAAGGTTGTTTTGGTTTTTAGAAAGCTGCTATTTCACTTTTCGAAATTATAGGGTTATTTCTGAAAAATGACGTGAATGATGAAGCTGATAATAACCTGAAAGTGATCGAAGTTTCTCCAGCTCTCAATAATTGTAGCTGTGAGAATGAGAGCCAAACGAAGAATCTCGTTTTATAGTTTGCTTTTTTTGACCTCCGTACAATCTCTAAAAAAACAACAGAAGCTTCTAGGAAAAAATTGTTCCGTTTTCTAATGCAAAGAAAACGAGAAAATGCAGAAAAGACGTAGATTTGGGTTAGAAATGAATGCGTTTTTTTTCAGATAGAAACAAATGCAAAAAGTGATGAGTTTATCGTATTTATTGAAAAAAACTTTATGAAAAAAATAAATATTTTTAGTCGATGGCGATTAGGAACCTTCTGCATTCCGTTTCCATACTTTTTTTGATTTCAGGTTGTTCTCAGCTTATTATTCAGGTTCTTTCAACATTCCGTGAAGAATATTTTTCATAAAATTTTTTAAAGCGCCCAGGTTATTTCTTAGATCCAAATCAAATAAGTTAGAAGCTAAAAAAACTTCGAGAATTTTTCAAAGAAGGTCATGACTTATTTTAAGATAGTCATCCTGGATCATTGACATGGTTTGTTTGAACCAAAAACTGTCAAAGTTCGTGAGATACGATGATTATTTTCCAATCAGATTGTACGAAAATGTCTATTATTTTTTCATCACAGCTTTTTATGAAGTTTAATAAAGTAAAAAGAAAAAAAGAAGAGCAACCTGAAATAAATCTCAGAAAGAAGTTTTGCCTCGCAAATTTGCTTGCAGAGCTACTTTTCTGAGCTATTTTTCACTTGTTTCAAGTTTTTGTCCAATTACGATATTTTCAAAGAAACTGATTTTAGCCACCCCAAAGCTTGCAGGAAGTCTCACAGTCTGCACCGAAAACATTAATTTTATGGTGATAGCCCGCCAAAAGCTGATCAAACTACACTACCGTAACCCTCCATGATAGAGATTCAAACTAATGCTTTTGCGGCGATTTTCTGCGGTACTGTGGCGACAAGTGAAGGTGCGAACACAAGACTTTGTGTGGGGGCGGCGTTGAAATGAGGAATGCGCCGAGGAGCGAAGTATAAAAGACGAGTTTGCGAATATTTCGCCTCGATCCCTCATCCTTCCAGTCATTATGACCCAAGACGACGACGTCAAGCTACTGCAGGACCATGCCGACTCACTTAGAAGGTCAGTTCAACTCATTTTACACTTTCTCTTTGATTTGTTTGTAGGTCGGTTTCTTTCATTTCTGTTTTTGTTGAGAATTTTTTATTGTTTTCATCAGGTTCTTTTTTCATAACTTTTCTATAATTTTCATGAAGCCTTTCAACGGGAACTCAGCATTTTCTCTACAACTTTGAAAGCTTTTTACAATATTATTCTATCCTTCACATATTTTTTAGAAATATTGGATATGAACTTTCCAGAAAAAAAAATCAAAACGTACGATTTTCGGGATGTTTTTTTTCTCTCTTTTTCACTCATCCACATAATTCTTGATTCAGTTTGAAAAAGTTTTTCTCAATTATTGTCTTATTGTTATATTTTTTTCATACTTTTTTTCAGAATAGCCTTTTTTTCGGCGTCGCAATTTCTACAGTCGCCACCATTTTTTGTGTTGTCTCTGTACCAATTCTCTACAATTACATGCAACACATGCAGTCTTCAATGCAGGCCGAGGTTTTCTGAACATTTTCACAGCTTCTAGGGAAAACAAAATGAAATCATTTTAGGTCGACTTCTGCAAAATGCGGTCCGGAAACATCTGGCGCGAAGTGACACGGACTCAGGTGCATTTTCTCTTTCACCTTTTTTTTCGACACTTTGTAATTAGTCTGAGGAATTGCGCTTTTGCGACAATACAGATCGGAGGTCCAGGGGCCGTGCGACTGGCCGTCATTAACGCGTTTTCGACGCGCACATCTTGTTCTGCGCCGCTTTTTTTGTAAGCTAAAGTAATGCAACAATGCTCAGATTCGTGTTCCATCAGAAATCGTTTCAATGGGAGTGGCGAACGCAAATTATGTCTTTTACAGAGCGCGGAGAACAGAAAAATTGAGCTGAACGAGTTCAAGGAAGATCGAACTATAAATATTTTTTCATCCTAAGTACAGACTTTTCAGTTTTCAAAAGTTTTTTTCACGAAACGACTCATACTACAAGTTTGAATGAGCTTTTCTGATTTTTATGTTTCGTCCAGTGGATAAAAGTTTCCAGGATGTTCCTAGTTTTGCATGATTTGAAACAACAAAAAAATAAAAAAACTCATAGCTTTTTATATTTTCTAAAAAAACCCATTTTTTTCAATATGCTGAAAGAATTTTTTTCAACCTTGAGACGCTGTAAAAAAAGAAAAACTCTTTATCCTCGATAAAAGTTTAGATTCAAAAAAACTTTCTCATCATGTCTAAAAAAATGAAATTTGAAAGTTTCTAAACAATCGCTTCGGAAATTTTTGAATTTGCTAGTTTTGAAGTTTTCTAAGGCTGAGCTTTCTTCTTTCTTTCTTTGAAAACTCTCTCGGTTAAACAACTTGATAAAAAACGAATGAATTCAATTTTGTGACCTCCCTTATTTTTCAGGTTCTGGCGCAAGTGTCCGGCGGCGTAGTTCGTTCTAAACGACAAGCTGGTTATTCTGCTGGAAGCTATCCCACTGCTGCCGTAGAAAGTTGGATTTTTTAGTCTTCTCGGAAATTCATCTGTTTAGATGGTCCTGCCGAAACTGCGCCATCCGGTGGTTGCTGTGGATGTGGAGTTTCTCCACAAGGACCTCCAGGAGCCCCCGGCAGAGACGGGGACGATGGAATCGATGGAGAGCCTGGGGCGCCTGGAAAAGATGGTCCTGATGGACCTGAAGCTACACCTGCTCCACAACACGAATGGTGCTTTTTTCATGATTTCATAAATTAACCCGTGTCTTTTAGGTGCTTCGATTGTCCTCCTGGAGAACCTGGAGCAGCTGGACCGGCCGGTCCTAAAGGAACGCCAGGACAAGCTGGTGCACCTGGAAAAGACGCCGACGGTGGCTCTCGCGGAGCGCCTGGACCTCCAGGACCACCTGGACCACCTGGAGCTCCGGGAAACCCAGGAAAAGCGGGAGCACAAGGCAAACCAGGAGTTCTTCAAGAAGTCCCGGGCCCTGTTGGTCCACCAGGACCGCCAGGACCGGCAGGATTGCCAGGAGCTCCTGGAAACACTGGACCGAACGGAAGCCCAGGAAAAGACGGATCGCCAGGAGACGCAGGAGATAATGGAACGCCAGGAGGGCCTGGAAAAGACGGAACACAGGGACCTCCTGGTCCGGATGGATCTAGAGGACCTAGTGGCGGCTGCGAGCATTGCCCACCTCCCAGAACTGCTCCTGGATACTAATCTCCTCTTTGTTATCCTAATGTATATTCTTTTTGGCATCTCTAATTATTTATATTGTATGATAAAAGCTGTGACACGCATTGTTTTCGCCCAAATCGTTGCACACAACACATGACACGGCGTGAGAGAATTTGCATAATCTTTTGTCGATGCCATGGAGAAAAGGTTCATTCTCTTTTCGATACTCAACAATTATTTCCTATGCTTCTTCAACAAAACGAAGGCAAACCGAAACGATGGGGCTGTTTGGTTCTGGTCGCCTTTACCGTAAATTTTACAATTTGGTTGGAAATTCATTAAAATTCACTAACTTTGTATGCAGTTTCTCATTGAAAATAAAGGTTTTCAGATGACAGCGATAAGTATTGGGATCGTTATTGTAATCCGAACTTTGCTCGATACGGAGGATGATATTAATCAGCCAATTATTCAAGGTGTGTGAAATACTAATTCGAAAAATCAACCACTGTTTTGAAAAAATGTTGTTTTTGAGAGTGGTTTTAGTAGAAATCGATATTCGAATTTTCACTGACAAGGAAAGTCTTTTCATTTTGTGGCTGGGAAGTTTCGAAATTCATCAGAGGAATTTATTGAAGAATCAACCTGCTCAAATTCTTTTTTTTTATAGAAAACACACTTAAAAGTCAGAGAAAAATCACAAAGCCTATTAAAATAGACTATTTCGGACATTTTGAGGCCTTTGCCTTTTTTCTCGATAACTAGGAAGTTTTGGAATTTGAAATTTGGAGAATCTCCTTTGATACATCAAGAAGTGTTGACCATCTTTCAGGAACTTTCCCAACCACAAATTGAGATAACATCTCTTGTGAATCAAGAAGTGTAAATAAAACAGAAATCTTATTTTTCCTCTTCAAGGGAAACTAAGAGAACACATGAACGAATTTCTTGGTGTATTTTCCATGTCTTTCTTTTTCTTTTGCTACTGCTGCTTCTGCTGCGGAGGTCTCTGTTGCAAGTTGGTTTCTTTTATTATTTCAAATAAGTCGAGATCTTATTTCAGGTGGTTGTTTTGGGACGTTCCTCAGACTTGGCGTCCGTTTTTCGGCAGAGTTGCTTCCTATTGTATGTACAAAACTTGGTGCGGAAAGCAATGTTTTGATCCGCGTGAGTTTTGAAGGCACTGATCATAGGGGACTTGCATCAAAACTTGTGAATTTGAAAATTTCAAACATGAAACTTCGACGCTTGAAAAAATCCAAGAACAAAAAAAGTTGAATAAATTAAGTATTTCAGAAGAAGACACGGAAGATATAGTTATCGTGACAAGAAAAGAATCGAGGAGAGATTTTCATCCCGAAGAGCCGCTCACGCCTCTTGAAACACATCAGGTCTCATTTGGAACTTCTAACTAATTGATAATCCAAGAAAAGTGAGCTGAACTAATCGATGAGATTCATGATTACTGTTACCTTACTGAAAAAACATAGAAATGTGTCTTTTGTTCTTCATCATTGTCAATTTGGAGTTTGCTTAATCAGATCAAAATTGGGACATTTTTCATTTACCTCCAGTTTGAAACAGAAATCTTGTGGAATACGTTTAATTAAAAGCTTTAGTTTTGGATCTTGTTTAGTAAATGACTTCAAAAAGAAAGAGTTGTTCAAATTACACCTTTGAAAAACGTTTCAGCTTCTGATGTCCTGTTTTATGTAAAAATCGAGAAATTCTTCAACGGCTTGTTTTAGGAACTTTATTGATTGAGAAAACTGAACTGTTTCCAAAGTTCAAAAAAACAGCTTTCAGGAACTGGCAATGAGTGCCCTGCCACACTTCATATTTCCTCGTGAAGCAACGCGACCAAGGTCAATGAGTATCGATGTGGGAATTATGTAACCCATCTTTAAGTTCTTTTGGCTCTGGAACAAATAAAAATGTCTTTCATGTTTATGCAATCATATGAATAAAATTCACACTTTGGGTGCATTTCTTCAGTTGGACGATGATTTGTCAGAGAAAAGATGGCACTTCAAATCGCGACCAATCGCAGCTACATGCGTGGTGAGCGTGCGCGAGACAAATAAATAAAGAGAGGAACAATGCAATTGAGATCAGCTGGAAGAGGGGTCGGTGGTGGTTTTCATACTTTAGAGTTCCTGGTGTTATTTCTTGCCTCCAAGGAACTGCGAAAGAAACGATGAGGGCTCTTGACTTGCTGGCCGGGCGTTGCTTCTCATCAACGCGTTTACGATTCCTGAAAAGCCATGAAAGTCTATGGTATTCTCACGAGTTGCAGATAAAGGGATCGACTGGAAAATCTCAGAATTTATGACGATATTCAATAATATGTTTGATTCAGTCTTCATTACGTCATTTATTAACGGAAGATTATAAATTCCCTGTTTCTGAGGTCATCATAAAATATATCACACAACTACCTCATTCGATTTCAAAAAGTACAGGTAATAAAAATTTCATGATCTGAAAGATTTTTTTGTGACAAAAAGAAAAAAACTAAAATGAAATCATTATAAAAAAAGTGACGTATTTATTCGATCAAAAAACTTTTATATACATTCTGCCATGCATGCTTGAGGGAAAAAAACACGAAAAAAATTTGAAAACTCACTTTTCACAAAACTCGCACCCGGCAATTAAGGCATTGATTAGATTTTTTTGAATAAGTTTTGAAATTTTTTTTGGTTCGCATCAAAAATTTTTTTAAATAGACATTATAGAACGTCATGGGTTTTACGATTGAAATTATTACTCTAACTTATCTCCTTTTATGACTTTTCAACATAACGATTGCCGTAATGTTTGTCAAAATAAACTTTGCGAAAAAAAAAACAAGCAAAACTGATTCTCACCATCAATATCTTCCGGTCCACCGCTGTAAGCTTTCCTAGGATTAAAAAGAGCCTGAAGAGGCGGTTGAGCCGTTGTTGTAGTTCTCGGCGCTACTCCTGGAAAATATCGGATTAGGGCTTCAAAAGAAATAAAATCTCACCGAAAAGCTCCATGAAGTTCAAATTACCCAAACCGGACGAAGATCTTGCCGATTGCTGAGTTTGAGGCACTGAAACGGTTTTTTTTTTCATTTGATATAAAGAAGATGACGCATACCAAACATGTTAATAATTTTCTGGACTGGTGGAGCTTCTGTGGTTGTGGTGGTTGTAGTTGGCATCAATCCTGGAGAAATAGGGAATAATTTAAATCTGGTGCTCGAGGTAATTACCGAAGAAGTTGCCGAAAATGTTTCCGACGCCTCCTTCTGATGGCTTTTGAATGTTAGCGTTTCCTCCGCCGAATGATCCGTCTGAAAATGATCTTCCAACGGCACAAAGAAAATTCCGAGATTATGTTCCTTTTTATTCTATTAACTTCTTTTTGTCAAAACACAAAAAACTTTTTAAACGCTGTTTTAAAACGGCTAATATCCTTCAACTATCATAAAGAAAAAAAAGATTCAAGGTTAGTTGGAGTATAAAGGAAGAGTCAGAAGGATCCGGTCTCTATACTCAAGCCACAATCACTTGGTTAAAAAAAACAAACAATATATAGTCGTTTTTTTCAACGCAGTTTCAATTGTACTTTTCCTAGTTTTTTTATTTGCCCTCCTAAAAAAAACACTCATAAAATAAATAAGGAAATGATGCGAAAACTTCTCATAGTTTGTCTTTTTACCCCCAAAGAGATTGAGGAGACTGTTCGAACGAGCTCGAGGTCGTGGAGTTGGCGGCGGAGGCAGAGCGTCGATATCCGCTGTCGGCTGCGACGAACCTTAATTCTACAGGTTTCTTTCGGATTGCAACCTCGATTTGTGAGATTTCCGGCACTTCAAAATGTAGCTGATTTTGAGCTTTTCTTTTTCTGTACATGTGTTCGTTTCAATCGAAAAACCTTTGTAGCTCAAAAAAGTTGAACAAAACAAGTTGTGCTTTTTGAAGTTCAGAAAGACGTTCCAATTGTCTTGTAAGACTAGATGTAACCTAAAAACTTCTCGCCAAAGTAGGCGCCTAATTTGCAGGGATAAGTGGCGGCTAATCTGCTAAGAAGAAACAAAAAGGTCCGCGGACTAATGGGCCTCGAAGTAATTGTACCCAAGAACGTGTTGAGCAAAGACTGGAATCCACTCGGTGGAGGCGCAGTCGTCGTCGTTGTGGTCGTCGTCGTGGGGGCCACGCCGCCGGTCAGCATTCCTAGAAGTTCATTCGGATTGTTTTGACTACACAAGGCGTTTCAATTTCAATGAAAAAATTGAAGTTATGATGGATTCCATGTTCGATAAAAAAATAAAAAAATAAAAAAATTTGAATATATTCCATATTGGATCTTCTAAAGAGAAGTTATCTCTCCTTCATTTTTTTCAACAATATACATGAAAAAAATTGTTCATTGGAGCGACTAAATCGCATCAAAAAGCTAGCAGATTTTAAAAAAATCAGTTCATAATGTTGAAAAAAATGGAGAAAAATAATCATAGCCGTAGGAGCTCTGAAGGATGAACAGCATGCGATGCACTTTTTTAGAAAAGAAAAACAGAAAAAGAAGGATTTTCATGCCTTAATCTCCATTATCTGAGAAAAATCTTCAAAATTTTTAACTGAACTTTTGGAAATTTTTTCTAATTTCTCTTGTTGGCTTCAATTTTTTTTGAAGCGACTGATGAACTTCAAAATCAACCTAATCCAGTGGAAAAAAAGCTTCACGAAATGATTTCATAGAAGCCTTTGAACAGCTGGATTAAAAATTTAAATTCCTTGTTTTTTTCTATTTTAGTGTTAGATTCATTTTGCAGAATGGAGTTTTTTTCAGTCTGAAATGTATACTTTGGACTTGGCATCAAGTTTTTCAAGAAAGCAAAGAGATAATAATTTAAAAAGTAATTTAGCTTAACCTTTTTTTCCACGGCTAAGCGCTTAGTTTTTTTGCACATCAAGTATTTTTTTCTCGCCGTGCAATACGTCAAACGTTTATTTTTCTGCTAAAAAAATGATTCTTCATCAGCTTTATCCATTTACTTGATAATTTTTTTATCGTCCTTTTTTTGCAGATTACTCCAAAAAGCTCATTTGTGAAATGACTATAAATAACTAAGCAATCAAATAAATTTACCATAAAAGATTAGTTGAATAAAAAAAGCTGAGAATTCATGATCTTGACGCGTTTTTTTAAAAAACTTCTTTCTTTCTTTCCTTATTTTCCCTTATCACGAACCTCCATATTCGGAGAATAAGCGAGCCATCGACGCGAATCTGTCCGAAGACGATTGGCCGCTGGTCACACTATTGTCTTCATTGAAGGAACGAACGCCTGAACATGTTTTCTTTGCAGCTAATCAATCAATTATCGCGTGAAAGCATAATTGTTTGCATAACTGAACATTCCAATCAGAGAAGATCAATTGAATGAAGAAGTTAGAAACCCCAGATTCTGGAAAACTGCTGAAAGAGATACAAGCAACATTTTCGATACTTTTTGAGGCGTTTGAGCTCAGTTTTTTTTTTTCAAAAAGAGATCGTTTGAAAGTATTGTGAATTTGTTAATGCTAATAGAGGGAGAACTAAAACGTTTGGAAAACATTGAAGTTTTTTTGAAAAATAAAAACGAAACAGTTTTTGAACTTTTTTTTTCATCGGTTCGGGTCACCGAAAGTATTCTACTGTTTTTATTCTGATGGAACATTAACGAGCTAGCTTCGGAAATATTTCTAATAGTCAAAAATTTTTTTGCTCATGTTTTGGTAACAAATTTTTTTCTTCCGAGACGAGGTAAATATAATAAATAATATATTAGTGAATACAAAAAATTAAGTTCTCACTCAAAAAAAGGGATGATTTGAAGAATTGATTTCTATCAAAAAAATTATAAAACAGCAAAAAAAGACTCATTCATTTTTTTAAGCAGAGTGATAACTAACATGGCAACAGAGTAGCTCTTAAAACTAACGAAGCAAAATACGGTAAGAACTCTTTCGATATGTTTCATCTGATTCAAAATTTGAATATCTGACGATTTCGAAACGGGAAATAACAAATTCGGAAAATTAATCAAAAAAACCTTGAAACCGAGGTCTTAGCTCTCCATCATAACCGCCACCATTTCCAGCGCCATTTTGACCCATTATGTTCCCGCTGATCTCCATGATTTTGGTAGCGATCCCGTACACTGTAAATTTGAAGCATTGGAATGACGATGACGCATAGATTGCGTTAACGATGGAAGGATTTTACAGCACTCACAAAATAATAAATCTGGCGAACAAGTTTTGGAAAAAGGTTTGACGTCGCATTTAGGGTTTCTGGACATTTCAAAGGATTCAAAACGAATTTGTTTCCAAGTGGATTACAGTAGCAGAATCGTATGGTTTCTCGAAGAAATCTGTTTCGACCATTGAAAAAAATCGAGAACGAAAATGCGCTTCTGAGGTCGGATGCCTTCTTGTTGAAAATTTCACCAACACTGTTCAAAGACGAAAGGTAAATTTTGAAAATTATAAAAAAATAGAACTCTTCCAAGTGAATTCGAGAATTAAGAACGTACTCTGCCCTCATAACTGATGAAAAATCTTTGAAAGAGTCAATTTAGTATTTTTTTTTTTCGAAACTCAAGCTTAAATGTTTTTTGTAGTACCGGATGAAATTTCCAAACCTCAAAGAGCTAGATATTTTTTGCAAGAAAAAAAAACTTTCTAAAAGAGAATTCAATCGAGAAATTTGAAAAATCTCAAAAATAAGAAGTTTTTATTCTTGGTTTGGCTACTGGAAATCATAAGAAAGAACTCACGTTGTCGGAAACTCTCAGCATTTTCAGAAGCTTCCGAAGGACGTTGAGCAAAAGCTACCGGTAACAAAATTAATGACCACCACAACATCCTGAAAATCGTATCTGAGAAGAAAAAAGGCAAATGAAACGCAGAAGATCATTAACGGCAAAATAAAAATAAAAGGTGAAAGCGCGCCGAAGAAGGCCTGGACTCGATAGGAGACTCCGGTTCGACCCACGACGTCTTCTGAAGCGGCCGAACGATCCGCGCTGCCATCGCCCGCCTTCTGACAACTCGTTACGTCATCGGCCTCATCTTCGAGACCTTCCGCATCTTGTCGCACTTTACGGAGAACCTGATGTCCGCCGAAACTTGAAGCCGCTTCTCGAGGAGGCAAATCAACGCATTTGGAAAGATGGCATGCCGATCTGACAGCAATCGGTCAAGCGCGTACGTTTTCCAGATTCTCAGTGATTGCGTAAGGTTTCTTCGCCTGGGATACCCATATAAGGATATCATCGGGCCGAAAATGGGATTCCTTAAAAGCCAGATCTCAGTACAGCTGATACTTTATGAATTTCTATTCGAAACTGCAAAGAGCGTTCTGTTCAAAGATCAGGAACTTCCCAATCAAAAAGCAAGATGGATATAAAGTTCAAATTTTCGAGATTAGGCACAATAAAAAATGAGAAATCCAAAGAAAACAGGAAGTGATTAAAAATGAAAGTTTGGATTGCTTTCAGTTACAGTTTTCGAATGTCTCAGTTTTTTTTAGTCAGTTCATGTCTAAAAACGTAATGATTAACATTTTTATAACCATGAGTTGTTGGATCCTTCAGAAGAGTGCGCATTTAATTTGAAAAAAATTAACCTTTTTTGTGTGATCCGGAATGTCAAATTAGAGCTTCAGTTCGGAAAAAAGTGATGAATCCAACATTCATTACCTTCATTTTAAACAGTTCGCAAGGATGTCGAGGCCCTAATATCAAGGGTTTTGGAACTCAGAAAATCAAAACTTCTTGGCGAACTCAGTCGTTAAAAGTAATCACGAGTAATAAATATTCTCGTCAATGATTACCCTACAGGAAGAAGGAACATGAACTTTGATTTTTAAATGGGGGAAAAAAGAAAAGATCAAGCATTCCGAGGCGTAAATGAACCATCGAAGATCGTGGTGTTTCCTGATCTGGCGATTGCATAAGTCTTTGTGCGCATATTCCAACGACGCTTTTTCTCACGCCAGAGAAGCCAGGATGGGCAAACAAGAAACGCAACAACTTCTTTGCATTTGTCGGCTTTCAGGTAAATTTTTCGAAAGCAAAGTTTATCAAATAAAAAAAGATGATGTTTTTAAGGGGCTATGAAATTCGAAAATTCTTCCCGAGGTTTCTAAATGTACGAAAGCCTAACATGAATGGTACCACGGACTGCTCCTGAATTTTTTTTCGAGAATTCCTAAACTGATTTAAACAATTTTACAATGTTATAGAACTGATAGAAATTTTGGAGAATTCCAATATAATCAGTTTAAAAGGAGTTTAGAGAAGAATTCAGAATTCAAAAAAAACGGAGGATAAATTGAGAATAAAAAAAAAGAAATAAGCAAATGAATCTTAGAGATTTATTTTACGAAAAATTAAATTGATCTGAGAAAAACGTAATTATGAATGAGTCCATCTTCAATTGAAGAAAAATTAGATTTTTGAAATTCTCTAGTATTTTTCTACCAAAAACTGTCTTTTTAATAGTTAAAGAAATTGTCTACTTTCATAAACTGAAATTTGTTGGAAACTCGAAGCTTCTAATTACCTGAAAAGACACCAAAACACCTGACCGATCATTCAAGGACAAGAAAGCGAGAAAAATTAAACTCGGAAAAAAAAAGATTTGCGATGGGAGATGTGGAACGTGAAACGCTGGTGGATAGAGATGGATTATGCAAAGCTATCCAGTTCTTCTGCAGCCGTCTCGACGTCTCCACGTCATGTACGGTCTCTGTACCTCATTTACTACTTTCTCTTTTTTTGCAACCGCTCTATCTTCTCTTACCGGATGTCCGCTATTTTACCTTTTTGAATTTTGAAACTTGCATCTTATCGTACATCTCAATTGCAAAATTTGATTCACAAATTGAAATCAAAGTTTATCTTTTAATACGTTTTCAGATGGATCAAAACTTACCCAGTTGAGAAGCCAACATCAATGTCTCGAATTTCGAAGTTTTTCTTCAGTTTTGAATGTTGAAAATATTCAGATGAAACTGTTTTTAACTTCTCAGCCAGAACCGAGGAGAAAAAATAATAACAATAGCTAACAAAAGCCGTCGATAGAAAAATAGCCTTTATCACTTTGATTTTTTGGACTTTACCTTTCATTCGATTCATCTGAATTTTTCAAAGAGTGCTGATTATTCTGACCTTTCTCCTATAATCTTCAAAAAACTGTACCCATATCCTTCTCTTCAAATTATCCACTTCATTTTTTTTTACAGAAGCATTTATTTATCGGAGTTTAACGAATAAATTGGAAGTGTACCACTGAATAAAACAGATCAGCAAAAGCAAGTTTCGCTCTTACGCTGGAGATTCGAGGCGAACTCGTTCGAAAATTCAACAGTTCTCAAAAACAAAAAATGGCAAAAGACACAATACTCATAATCGCACCTGTGAGGGCAAGTGAATGAGACCGGTGAAAAAACCAAAAGAGATGAATCGGAAATATTGCTAAAAAGAAGATATTGGTGCAGAGTAACAAAGACAGTTCATAGGTATCGGTATAGTTACGGTGAATGACGTAGAAAAATTTATATTTCAAAAAAATAGAAGAAAACGACTGCGCTTTCCCGTAAAAATTCCGAAAAGAAAAAATGAAAGTTACCGAACTGCATCACTCATCGGTCAAAAAAAAAATCATCGAATTAAGCATTGTAGGTGGGGGTGATTTTCTCTCTACGTTTGTGGCAATCGGCGGAGTTCAGGCTGTGCAGCTCCTCGTCAGTCGCAGTCTCTGTTGCAGTCGTGGCGGCAACCCGGCGCAGGTCGGGAGCGGAGAACAGCAAACGGCACGTCACGCGAGTCATTCCGTCTGAAATGTCGATGGTTGGCTGATTTTTTAAGCTGATTTGGCAAGTTTAAAAAGGGCGGACCTTTTTGTGAATCGATATTTTTTAGAAACATTGAAAATATTGTCTGAACAAATTTTCTGGCTCTGACGATTGAGAAATATGAATATCTTTTGCAAAAATATAACACACCATTGAGGCGGATCAAAAAGTTGGGCGTATTCGTCGGCTTCACGAAAACGTAGTAGATGGCCAGTCCAACAGCGACAAAAATGATTCCAATGATAGTGTTCTGTAAGATATCTTATCATCTTGCGTTTTTTTATTTCTCAGAAGCTCACCTTGGTGTCTTCGACGAAAGGAACAACGATGAGAGCAGCAGTGAACAGCCAGAAAACGATGGAGAAGATGATCGGAACTTCGATTGCTCCTGAAAGTTTGTTGAAAAAACAACTCTGATAATCTTGGTAAACCTGCAGCCACTGGCAGTTTCTTGTAACGAATCCAAAATAGAGCCGCAATCGAAATAAGCCTCTGACCGAACATGATGAACGTGACGTAGTTGATCAGATCATTGGTGTTGACGAACGAGACAAGGACCATGCAAACAAGCTGAAAACCTTTTTGCACAGATTTCTTTTTAGAAACGATGAACCGCTTTGTTGAGAATTTTTTAGATAGACCAAACTATTTCTTTAAAAATCAATCAGGGTTCAAGTCTTTAAAGGCTTTTTTTTAACTTCTTGTGCTAATTTGATTTTGAGGTTATTGTAATTGAAATTAGAGAATCCTGATGATAAAGTTCAAAGTTTTCGTTCGAAAAACCAAAAAGTGCTGTGATTTTGCAGAAAATTAAGGCCCCAATTCAAATTTCTTCTCTCACTAAAGTGTTAAAGAAGACTAAAATCAAAATGAGAACCTATTGAACTTCTGTTAGGTATTCAAAAATTCTTTGAATCATTGCAAGGGGTTTTGTTGTGAGAATAAAACTAACTTCTTCAGAGTGGACTTTGAAGAAAAAATAAACTTCGTAGAAAGCTTTAGTTTGCTCCTTCCTTCTCAGCAATATTTTCTGATGAGCCTAGAAACCTGGAAAAGGAGAGCAGCTCGGGGACTGTTCGATCCAGTGTTGATGCAGCTCAGGAATCGTGGGAGATGGCCTTCACGAGCCGCTGCGTGAGTAAACCTGAGAAAAGAAAGCATGAGCTATGAAGCTGGTAGTGCATTCCCTCGAAGCGCAGAAAATGTTGCTGTTGAGAGTGCCGATGAGCAAGACCGCCGTCATGAATGGAATCGCGTAGGAAAAGCTGCCAAGCGTAGCCTGAGCGAACTCCTGAATTTCAACGGCGGCCTGCAGTTTTCCTCCTTCGAACTCACCACTGCCACAGCCGAACTGTTCGAAATTTGTTGAGGAGTCATGACGACACAGTACGAAACGTTCATTGCGAGATAGATAAGAGTCACCAAAGCAATGCCACCAAGAAGAGCAATGGGCATCGTTCTCAAAAATCTCATTTCTACACCCAAACAGTTTGGATTAAAAACCTTCTCGGTTTGTAAATTTCAGGTGTGCCGTAGTTCAAAATGTCCCAGCCGGAGAAGCTCCAAGAAGCGCCGTAGAAAGCTAAGGCTATACTTCCTGGATTCCAGTTGCTCCCTGCCATGATATTCTCAAAGTTGTGGGTCCAGCCTAAATCCCTCGTCCAGTAAGTTTTTCTACAATTGGCTGAACCTTTCACGATTAGGTAATAGAATCCTGTAAAAATTATCACAGCCAGAGCCAGAAGTTTCGCAGCTGTGACGAAGATCTGAAAATGGTTTTTTTATGTCTTCGCAAAAAGGCTATTTGATCTCAAGCTTCGGGAAACGGACAGGCGAAGAATCACAGAGAAAAGTATGTTCAGATATGATCCCCTGATTGTCAACTTTTCTCCAAAAAAAATAATAATTTTCAGTTTTCACTCTTTTTCCCCCCAATGGTAAATTTCTATTTTCTGTTTGTTCTACGGCAAACAGAAAGTGTAGTGCGCAGAAGTTCGAATGTTTTATTGACAGGAAGGAGGGAATTTTTATCAAGGTTCGAACTTATCACGGACTTTTGGAGGAGACATCCTTTTTTTTATGACGACGTCATCAAATTTTTATCGCACCAGACAAAAATTTTCTAGTCACCTGGAATTTCGAAGCGTATTTGTCGATGGCGTAGAAGTTGAGAACAGTCAAGAGAACTGGAAAAATCATTTTCAATGATTTTTCAAAGGATCTTTCACTCACGGATAAGAGCAAAACCGAGACCACGCTCGACTAACTCTTGCCACTGTGGATCGATCGGAACGACAGGCGCCAGTCCAGCCACTGTAGGTATACGAAAAAGATGAAAACGTTTTATCGAAAATACCAATGTATTGGCCAAAAGTGTGTGCCTGAATTGCTGCAGAGGCCGGGTAACTCATCAGGACACCGACCCACATGAATGAAAACGCAAGTGATTCCCATCCTACGTAGACCTGTAAACCAGGAATTTCCGATATAAATGAACATCCGTATAAATATGAAAAAAATTCAAATCAAATAAAGTTTTCACTTATAATGATTCTTTTCATTTCGAAGCTTCCTCCTTAAACACGGCCTTGGGCTTCACCTACAACACCTGCAATTCTTTGAGCTCGTCAAAAAGCAAATAAATGTGTCGCGGAATTTAACGATGTTCCACGTGTGGCCTCTATTGTTCCGTGGTTCTCAAGAATCGTTTTATTTTATGAGAAAATCGACTTATTCCTACATGCGCAAATCGTAGTTTTTTTCCTCGGCACAAAATCACCAAAAAAAAAGCTGTGAACTGCTGTTTGTGACCCATGCGGGGCTCGTTCCATGGTAGAATTTTTATGCATTATTTTTGGATACTTTGTGCCGATGAAACATTGCAATTCCGATTGCCGTAGGAAGGAATAAGTCGACGAAGCTTTCACATGAAACAAATTTATTCTTGGGACACATGAAACAACAAGAACAAAACGTAGATTATCGAGAAACTTCACGACAGAATGGACTACGCGCAGAAGAACGAGGCGAAGAATTTTAAGACCATGCTTACAATCAATTACTTTTCTGAGCTTCTAACTCGCCGAATTCGGTCGTTCGTTACAGCTTTCAATGTTTTTGTTCACCGTCCAGCCAATTACATCTATGAATAAAACTTATAAATGAATAATTGATCAAAAAATTAAATTTCTCAATTGTTAAAGAAAAAGAAAAAAATAAAAAAATATGAAAAAAATATCGATCAAGTTGAAAAACTTTTTTTACGATCTAGTAAACGTATTAATTTTTCTCAAAAATCAAATTTCTCGACTTGAAATTAGGAGAGATGAAAACTTATGTTTAGCAGATGTTTTGACAGGAATTTAGTTGACATGGCATGTGTCATTAAACATCAAGAATTGTAATTTGGAATATTTTAGTGTCATTTTTGTATTGAAATATATAGGAAAAATTATCAGAAGACTGTAAAGTTCGTATCCAGTCACTAAGTCTCATAAGATCCCAGAGAATCGCTGGATTCAATATCGGATTAATAATGAGTTGTTATACTCTTTCCCCCTTTTCCATTTATGGCTTTCATTTTTTTTTTTTACTAAAATTCATACTCTTCTTTGGTCTTAATATTCCTTTGACCTTCATTTTGTAGTCCAGCATTATATATGCACTTTTCTATATTTCTTATCTTCTATCTAAGATAGAATGCTGCGCTTCATGTGATAAGACCTACATGTGGCATCTGGCGCTGTCAACTGCTACTATTTCTGAATCTCAACGTTTTCATTCAGGACCTCGCTAAGACTCTTTCTAAATGAACTTAGAATTTGAATGAAATTTATTTTCTTCCAGTGATCAAACTTTGATCTCGATGAAGATGTTATTCCAGTGGAGTACGATATTTCAAGCCAAAAGAAATCCTATTTGAAGGAAAAAAAACATCATTCACCGGGAACAAATTTATCTTGACTGAAACCAGCGAAGCAAAAAGGTTTTTCAGCAACTTTCAAAAAAACTTACAGCATAAGCAAAGTCGCATCCCGGCTCCAAAATCGAAGTTCCGAGCTCGATGTAGCAAATTCCACCTGAATTTCGGGATTTAATACAAAAAAGTAACAAAGAAGTCTCACCAATAATAGAGATCAAACCGCATCCGGCCCAGACCAACAAAGCAAGTCCGATGGACGACGTGTAAGCGAAAATCGGACCAGGTGTGATGAAAATTCCTGCTCCAACGATGTTGGCTGAATTTTAAGATCAATTTTTATATCGTCTTATTCAGAAAAACAAGAAATTTGATCCGAATAACATACCAAAAACGTAGCAAGTGCAGGCGACAAGGCCCATCTGATGGCGTGAGGGCGGCGAACTCTCACTCATCTTGGCTTAGCGTATTACCTGCAATAGAAAAAAGTTCAATCAGAACTGCATGTAATAATGAAAAGACACAAAAAAAAGTTGGAACTTTCGAAAAGAAAAAAAAAGTTTTCGTGCTCTTTCAAATCAGAAAATCAAGCATTCAACTCAATCTCTCAAGAAAAATATAAACAGTTTCATAAAATTGTGTTTTCTCTGGCCCACCAAGCCCTAAAAAACTTGCGTGTCTTTATCTTATCATTCATGTTTTTTTTTGGGAATCTGACAGCGTCGGGTAACTTCTTTGAGAAAACTTCTTGTGAAACGAAGAGCCAGTGCAACGTTTCCATTCCTTCAGAATGAGAAGGAGGAGGTTTGAATCCGGAAAAATGATGCAACACCGGTGGGAATGTGATGCAATCGTGGGGCTCCGTGTGTTTATTCTCAAATTTTCGGAAAAAGTCATATTTCTTTCAAAAATAGCGGTTAATTTAGAATTTTTTCTATTAACTAATACTATCATTCAGGTTAAAAGGCGCAAAGCAGCATCTCCGCACTTTCATGTTTTTGCACGGGGATAAATTTCAGAGTTTGCTCCGCTCTTTCAACACCTAAAAATATAGATGGAAAAATCAGGAACACGTAAAACTCAGAGGAAATATATGCTGAAAACAACGCTCTGAGAACCGAATTTCAATTCAACAAAAACAGAAGGACATTCGAGTTGAAGTTCGAAAAGGTCTTTTCTCAAAAAATGGCAGCGAAAAAGTTCAATATCTATAAACTGTCAATTTTCATACCTTTTATGACTTTTTAACAGTCTTCTTTCTGTGATAATTACCAACAATGATCGTTCATTTCCTACAAACAAAGTAGAATCACAGGACCCTTTTATATGGGACTTGGAATCTGGGAAGCTGACGAAATAGAGGAAATGTGGAAGAAAACAGATAAAAAAAACAAAGCCCGCGTTGATATTTGCAAAAGGAGGAATTAGAGGGAAAAAGACAATCCAAAAAAACAATGACGGTTATTGGCAGCGAGAATAATCGAAAATCACAATACCAATTAATTGGTGAGTTACAGCCCAAACTGTCAGATTTTGCGCTTATCAAAAAATCGCAACACTCTGCCCCCCGAAAAGCGATAAAAATTCTAGAAAAGTGCAAAATCAAGACAATCGGATTATAACACTAATGCTAGAGTGAAAAATTTGAGTGGTGTGAAATTCGAGGTTTCCCGTCTTGTGCTAGTTTTAAAGCTTCATGAAGTAACAACAATCAAATAAAGTTTCTATGGGTTTGCAGATACTCCGACCCTTTTCTGTTTGTTGTTTCATGTTTCGACCGAATCTAACAAACAGCTCAGAGAATTTTATTATTATTTATATCATAGTCTGACTGAAAATCTCTGATAGAAAACGAAAAGGAACTGCGGCGAGAGCGAAACGAACACCTTAGGGCGACTTTTTCAAATACTAAAACTAACGCAAAAGTTTCGCGGACCCCATCTCATCAATTTGTTGCAAAAAAAAGAATTGATATACATTCTTCCGACATTTTTACATCGAAGCGTGATAAAACGACAGCTGGCTGAGCGCCCTACATCAACTTCCCACAGGCCTGTGGAAAAAAATGGAGTTTTTTATTGTCTCGCCTTTTGAGAGAAAAATCGGAGCGCTGTCGAGAGAACGTCTGAAAAAGGGCTGTTTCACGACAAAATTTTCAAAAACGATCACTTTCTTTCAAAAACTTAGTGTTTATCTCTTTTTTTCTAAATTCATTCAGGCGCACTATCAAAAAAAGTTAGTTTATAAAGTTTTAAAAATAGAAAAAAAGCTTTGTTGCCATTAAAAAAAAAATGGAAAACAAACTTCTCGATGCACAATAAAATAATTAAAGATAACCGTGTCAATTTTTGTGTAGAACTGTCCATGATGAAAAATTTATATCAAGTGTTATTTATTGTCAGAAGAAAACATAACTTTTAGCACGGTTACTTAATAACACAACTGTTTTTGGAAGAAAACTAAACAAGAAGGCTTATAAAAATGGAACTGGTTCGATTTGAAATAACTCAAACCGAAATGAAAAAAAAGAGTGAGGGTGGACACAGCTGCACGTGGCACGTGCTGGATCGCGAATGGTCGGCACAAAGCTTTTTTTCCCACCTCTTTGTCGGTTTCCGTAGAAGACCAACGCTTTTTTTCTTGCAACGAAAGAAGATTTCGAATGTTTGCAGCTGTGCGTAAACAGATGCCACGAACTAAAAGATCCGAAAAGGGTCAGGGGGCGTTTTTTTGGATCGAATCGGTCGTTTAATTACAATTAAAGAAAAGTAAAAAATGAGTTATTGCAAGACAGCTGTTTCACGCTTTCATGAACATTATTTAGTACAACAGAGATGCATCAAGTAAATTTTCAAAAGTTGTCAAGGCAGAAAATAAAATAACTAGTCTGCATGGAAGTGATAGAAACCCCTCTAGGTGACTGGCTATCCGTAAGAAAAAAATATGAAATATTCTTTCTTACGGATAGCCAGTCACCTAGTTTCAAAAATAGGCTTGAAAAATTATTTATTATTTTGATGTTGCTTTTTTTCGAAAAACTGAAAAAAATGGATATTAAAAAAACACAGAACTCTTTTTTTCTTTGTGGGAAAAAAACTCAGAGAGGATCAACTGAAGGCCATAAACTGCCTGGAGATATATAGTCTGTTGAGATTTTGAATATGAAGAAGCTAACTCGGCTAACATGGCCACGATTTCATTTACGTCGTTTCTTTTATCGCGCGTGACGACGACCCTTCAATAGAACTGCATTTTCTACTTCTATTTGCCCCTGTTAGCTCAAGAAATAAGTTGAAAATGAAGCGCTATAAAAGAGTCATCATTGAGCAAGAGATTTGATCGACGCGGAAAGGTACTGTACCAGCGGGGGTGGGGTTAGCTGCATGATATTCAAAACTCTAAGAACTTTTTATCGGCGAACTTTCTACGCGTTTTTTGCGTTTCTTACGGATGAGAGCCTTGCGTGCCCGCAGATTGCCAACTTTCTCACAATATCCCTGTTTTCCGCATCGTAAACATGCACTCAATGTACACTCCGATTCAAACGATCACAAAACAAAGAGGTTTCGAAAACTTTCGAAAACTCAAAATTACAAGTCGCGCCAGCAAAGAACTTCCAAAAACATTGTCAAAAAGCTTCTGACCATCTATTTCGAATCTTCGGAAAAAAAATAAAAGTGATGGACTAGAACATTGAAGTATTCAAGAAACAAATTAAGAATTTTGCCAGGACTCTTTTTCGATGGCTCGAGCCAGCCGTGAATCAGCTAAATCAATGATATCCAAAATAGAAAGAAAACTAAACGGACGTTTCCGTTACAGTCTTTTTTCCACGCCGCGCCACATCAGAAGTTTAACGAGAGCCACAATTTCTGACAGGGAAGGTTATTTCGCTCTGCGCTTGGTAGTTTTGTAGAAAAAGGGTCAAAAAGTTCCATGCACAAGGTAAAAATACTGTAAGACTCAATCTTGTTTTTGAGAAAGATTGCTTAAATATCGAAGAAACCATTGTAAGAAGGAATGTAAGCCGTTCTAAGGCTAACAGGATCGCAGTAGTTCCATAGAAGTTTTTCCCTGAACAGGCTCTACACAATCTTGACAATGTTTATGGGCCTTTTCAGTTCCAAGAACTATAGTCCATTCACGGCTAACTTGGAACATATGAAAGGCGGTTTAACTTTCATAAACGTTTCATGGAAGTTTATACATGTTTTCGACGACTTGTGGTATGAAACTATCCAACAGGGCACTCTAGACTTTTTCTTCCTAGTTTTCCCATTTTTCGTATCCCAACCTATTTTTCTACTCCTGTCAAAAAGTCAAATAAATCATTTAACGGAATGCGAAAAAAGTTGATTTAGTTTTGATTTGACTTTTCCAGGAACTCTAGATGATTATCTTCAGAGAAAACAATATGAAAGCCAAACCATATTTTAGTAGAAATATGAAGACAGTTCAGAGTAGAAATTAATTATTATTAACAAAGAATATTTTGAAAAAAAAACCAAGTAGAACAGAACAACAGACAAACAACAGTATCAAAGAAAAACCGTCAAAAAAATTGTAGAAGAAAGAAATCTAAAAGAAAAAAAGCTTACATTATTTCAAATTACTTTCTAGGAATTTTTCTCATCCGAAAACTCAAATTTTTTTATGGTTCAGCCGATGAACTTCAGACTATCTCGAAGAATCCTTGTTCTCGCGTCATTTTTTTCCAAATTTTGTTTTAATTTTGAGAAGAGAAAACAGAAAAACGATATCGTCAGAAAAAAATTCATTATAGCCGATTCACGGCTAGCTTTTAACGCAACAACCAGGCTTTGTTCCATTTTTTTGTGTCAGGATCCATTTTTCGATGGCTCAAGCTAACCATGAATCAGCCACAATTCTGAAGCTACAGTTCTAGTTTTCCTCAGAGAAAATTGAAGCAAAACGTTTTCTGATTGTTCTCAAAAAAAAATCATTAACTTTTTCAGGAGTTTTTAGAAACTGACAGTGAAGTTTTGAGACGTCGCAGTTGATGGAGCTGAAGTAGAGGCTTCGAATTAGGGGAAGGCTTGAAGTTTTTGAGCCAGAATATCGAGTGTGATTCTTCACAGAAACGAGATAAAAAGTCCACCTAAATAAAAAAATTAATACTGAGAAGGAAAAATTCATGTGTAAATTTTCACCTTTTCTGACGATTTATGTATATATTGAAAAAGTACAACAGAATATGCAGTGCAAATCGAAGTCACTTTCGGAAGCTCACAAGATACCAGAAAAAAGGCGTTTCTAACCAGATAACCGTGGCGTCCAGCTTAAAAATTTTCAAATAGTGAAAAATCTTTTGATTGTGAAATTTACTTTTTTTGTTGTTACAACGTGGCTGAGTTTTTCATCAATGATAGAAATATCCGTGCTGCCAGATTGTTTCAAAGTTGTTGAGCCTTCAAAAACTTGTAAGAATCACTCCCGTTCAAAAGGTTCCCTGATGAATCAATTAGATTTTTGCTTTGAAAAAAGAAATATCACCTCTTTGGGTTCACAAAAAATCCGTTACATGATTTGAATCGGATAGAATCACGTGTAGAAAAAGAAGACACGATTCATTTGTCAGCTTTCCCCTCGGAAGTGTAGAAACTTCTCACAAAGAGTTTAACCTGATATAGGAAAAATTTTGAATCAACCAATTCATTTCCTTACCTGATAGATTTTCCTTGCAGAAAACCAGACATAAATCTTGTATTGATCTATTCAACCCTTAACCCAGCGAAGAAAGTCTTCCGTTCCAACAGAACTGAGAACGGGTTCGAAAATCTGGAAATCCTTTTTCAGTTAATGAAAATCGCGATGCTGACAAACCCGACTGATTCGAAAAAAGAGAAAAATAAAAAAATTTTTGAGAAATATCATTTTATATGCAATAAAAAGAACCATTGCAACCTAATTATTGGTTTTAAAATTTTTTCTTCAATTTAAAAGCGACTTTCGTATGAAAGGTGGAAAAAATCTTTAAATATTCCGAGCGTTTGAAACACGCGCAAAAATGATATAAAATATCCAATCACCGAAATAAAAAAACAAAAAAAGAGTTTTACGTCAAACGGAGTGGGTGAAACGTCAAAAAAACATCAGAAAAGCAGGTGATTTTTCTTGTCGTTCACTCCAGCGTATAGGTAAAACATGGTTGACGATTCAAATCGTTACTGGACTGATCCTAGACAAAATTTAGTAAAAAAAAAACCCTCAAACTATATTAAGAACCTCGGCGTCGAAAAGCAAAGTGCGTGAAAGTGTTTGCACTATAAACATGCCTCCGGAGCGCCGTTTTCCAAATACAGTACTGTCGGTAAACATTTTTTTTCATCGTACAAATTTTAAATATTTGTATTCAACTTTTATTAAGAGGTTAACAAATCGAAAAAGGATCATTTAAACACCAACAACCAAAAATGATCACTTCAACGATAACGAGTTCAAAACAATCCTATCAACGGGAACAAAACTGAGATCACTCGCAATAAATGGATCGATCAGAAATTTTTTGAAGAGAGAAACCAAGAACATCATACCGACAAGGGTAGTCATAACAGTTTCTGGTTGGAGCTTCTTGAAAGTTGCTCAGAAAATTTTTTGATGTACAAGATTTTTTTGAATCTTTGAAAATCTCGAAAAGCACCATAAAGATACTATAATTTTTTTTCCTCAAAATTTGAGAAGGAGCACAAGTAGAGACTCTAAAGGTCTTCATCGAATACATAAAAAAATTTCCGGCCTTTTTTCGAAGAATTTTCTTTTAAAAAAAGAAGGGTCTTACTTGGGATGGATATCAGACAAATAGAAACAATACAAAAATGCCTTTAACTGAAACATCGTGATGGTTAGAAGATGCGAAAGGAAGAAAGAAAAAAGAAAGTCAGTCGGATACTCCTTGCGCCCGACTCAAAGCGACTTGAGCGTCGCGGTATGCTTCAACAACATAAAAGCATCGCAACTAGCGTCACCAAAAAATTCTCCTTTTTTGCGGTCATAGCGCTTTAAAACAATCGAAAGCGATCAAGAAACAGTCAATTGATTCAAAGAAAAAAATATTGAAATATATATATAATTTTTGATTTTTTTTCCTATAATTTTTAAATTTTTGTATTTTTTTGAGATTTTTTTGATTTGAGGAGATAGAAATTAACATGGTTCAAAAAAATTACATTGGAGCGAAAAATACAAAAAAAGAAAGAAGAAAAAAAGTTTAGTTATAGTCCGTTCGCCGCGACTTGACAGTTTTCACGTCTCTGCGTCTCTCTGCTCTCTCACCGGCGAGGTCAGAGAAACATTGAAACGGCACGTAATCACGAGAGAGACGTCGAGAGTTGAGGAGGGCCCAAAGAAGGCCTGCCTTTTCGAGTCGCGAAAAACAGACTATAAATGACAATACGAACAATTTGCCATGGAAACTTGTGTTTCGATTTATAATGAAAAGGAATTAAGAAATAGGTAGTTTCATATGCACGCTGAATTGATTACAAACTGGTCAGAACTTGTGTACTTTTTTTGAAGTTGCAATTTGACAATTTTTTTGTTTGAAATATTTAAGAATTGTAGAACGAAATTTTGAATTGGTCAAACTATCGCCTATTATATTCGACTTAGAGTCGTTCTCAAACCTTAAAATAATTTTTATTGGCACCCCAAAAGTATTCTATCCAATTTGCAAAATATTCCAGAGTGCACATAAAAATATCTTTCTTGTCAGCTTCTGAAAAAAAGAAAGAGAAAGATCTATAAGCTATCATTTGAACACCGAAGTTCATTGAAAAATTGGAAAAACATAGTCCGTCCACCATAACTTGACAATTTTTGAGAGTCTGAGTCTCCCTGTTCTCTCAGCAGCCCGATCAGAGAAATATAGAAAGTAGACGTCAAAATGAGAGCGTTGCTGAGAGACGAGGAGAGCACAGAGAAGTCAAGCTCTTTCAAATCGCCAAAAACGGACTATATAATATGATTGAAAAATGGAATGTTTGAAGTATAATGTCACGAAAAAACAGTCAAAAACATAAAGTGGTAAGAAAAATAAAAGACGAAAAGGATTTGAACTTGATGAGGTCAGATAGGATGAAAACAGAAAGCGAGATGTTTATGAGGTATAAAATTACAATGATTTTAGACAAAATTTTAAAAAAGTTTGAAGTGGTTTATAGCTGTAACGAAGCAATTTGAGAGCCCTAGAGATCCAAAAGATAGGCCGAGATGATTATCTGGAACTTTCATGATCAACGCAGGTTTATTATATTTTTTGAAGCTTATTTTTTGTGTATGATCAAACCCGATTTTCTTAATAATAAGCCGTATAGAAAAACATTGAAAGTTCAAATTATTTCAAAGTTTCTTTCAAAAAAATACAGCGTTTGGCCTTTTTTTCTTCTGTCTAAAAAGAGCAAGTTTTTTTCATACCAAACTTTTCGTGGTTCTCAAAGAAAAAAATTACCACAAACTTCGTTTCAAATGAAGATGACGTCCGCTTCCCTGGGCGTAGTATAGGTAAAGCGGGCTGAAACACAAAGTATAAAACTATTTTACTGTACATTGATCTCAATCTGAAACACGTTCGGTGCACGAGGGGCCAGCTCAACACCAAGAAGCTGCGTAGAAAAAAAAAGATACGGCTGTGCCCGACCAGAAACGACTCGCGCGTTAGAACTGTATTCTATCTTTGGCAAGATTCTTTTTTATATTCTATCTTTGGCAAGATTCAACTATAAAAATAAAACTCGTAAAGCAGTACAACTGCAAGTAGTTGAGTCATTCAACATGTTCGTATATTTGATTACAAAATTTGAAATTAGTGTGATAAGTTTTGAAAAAAATGCTAGAAAAAGCTTCTTTTTCTTTTTTTCAGCTGCTACTGGCTGTCTTTATTCTGTTTTTCAGTTCTGCTTTCAATTTCACAGCCCTGATTAAAGTTGTACTTTTTGAATTTTTTTTCTTACTTTTTTTGAATAAGTTGACAAATTGCTTTTTGAGAAAAAAGTAACTTTGGAGCTGGAAGGGGGAGGGGGAGGTTATTTCAGTTGAGTTTATAACGTCAAAATCAACGAGATTATAAGGAAAAATATATTTGATGATAATAAAACGCCTTTCGGAAAATGTTTTGACGTACGAATTTTTCCAAATTACAGGAAAGCTCAATTATGACGTATTCAGACAATGACTAGACGTTTTCACTGTTTTGTCAGCGTGTGAAATTTGAAAACAAAGTTTATGAATGCGGAAATCGTTCCGGTTTTTAACACTCAAAGTTGAAATTTGTGAATGAATTTTTCAAATTTGCTGTGAAAATACTGTGCTTTTTCTGTCTGTCTTTGAGGATAACAGCAAATTTTTTGCATTCTCCACGAAGTTATTTAGACCAAACTACGTTAGCTCTAGTGTGGCAGAGCTTATCCGAAACGTTTTTTTTAAAAAAAAAAGGTTTTCGGCTTCTTGAGGATATTAACTGCCAAAAATTTCTCAAAACGCGATCGTTTCAAAAGTCATCGTAGCGTTCGAAAAAAAAAGAAAGATTCTCCTCGATTGACTAGAAAAAAAAACTATATAAATCTGGCTTATCTGAAAATTGAACAGAATCAAATCACCATGAAAAGCATGCTTTTTATCGAAATAAATGCAAAAAAAGTCAAAAAATTCGTGGTAATAATTTCATCATTTGAAAAAAATTTTTTTCCAAAAATAATTATTAAATGGAAACTTTCTAAGAATAATTCATTGAGTGTTTAAAAAAACTGAAATTTACGTCTTCTAAAAACGCCGTAAAAAGCTCTTAAAAAGACGAATGAGGTTGATACAAAATAAAAATTTGTGTCGGAAATCATATTAAAAAAATCCGAAAAAGAAAAATTTTGATCATATAATTCAAATCATTTTGGGAAAACAGGGAAACCAGCTCCAAGTCAACTTTCACACAAAATCAAAATAAAAATCAAAAAAAAATGCAAGTAAGTACAACTTAATTCAGGACTCTCGAAAAAAGCAAAACTGGAAAAACAGACCTGACGTACTGTAATTGGGATAAGTGCATAAATCTGCAGGGCTTGTTTTTTTGTACGAAGGTTCGCAGTCTTTCAACTAAAAAAGACATATATTTTTTTCGTACTCTAAAAATCTTGGGATTTTTTTGATATACCTTCAGTTAGAAGCTCTGGATGTACTCCTTCAGTTCTGTCGACGGGAGGGAGTGCTGAAAAACGAAAAGGAAATGATAACATTTTTCTAGAATTGATCTCTTTCAACAATCACGATTTATGTGAGAAAAAAATTTAATATAAGGTTCTTACATAATTCATGAAAATATTACCAACTGAGCCTCCTGGTTTGCTTTCTTGCGGCCCTTCAGGCTGAGGAGTGGGGAGATTGACTTTCTTCACTCGATTTCTTCGCCGCTCGGGAGGCACTTTGGAAACACTTTTGGCTGGAAAAAAAATTGACTTATTGACGAATTGAAAAACAATAGTTTAAAAAAAACTCCAAAAGAAGACACAATACAAATTGGACTAAATTAAAAACAAATTTATAACGATTTCGCAGATATAAGAGCCGAATGATACGAAAAGTTCTGACCTTTTGGGCGCGGCATAGGGAGTTGAATGATGGGCTGCGGATTCGGCTGTTTCCTCGGGCGTCTCGGTTTTGGTTTGTTCACATTATCGGCTAAAACATTTTCCCGAATTGAAATCAGAATTCGAGGACACGTACAGTAAGAAAAAGCAAAGTTGAAGCTCTCAAGGGCGGCTCTGGCCGAATTGCTGAGATTTTCGGCGTCCAACAAAGGAAAGGCTTCTTCTTGAGTGTTGATATCGGCTGAAAGAGAAAAAATCATCTCTCAAAAAAAAAATATAACTAACGCAAAGAGGATTGAGAAGGAGTGCTGATCGGATCGTTGATCATATTTGGAACCGATAAAGTCTGTTGCGCTAAAAAATATGGAAAAATGATTTTTAGTTGGAAAAAAATCCTTGAAAAATATCGATTTAAAATGATTAATTAAAACTGTCGAAATCTTTCCACTGGAAAAAAAACTGTGGGTCTAAACTTTTGTGGTTGGTAATCCCGATAAAGAGCGCTTATAAAAAATTGTTTCATGTGACTTTTCGAAAATAATCAGAACATGGCAATATTCTCTCTTCGAAATCTCGGATTGAAAGATCAGAGTCTCCTAAGTTTTTTTTTGACATTCCTCAGATTGTCTTTTTTTTTTTGCATCGCATGGCGCTCAATACATGGTTATTCTCTGTTTCGAGCACTCTTCTTCAAGATTAGATACCACAATAGCTTAAATCATGAACAGTAACCTAGTTAGAACATTTCAACAGTTAGTCCCTACAGTGGCGTAGCTTTTCGCTAGCCAAACTTTTTGGTACGAACAAAGAAAAAGAGGGAGTTTCGATAACACATCGTGAACTTCAACGGAAGGCTCTTGTTGAATATAGTTTGAATCGAATTGAGGTAGAAAATTCATACTTCGAATGATGTTGTATAGAGTACTGTGCTCCAGACTTTCCTGCATAAGAAACAATGAAAACACGAAAAATTGTGAAAATTTACCTCTCGATCTTCATCAATCTGTGGCAATTTTGAAGGCTTTGTAGCTGAAAAATTGAATTATAATGAAGCAAATGAATAGTTTCGAACCTGCGACGGTCACAAACTGCAGACCAGAAGCTTTCGAAATATCATTTGGCTTAGATCTTCTGTTGGCTGGGTTCATTTTTCCTCGGTTTAAATAAGAACTGGAAAAAAAAATTTTGAAAGCTGACGCGAAATTTGAAGCAGCAAATGATTCATTTTGCTACCTGTCGCAATACGAAACTTTACATTACTCACGTTACGTTACTCAAAAATGAACAGTTTTGCAAAATCAGACATTTGATATAGTCAATTTATGACGACTTGAAAGGCGAAGGAGGCAGAGATGTAAGCGGGACGCGTAGCGTGTGCGTTCGCGGTTCTTGGCACGAGTACAATTCACCCGCCAGCGACTATTCGGAAAGCTTTTTTATCGCTTTTTTTTTAAATTCTTAATTGATTTTTTCACGTAAGCATTGAAAAATGATAAAATAAATACAAAAAAAAGCCGTGGCCGAGCTTTTCAAATAGTCCGTGTCGCCTGATTGAAATCGTGCCAAGAGCTGCGTACGTGCTCGCTACGCTTCCCCCCTCTTCTCGCCTCCCTTGCCTTTCAAGTCGGGATGGATTGACTATATCTTGATCACATCTTCAAGTTTTTTGTAGACGTATCGGGTTAATGTTCCCTGACAATAAAGTCAAAAGGTTTGTGTGCTTTTTTACATGTTCGATTTTTTTTTCAACCTTGCTCGGCTTGAGCTGAAGCGCTTTTTACTCTTCTGTTATCAACAATCGTCTTAGAGTACCTTTTTCACTGAAACCTCGTGACTTCACGTTACTATGACAACAGATTGGGACGCTTCAGAGCTGACTCTTGAGCCTTTTTTCCTACTCTGAAAAACTTCGGGTTTCCATAGCAACAGACTCAGCAGTTGCTAGGCTTTCCAATTTCATTTTGTCATCCTCAATTCGGTTCCTAAAATATATCAGTTTGGTAGTCCCCTTTCTATTCAAAATTTTTCTTCAAAATTTCTGTAAGGTGCACAAGTTTTCCTAAGAGTTGCAGCTGACTGAAATCAAAAGAATGGTTTTTGATGACCTTGTATAAATTTTTCGTTTGGTTGAATTTTGAAAAAATTAAACTGAGAAGAAATAACAAAAGTTATCGTTAATTGCATCTTATAATTCAAAAGGTTTCTCATATCACACAGTTTCATCAAGTAGAATTTTCTTTTGCACTTCAACAACAAAAACCGAAGAAACCCTTTGAGAAGATTAAGAAGATCATTTTAAAATTTTTGAGAGAGTCCGGTAAAATAAATAAAAGGAAAAAAAAAGCAGAAGCTATGATTTAACTTTTGAAACGACTGAAATCCTCGTGAACTTATCTTTTTGTGTTTCCATAACAACGATAAGGCTCCGACGACTCTGGAATCTCTCATTTAACCTAGTCATCATTTTTGTTGATTAGCTACAATCCGGTGAAGCGAAATCATGAGCTTCTCTCTCGGTCTCTCTTATCAAAATCCATCTATAATCTTCTTTTCTCTACTTCTGCTGTTATCAGTTTAGGTTGTCATGGCGACGGATTAGGAATCTTCGATGCCATGCAATCTCTTTTTTGTTGCTTAGTCACCCTCTTTTAGTAATAATATCACTGAGAGGTCTAGAAGAATACCTTTTTGTCTATACTTTCATTCAAAATTTTTCTGCAAAAAGAAATAAAGAGAGATCTAAAAATTTCCATCGGAGTTCATCCGTAAGCTTGAAAAAAAGTTATCTAAATTGAAAACACCCAATCAAATGATGTTCTCTCTCTCCTTAAAAAGCTGACTGGATCGAATTTAATATTTGTTGTTCCCTACTGGCAAAAATCCTTTTAAATAAATGAAAAAGATAAGAGACTCATAAGAAGTTTTCACTTGAACCATCTTCTTTCTAAGAAGCCTTGCAAGTAGAAAAAGGAAAGAGAGAAAGGGAGCAAGAAGAGGCATGGAAAAAATTGAAAACAACTGAAATCCTCGTAAACTTATCGTTTTGTGTTTCCATAACAACGGTTTAGACGGCTTTGACGACTCTAGAATCTCTCTTTTAGCCTTGTCATCACTTTTGTTGATTAAACACGATTCGGTCAAGCGGAAAAGTGTTATCGAAAACTCATCAGATTGCCTGTTTTCCTATCTTTGCTGCTATCAGTTGATGTTACCATGACAACGGATTATGACGCATCGACGCTCTGAGATCTCTCGTATTCCCTTACTCATCCTTTTTTGGGTGAATAGCAAGGATTTGGCCCAGCGCTTCTCAGACCATGATGATCAAGGCTCTGTTCTATTTTTGTTTGAAAAGAAGGCTATGAATACAAAATTTCTTTGAATGGAAAAAATGAAGTCAAGTTTTCAGATCTCATGGTCGGCTGTGATTTGAAAAATTCTAAAAAATTTAAAGAAACACTAATGAATAACTTCTCACGGTATAATTTGACACAGGAACATCAAGTACTGGTATAGACAAGTTTGCCCGACTTGGTTTGCTTTTAATCGTTTAACTAAACCTTTCCAAAATCATTAAATAAAAATACATCGAAAATCTGTCAAAAATAAAGAAAAAACGTGGATCGTGTATGAATTCGCACTCCCCGCCAGAAAGCCGCATCGCGTACGCAAAGCTTCACGCTTGCCAATCTACCTATCATGCTTCCATGTAAGGAAGGACTGACTATAGACGGAGTACTTTCAAACAACAACTTCAAAAGAATTAAGGAAAAGGAGATAACAAAATGAAGAGGAAAAGGACTACGCAAAGAAGGAAAAATCTTTTGAAGAACTGAAATCCTCGCAAACTCATCGTTTTGTGTTTCCATAACAACGGACTGTGATACTCTGGAATCTCATTTTTCAACCTATTTCTCATTTTTTAATTAACAACTCGTTCAAGCGGAATCGTTGTTTCCCCTCTTGGTGGAAAGAATCCATGAGAAGCTTATCTACTCTAAATGTCATCAGCTTCTGTTTCCATAACAACAGAATGTGCCGCTGATTTTTCTTTTTCAATTATAAGAATGCCTCAAGAATATAATTTTCATAAGACAATGAAAAAAACATCTGAGTTTTGATTGGAACAAAGCTAAAACTGAAAAAAACAGTTCAAAGTTCCAGTTTTGTAAAGAAATTTTTTTGCTGAAAAATCAGGAACGAAAAACAGAGAAGACGATCGAGAAGCCGGAAGTGAAGTCACGCTGCTCAAACCAGTCGATGGATAACAATCTTCTGAAATATGAATTTAAAAAAAAACATAAATGTCGAATAAAATAATTTTTTGCTGTGCATTGAAAAAAACTCTGGCACAGACGTGGCTTCCTGAAAACATTATCATTAACATCTGATAGCTAAGAATTCCAAAACAGGGTAGAAAACACGATATGGTTTTTCTCGGAGAGAACGAAAGATTCAAGTAAATCAAGTGATGATTCGAACAACACGACCTTCAAAAAAATTCTTTTTTTATAATAACTTACATTCAAACTTCTGAGATAGTGAAAAAGTTGAAACTTCAATCAACAAACCAAAAATTTGAAGGGCTGAACAAAAAAATGTATAAATTTTAAATTTCAAGTTTTGGACGATTTAAAAAGGAGTATGTTTGCTTTCGATTCAGGGTCATCATGAGGTCACTGGTGAATTTGGAAAAGACCCGTGTTCCGGAATGAAAAAGCGCCTTTCAATGAAAGAATTTTTAAATTCGGAAAAAAGGCTCAAAAATATAAAAAAAACATGGAAACGACAAAAAAGAAGAAAACAAAAAAGTTTGGAAATCATCAGAATTAGTTGTTGAAACAGGAAAAAAACGAACAAAAGAAAGAAAAAATTGCATCTCAAAAAAAATTTAACATGATTTAATAGACAACGAGAAATTGCAAAAATAAGCGAGTGTGCAATCAACAAGTTAAGTTGAATGTTTTTTGCTGAGAACATCTCGGTTGTAACCCCTAAAAAACAGGAAAATCATCTGCCGAGTTCAGAGAGTTATTAAGAAAACGCCCGTCAAAAGCTTGTAAGAAGAATGTGTTTCGATTTCGATTCTTTTCTGAAGTTTTGGTTGAATATTTTTTTTGTGCTCTTTTATCAAATCTCTGATTTCAGTCCCAAATTCCGAAAGAAAAGGTTTGTCTAAATTTAAATACAAGCTTGTTCTGTAAGCTGATTCGGAGTTTTCTCGAGAGCCTTTTTTGATAGTTGTGTCGGATTTGCTTGAGAACCTTTTCTGTCTCGATCGAAAAGTGCATAGTGTAAATAAAAGATATCCGCTAGCTATGACCTTTATCTGATAATATCTTTCCGGGATCATTTTGTAAGTTAATCAGCATGGCTTGAAAAAGCTCATCACACTCAATCACTTATCGTCGTGAGAAAGGAAAAAGGTGCTTTTTATTACTGGTTCTACGGAATCCACGAATAAACACAATTTTTGGAGTAAATATAATATAGAAATTTGTTTTCTTTTTTTGTACTTTAATGATGAGTTTTGTGTTATATGATTTTTTTGCGTTTGTATTCTGAGTGCTCGACATCAAGAAACCACAAACAATTCCTGTCCGACACGTCACCTGCTCTCGGCTCCAAAACAATTTCAGTCGTGAAGCTTTCTCACCGCTGTTGATTACACTCATTCGTTCTTTACATCAGTTTGACCATTGATTCCCTCAAAATATCTGTTTTTCTTCGTTGAGCTCGGTAATTTTCTCAAACCAAATCAAAGCCGTTTCAGATCCACAATGCTTCGATGCACTATTATATTATTGAGCTTCCTTCAGCTGTCGTCCAGTTTGACATGTTATAATGTGAGCTTGTCAAAAATATTAATTAATTTTCCATTTTCATTCAAATTTTTATTTATCATATGTTTTTCAGGGAATGAAAACGTTGTCAATGCAGCAGGTCGGCGAAACAACGGAAGAATGTCCTCCTTCGGCGTACTGCTACAACATGACGGCTTCCGCCTATGTTCTGGTCAACTTTGTCAAAGCTGGCTGCTCAACTTGGCGGTGTATGGTGGGTGCGGAGTTCAATCGAAAGAGTGAAATAAAGTCCTGAAGAGCAATTTCAAACTTCAAAAAAATATTTCAATACATAACCACGATTTTTCGATTTATTTATTTTTTTAGCAATCTCATTAGAACCTTTTTGCAAAAATCTGATTCCTAGTATCTTCGTTCAAAAACGTTGCAAAAGTCCGACTGAAATCCATGCAATTTTTAAGCGCAACAAAAAAAACGATAAAACGATCTTTTTTGTAAGCACCTACTTGTCAAATCTTCACTTTCACAATAGAAAAGAATTATAGCTTGCCGCAAACACCTGCATTCATACAACTTTCCAACTGATCCCAGTCAGTCTGTGCTGTTGTAGTCATGACCGCTGCAACGTCGGCGGTAATCCTGTATTTTCTGACAAGTAAGTTGGATCAATATGTTCAATTTGCAAAAAGAGAGTGGGCAAGGTGAAAAACGACAGATGTGCCTCTAACTTCTGTGATAGGTAATCTCAAGTATGGGTCTTCAAAAAAAAAAAGTGATGTGACAAGCGCCATTGGGTATGGCTAAGATTCTATTATGAATAGCAGCAGGAATTTTTTTCCCGAAAAACTCAAAAAAAAAGACAGTTTTCAACTTTTTTCTTCACGTCGTCGCGTGCCATTTCTTAGTATCCAATGACCTTGAGCAGATGATTTCTTTTTTCAATGTATGCTCAAACTTTGTATTACCTACCACAAAAGTTAGGAGCGGAATTAAGATTTTCGGCTCAAAAACTTCCTTCGTTTGTACATAGTTCTAATAAAATAAAATAAAAATACTTTCAGCCCGCGTCAAATCACCGATGGCCGCAGCGATTCCAATAAGTGAGTTCATTTCTCCCAAAAAATTTATGGATGCATATGAAAAATTATAGTAACGGCGGAAACGCCGGAGGCAGCTGGGGCGACGCTGGAGGAAATGCCAACAACAATGGCTGGGGCAATAATGAGTAAGACAATCAACTTATCGAACTGTCGAATTCTCGATGTTCAGGGATACCCAGAAGAAGGACAAATACGGCAGCGACTACGCGATCAACGACTTGTGAGTGGAAGTTTTTTTTGCCTTTTAGTCTTTCTTATTGTTAAATAACTGAATTGGTTATTTACCTCAAACAGAAAAAAACATTATATCGCTTTTGGGAAGCAAGTTTTCCAGATTTCGATTTAACCCAATTTTTTCAGCAATCCAAAAACGAAAGCCAGCTCTAAAGCGCCGAAATTCTCACAAAAAGACGTTGAGAAGACGTTCCGTGACTTCAGCATTGACAACAAGGCAGACGGTATTTTTTCAAGATTTTTGAGAAAGTTCAGAAAGAGTAGACCAGCCAATGATAGATTTTTATGCTTAACTTGGTTTTTGGCAGAGAAACAAAAAACAACTTTTAGTGAGGAAGTAAAAAGATAAACCTGACATGTGATATTTGTTTGACGAGAAATGTCCCTATTTGTTGGCACACTAAAATTTTCTCTATCTTGGACCTTCTGTAATTATGACTTCAAAAAAATGAATGAAGTTTTTTGAATGGGATCTTTTTTCAGAAATCGAGCTAGAAGGCGAGTTCAAAAAAATCGACGCCACCTATGCACCAGGTTATGGGTCATCGAAGATCTCCGGAAAGTCGTCTTCGTCTTCTTCTTCTTCTTCTTTCCCGTCTTCCTCGTCTTCCGGAACCCTGACCATGAGCAAGGAAATGAAACAAAGGCCTCTCAACTCTGGAGACTCGAAATCTTCCGGCAAAGAAATTGAAATTTGAAGCATTTTTTTGTAGAATATCAATGGAGAAAATAAATAAAGTGTTTGCTTTCTTGTATTTACCGCAATTATGTGACTATAGGAGTGCTCCCTATAATTTTTTGAAATCAAAAAAATAAGTCTGCTCATAGGATTTTCGTTTCGAAAAAAAAACGTGAGCTTTTCCTCAAAAAGAAATTTCAGAAAATCAGAAGATGGCTTTTTTAGGCTTTTTTTCACGAAATAAGTCTATTCATAAACTGAGCCAAAACTGGAAGGTTGTTAGCAATGTGAACATCTGCTTGGTGCGTTCTCTCTATTTCGCGGAGACGCAGAGAAATCTCTGAACAACGCGAGAGTCTGCTCTTTAGAAAGAGACGTGTGAGAATTGAGCAAGTGCTCCACGACTAACAAGCAAGTGGAGCATGATTCTCGCGCTTCTCTTTTTTTTTTGATGTTATTTCAAACCAGTTAGTGGTCTTATATAAATTGGAAAAACAAGAAAACTCAAAAGTTTTTAATTTGCTCATATATTATTCAAGAAACTATCCTATTTCCTTTTCAAGTTATTGCCACTATTTTCTACTCTCAAATCTTAAATAATTTTAATTTTTCTGTAATACTTCTATTGACTATTAAAATTTTTCAGATCTTCTCTTTGAACAAGAGAATGTGATTTGACGCGAAGAAAACTCGATGGCTCGAATAGGAATTTCAAGCGACGAGGCATTCAGGCGACTTTTCGCCGAAGCAAGAGCTACAATACATGACTGGTATCATCTCAATGTCGTCAAGTATGTCGTGGTTGTGTACCTGAGATTGAATATTAGAAAATTTTAAATTGTCCTCTGCAGAAAATACCATAGAATTTCCCGGCCTAACACCATTGAAAATAGAATAACAAAAATTTATGAAGAATTTTAGAAAGCTGCTTGAATAGCATGACTTCAGGCTTCTGACGTTATCTTCAATCTTTTTCAAAAAAATTAGGCAAAAAAATAAAAAAATATTCTGTAGCCACATAACGCAAAGCGCAAGTCGAATTGGGTCGGGTGCACGAAAAAGACGGGCCTTCTTTTTGCACGCTTAAAAATTGTATTTGTTTTTCTATATATTTTTTTGAATGGCAGTTCAATTTACGATTTATTTTCAGTAAGCTGAAAGAACCGGTCCCTCACTCTGCAAACCATTTTTCGCGCCACTTCTGCACACGAATATTAATCTACGCTCGGGTGACCTTACTTCTACTAATAATCGGATCTGTCGACATGTCAGTTTTTTGTTTTCTAATTGAAGTTGATATCTTTAAACATAAAACGAAATCTAGAGAAGTTGAGTTCATGCGATCTATTCCAATAAACTTTTTAGTGATAATGAGATGCAGTTCACCTTGATGGTCATCAACATAACCTTGTTCGCCTTCTCAATTCTCGTCCAGTTTTGGCAAAGAAAATGCCGTGAGGCTCAATTGGACTACCGTTTTCGGAAAGCATTGAAACTATTGGACTCGCTAGAGAAAGTGACCTTTTTTCTCAAATTTTTCTCAGTGGCTTATATTCAGAACTTTCCTTCCATATACACCTACCAATCTACGGTTGAACCTGCTACTGAAGAAACTATAACTTGTCAGACGACTTTTCGTGATGGGAGAGTTGTAGAAGTTCCGAGGGTTCTTCTAGCTCAGGGCGATATCATCCTACTTAGGCCTGGACAGGTTGAAAACTTTTATTCAATTCGCTCTCATTTATGAACAAAAAAAGCCACGCTCTGAAGTTTTTTCTGCTATTTTTCTGGATCGAAAAATCAGAGAGCTTTTTCAAGTATGGATTTACCCTTTTTTTGGGTGTATTCATAAAGATTCTACAGGTAGCACCCTGTGATTGTGAGACGTTCGAAGGCGTGGCGTTGAGCGCCGGTGAAAAATTAAACCAAAAACGAATGTTAGAAGAACGACCTGTAGGAGCTGTCATACCCTTGGAGTCTGTTCAGGTACATAAAGATAACTTGAAAATGCAGTTCCCCTACTTTCCCATGGAAAACTTCTGTACTCCAAAATTTTCTTCACAGGCTCGAGTAACCACATTCCCAGTGAAACAGCTTCTCGACACGGTGCTGACGATGGACGACAAGCCGCTGCAATTCGATTATCAACTCCATCACGTTGTTCACCACGTTTTTGAGCGAATCTTGGTACCATTTGTTGGTTTTCTGGCCATTTTCGGTTCTGTTCTACGGTTTCTCTACAGCGATGATGAATCTTATTTTGGAACAAGGTTTGAATCGAATAAAAATTTTTAGTTCAAATTTATAATTTCTAGATTCATCTTTGCTGTACCTGGTTTAGCGGTACTCCCTCTTTTGGTCCTACCGTTGCCAGTTATTCTTCACATTGTAAAAAGAGCCAACAATAAGAAAATTTTGAAGGAAATGCGTTTGGAAGGTACCTTGAGTATTATTGACTTACAAAACCGCGGGAAAATACAAAAATTGTTCATTATTTTAAGAATTTTTACTCACATAAATGAGAAGCAGGAGTATTAAAGTTTTTTTTTTTCAAAAACCGCTTTTAACGCTCAAAAAGTATTCTAAAGACTCTCAAGCGGTCAATTCTATTTCAGATAGAGAAATATCACAAAAAGACTTGGCCTCAATTCTGGCGGCCGTGACAGGAACTTGTATCACTGATAAAAAAGGAGTTTTGTCGACAATTCATCCTCTTATTGAGAAAGTCATTTTCGTGGCAAAACCAGAAGGTTTTTATCTCTTTCATGGTCTGAAAATCATATTTTTATTTGAGAATCTCCGGAGAATGTTCAAGAAACTGGAAATGAAGACTTGCACATCGAAGTTTTGAACATGAGCGCTGAGCAACGTGAAGATGTTTTTTCTGGATGGTCGCTGGGTTTTGAGGACCAACATTGGTTGGTCTTCAGACTCCTTGTTCTTTTCTCTCGTTACGAAAAGCATCTTATATGAAATCGGGATTAGAGATTTTAGGCTCCGTTATCTGCCGAACCTGATGCCTCTGGCTCACAATATTCTGCTCAACTCATGCTCCCAAACCGAAAACTTCACCAAATTCTTGGATCATCTCACCGTCGTGGCGCAGAGCGTCCCAAGGACCATCGCGACTGCAAATCGCCGCTGCATGTGTCAGTTTCCCCGTATTGTCGGGTGAGTTACACCTATCTTCATGATATGTATTTCTAATCAAGGTTTTCTGAAAACTGCTTGGATCAGTTCGCATCACCTCCAACAGCTGTGGTAGGACTGTACAAACGGAAACCAGGAGAAGCGCCATTGCCTGGGTAATTTGATTTTTACAAGTTTTGTGCAAAAATAAATGGCTTTTCTCAGCAAAGAAGTTAAGGTTTCTGAGATAATTTACCTGTAAATGGTCTCTCAACTTGAAATTTCCAGTTTTTCGAATTTTTTTAAGTGTCAAATAAACTTTTCTTCACAAAATCATCGCGGAAAAAAGTTTAAGCAATCACTTTTAACGAAAATTATCCAGACTTTTGAAGATTTTAAGCAAAATATCAGAAAATTTGAAACTCCTCGAAAAGATTTCTGTAAAACTTGAAAGTTTTCAATGCAAGTTTTATAATCCACAAATGTTCAGGCTCACAAAACATCGAACTCCCATTGAGATGGCTTTTTGTACGGTTCACAGCGATGTGAGAAGTCTTCACTCTCATTTATCTTGCCACGGGACCGCAAATCTTGTTCTCGATGTAAGTAGATCTTGGTTTTATCGAAAGATGTTTTACCCAAAAAGATATTGCAGGCTTGTACCCACGCGTGGGACGGCAAGACGGTTGTTCCCCTCAACAAACGTCTTGTTGCCTCGATTCGTGACTATTATCAACGACACTCTATGACTGGGTCAGTTCACAATCAAAGCTTACGATTTATTATCATTTTTTTCAGGCACTGCTTGGCAGTATCTTACCGGCCTGTGTTTTCTTCTTTGGATGAAAGTTTGCAAGGAAAATATCTTGAAGTTCCGCTCAATCGGGAAGAAGCTCGAACCAGTTCAGCGATACCAAGAAGTCAAAGTTTTGGTAAGCTTTCTAAAATGAACTTCGAAAATAAAAAATTTCCAAGATAAGCTTGAGCAAGTTTTTTGATGTTGATTGCAACGGTATCATTGTATTGCTATTTCAAGATTTGATATCACCAGCGAAATTTCTAATGAATTTCACAACTGCATAAAAGTTTTGTTGGCTAGTCATTAATTTATTAATTTTCAGACACACTTCGAAGAGAAGGTATCGTGGAGAATGAACTTCTGAAAACTTCTGATCAAGTTATCGACCACTACTTCACCGGTCATATCTTTTGCGGCCTTATCGTCCTGCAATATGAGGTGATTTCTTGAAATACAAAGTTCCGAACAAAACTGCAATTCCAAAAAGCTAATCTTATCTCACAAAAATTGATTTCAGGCCCTTCCTTTATCCGTTCAGTTGATCGAGAAGCTAGACGCAATTTGTGTGCGGCCTGTGTATTTTTCAAAAGAGAACGAACTGCGCAGCCGGGTTTTCGCTGAAAAATTAGGTTTGCATATGAACTTTAGATTTAACGGTCAGCCTATAAAAAGTTTCAGGAATTGAAGCCGGTTGGAATTGTCATATTTCTTTGGCCGATGAAGAGGCACCGACAAAAAGAGAAGAAATTGGTGAGAATTTTCCACTTTTTTTGAAAAATGGTTATGATTTTTTCAGCCACTGAGCAGTTCATCGACCAACGTCCACAACGTACAAAGTTTTGGAAACGTCTGGCGATGTTAGTGAATTCACTTTTTTCTGTTTTATTGAATTGTTGGTTTTTTGGTTTCATCATTCTTACATAGTTGTGATAGATATATTAGATCACACAACAAAATCTTCAAAGCTCAATCAATATCTCAAATCATATTTGATGATATAGAGCATTGTGAAATTTTCCTAAAACCCTAACGAGTTCACTTGGATCTAGAAATTAAGAGAATACATTATACAGTTATAAATCATTTGAGTCGTGGAGGATTAGACAAGAAGATCCTTTAGTTCTTTTTTTCCGCAAATCTTTTTTGAACTTATTTTTTTTTGCAGGAGTGACGCTCAAATTCACTTAATTGAGTGTGAATCGGTATCACGTGAATTGCCAGCAGGGCAGAAGATCAGCATGTGCTCGAACAAAGTAATGTTTTTCAAAAACTTTTCTGTCTAGAAGCTTGTAAAATAACTTTTGCAAAAAAGTTTTTTTTCAAAAAGTTTTGCTGGTCTCATTCGAGCCAGTAATTAGTTTTTCATCTGAAAATTCTCAATTAAAATGAAAGGAATTGTTTACGGCTGAGCTGATTTCCTCCTCTTTAAAAATGATAAAGATGAATTTTCTTTTTTTCCCAGTCCTCTTGTGGATCATAGTCAATTTAATGCAAGTGGTACCGCGTTTTTATACAATTCTTTTCAGGTTGGTCCGATTCCCAACAAGGCGCGCCTACCAACAGGAGTTTCCAACATCAGGCCTCATCTTGAAGAAGTCGACAACGTTCCTCTTTTGGTTGGACTCTTCACAGACTCTGCCACTCTGGCTATGGAAGAAATGGTCGATATAATGCAGGTGGAGCTTTGCAGATGAAATTTGAAATTTTTGAGGTTAGGCAATAGAAAAAAATCAGGCTGAAAAAAAAAATTAAACATCTGGTTACTCATTCTAATTTTTTTAAAAAAATTGAAATCTTTCAGGAAAAACGGCGAAGTGGTGATGATCATTGGTTCGTCAAGAAATTCAAACAACTCCAAGCTTTTCGTCAAGGTTTTTGAAAGGAATTATTCAAGTATCCAAAAAATTTCAGTCGAACGTTTCCGTGTGCGTGGATCCGGTAGAAGAGCCGTCATGTAAAATGGCGACTTATATGGAGTCGAGTGACGTCAACGAGATGGCTGGAAAGCTCCTTGGCCTTGCTGCCGACTTTCAGATTAGGCATTCCGGGGTAAAAGTTGCAACGAGAATCTTCTTATCTCTTAAAATTTTTGACGCTCAAAAAAGTTTTTTCATGAAGCTCAATATTTAAAAAAGAAACTTTGGAAAAAAAAAATCAATAGTTTCAGCTCCTGCAGCTTTCATCACTAATCGTGGCGTGCCGTCATCGGATGGCGTCTCTTCGTGCCTCGCTCTTCTTCCTTCTGCACGCCTCCTGTCTTCTCTCGCTCATTCTCCTCTTCTCTATATTTCTCTTCCTCCCTATCATTTTCACTCATGGACAAATCCTCATGACGTCGATGCTCCACCTTCCCGTCCTGTTTTTTGGAACTCTTTTCACTCCTTTTCACCCGAAGAACACCGTCATACGCATCGCTATGAAGGTATGGTTCAGCTTTATTTCTAAAAGCTTTGCGCAAAAACAACAGGAAATGACTACAACAAAGCATCGAAATATTAAAATTGTGTTTATGGTGAGACCGTGAAGTTATTTTGACTTCAAGTTTCATCCATCTTTTATTTTTGAAAATTAATAATGGAGCTTTTCAGAACACGAACATGATTGCAAAACAAGAAAATGTAAAAATCGTCACAACATTCTTCATTCAATTCTTACCGACGGCCGTCTACATTACTGCTCTCTACTTTTTATTGGTTCGAGGATAAATGATAAACAATATACAAAACTTTCAAATCAGCTGGTTCGAAATGCTAATATGATGTGTTCTTTTGCCGACGTCGTCTGCAATTTCAATACGGAGGCCAGAAGTTTCAACTCTACTATGGACTATCTGACTTTGTCAACGGATTCCGTTCGACATATCATTGGTTTTCAGGTATTTCAAAAGAAAATATCTTCAGCTGCAACAGGAAAATTCAGTTTACGACTTGTCTCTGTGTTTTATCATCGGCCTTTTTGTACTCGTTGAGCAGTATCTGGACCGATGTTCCATTTCTTTCGCCAATCTGGTTGATCTCCGTGTTTTTCTGCATTTTCACCCAGGTTAGAGATCATTTTAATTATAATTGTATGATTTAAATCCGATCAAATTATTAAATAAATTCGAATTATTAAATAAGAACCACTAAATCTTCAAAAAGAGTTTTTTTATTGCCAAAATTCTGACAACTTTTTGAAAGTCGCTCGTCGAGAATTTATAGAATTACTTTCAAAAAAAGGACTATTATCGTTAGCTGTAATCAAAGGTTGGATTCCTATTTATTTATCAAAGTTTTTAAACTGCGCTTTCTCAACGTTTTTTCGATGGACGTCATAACTCGAAAAACTGATTCAATTTCAGGTAGCCTACTCCTACCTTAGTGGTGTAAATCTTCATGAAGTGGTCCAGCTGCTGCCAATTATGACACTTGTCGTCTGGATCATGGTGATTTTGCTCGTGAACGAATTGTTCAAAATTCGCCGTATTCGACAATTCGCCCGAGAACAACGCCGCACCAAATTCGACTTTGACACGAAACTTGGAATGAATTCCCCTTATTGACTTTGTAAAAACTTCTGAAGATGTATATACTGTTTATATGTTATCGGTCTTGATTTTTATTGGCCTTGCTTCATGAGCAAACTGAAGAAAAAATTCATGTTTCAAAATGAAATTTCTTCAATCTCAATTTGAAGCGAATTGTGATCAATCTGAAACTAATTGTGAAAACCTTCTTCAGAAGAGCAAGTAAAACAAAAATATTGACAGAAAATACCTCATATCCAATGAAATCAAACTTGAAAAAAAACTATCGAAAACTATTTGAGAAATGGAAACAGAAAGCCCCATCAAAGTTCGAAAAAATAAAAATGTGCCCAAAACGTTTACATGCAAAGGATAAATGCGCTGATCATTCACAATTTTGGAGCTAGTGCTGATTTAAGAAAAATATTTTCTACTTCTTTCTTGGAACAATATTTAAAAAAAGCTGCGCCTATGGCGGAATTTCGATGAAGCTTTTTTTTATTGAGCCTTTGAAACGCGAAGATTCTACGCGGAACACACAAAAACTTCAACTTGAAAAAAAAACTCATAAGTTAAAAATGCGATGTTTGCATTTTTCCTTGCGGACGATCATATTCGAAAATCCAAACGTTGAAGATCGGATCACCCTCAGCCATCGATGAAATTCTGAAAAATAAGCTCAGTTTTAAATTCTGTAGATAATAAAATATTGAATTTTACAATGAAAAAAAGTAAATATAATCGATAACGCGAAACTCTTGAACCTAACAATTATACAAAGTGTCTGTCATAATTTTCATCTTTTCTTGATTTTGAATTAAAAAAAACCTGTTTGCAGCAACGGCCAATAAAGTTGAAAAGGCTTAAGTTTTCCTTGACCACAGTTGAGTTTTTAAAATTGCTTTTCGATCTGAAACTTCTTTTTATCAAAAAAATACGAGTAAAAGATGAAAAAACGTGGTAATTACACAAAGGTAAAGTATAATTCATAATTTTCATCAAGGTGAATAAATAATTTCATAAAGAGTAAAACGCCCAACCTAAATACTTTGACAGGTTGAAATAAACGTGGGAAGTAGAAATACACTCGTCCTTTGTCTAAAACTCGATTTTTCGATGTTTTGCAAATGAAATCTGCTTTACTCCCTCTCAAAGCATTCCTAGAGTTATGCAAGTTTCCAAGAAGTTTTTTGTTGCGGAATAATGCGACTGCGCATACAGAGATTTTGATTCAAAAAAACCCGCAGAACTCTTTTTAAAAGAAATTCCAAGATTTGCAAATATTTCCAGGTTGTTTTCAGAATTAAAATTGATGAAAAAAAGAATTTCGCAAAAACTTTTTTTGCTAACTGAAAAAAAGGAACGCCAAGCTTCAGGCCAAAAATAATGAGGAAAGCTTGATAGGAAGTGAAGAGAACATTTTTGATTTTTCTACTAGTTTACAACTTTTTTTGCGGTTAAAATGAACCATTTTTGAACAAAAAAACTATTAATTCAAAGCTTATTATAAAGTGAAATTAAAAAAATATTTCCTTCGTAACTTTGAGGCTTATTTTTTTGCATAATAGAAATTTTAAGAAAATGAATACTCAACCCTACAGATTTACCAATCTTGATTGAGCTTTGAAAGTGATTGGAATCGATTGGGAATACTAAAATAATTCGACAAAGTTTTTAACAGAAAAAAATTACTGCGTGTTCAGAAAAAAAGTGCGACAGAGCGCGCTTTCCTTTTGCAGTCTTACGGTATATGCTGCAAATGCCGAAACCATCTTTTTTTAATTTGAAAAATTTTTTCATCAATTTTATTATTCTTCACATTTTATAAAGACTAATGATAATGATGCGTATAAATTCTTGCGCTATCCATTTATGAAGATCATTAAAAATGGGCGAGAATTTCTCATGTTGTTTTCATTATTCCTTAGCTTTTCCAAACTGCTTTTCGCACCATATTTTATTTAGCATTGACTTCAGACCTTTAATAAAAAATGTGAGCTGTGTAACATTCATAGGAAAAGCAGAGTGAATACAAAAAAATCCTCTTTCAGAAAAGGTTTACTGGCAAACCTTCTCAGAGGCTTGCGAGGGACTAAATGGTCTTTTATTTTTCTGTCATAGGTTTATATGCTATTTTTTTGTAAACCATTCTTTTACATGTTTGTTTGTTTTTGTCTGTAAATGAATTTATTTCCTATTAAAACTGCCTGTTTCCCAAAAAAAAATTTTATTTAGTATTTTCGTTCGTTTTCTGTTTTTTTATTTGTTTTTTGATGGCTTTGTTGACTTTGAAAAAGGATTTATCAAACAGGGTTTATATCACAGGAAAAAAATTCACAACTACAATCATACAAATAAAGTCAGGAGATCAAGGAACATTTTCCGGAATACCGATAATAGGCAGGGAACTTTTCAATGTACCTCGAAAAGAAGATGCGCAGTGATGATGATAAAGCAGCAATGAAAGAAGAATGGATTATTTCGGAATGAAGTTTGATCCAATTGGGATATATTTCTCGTAACTGTATCATTGGTCTCGATGTATAATATAATAAAAATGTTAGAAGAAGATTATGCTTTCACAAAGCCTAAAAATTATGCAAACTAAAGGTTGAATGATAATTGGAATCTAAAAAAGTGGTAAAAATGGGAGATGATTCTATCAGATGGCCCGAAGAGTGATGTCGTTGGAGTTGAATTCGACACCGCGGGCCGTTTGAATGTTCTTCACAAAGACGCAAAGACGGCTGAAGTACGGGGCTAACTAAAAAGAATTCATGCTCAGAATAAAAATACGGAAAAATGTCACCTTGGTCAGTTGCGTGGAATTGACAGGATGGAGACGGATTTTCTCTTTCTCAAGAGGAAGGAATTGCTGAAAACAAGAAGAGATCTGAGGATAGTTTGAATGATGAACTGACTACACTCTGGTCATGCTGGAACAAAAGAGTTCCATTGACGAAGATGCAGTTGGCCACTTCAGATTCTTTCAGAGTCAGCTTTTTGTAGATCAAGGCCGTCTCGCGCTCGACACGCTGAAAAAATGTTGATGAGGCGAATGTCCGTTATAGCATCAATAATTTTTGTTCCAGACGTCTATCACATTAATAAATAAAAAAACAAAAATATATTATTAAAAAGTTAGGACTACTCTGAAAAGTTTTTTTCTAGCTTTGTTATTTACAAAGTCAGCTGGGGACTTAGTTCTCAATTCGGTAATTTTTTTCTACCTCTTTTATTTCAAGATTCAAATTTCGACAGTAAGTTTTTGCTGACTGGATTTTTTTCAAAACTTTTAGTACATAGATATAATTTTCAGGTAACTTCCGATAACTTCTACGATTCCTATTAAAATCATCATCAATGTAAGATTGCCCAGTTTCCATAAAAAACTTTAAAATCCCGTTAGTGAGCAGTTTCTTGTGCCACAACTTCGTTAGTTCAAAATATATATCAGAAAAAAAACTAGCCTTCAAAATAGCGTCGGCCTCCTTGCCGCTTGCGATGGCCAACACTTCTTCAGCACAGAAAGAAATGTAGTTTTTCAAAGCCAAAGCCTTGTCCGACATGTACACCGGAATGACAGCGTAGTCGCAGTAGGTTTCGCTGAGAACCTGTGAAAAAAAGTATGTTCAAGAAGTTCGTGATGGTGATTCACCGCCACTCCTTCTTTGTTAGTGGAGTTTTTGTGGACGCCGACGAAGATCTGAAAATCAATATTGGCGTACATTTAGAGATAGAAGTGATTCCGAACCTCCTTTCCAGTGAAAAATACATCACTTGCGTTGAGGAGGACCTTCTTCCCTTTGAACTTCAAAGGGATGTGGCGCACAGTCCAGGAAAGGTTCTCCAGGGCAGAGACAAGCTGAATATTGATATATGAGGTTATTAAAGACAACTTCTCGAAGGTTTCCTGGCGCATGTGAGCTTTGATCAAAAAAAATCTCGAAAAGACGCCTTGGAATGGTTAAATCAGCCATTCTACGTTTTCCTCTTCATTTTTTGCCTGTTGTTTTTATTTTATTCTTTTGCGATCCTACTCAGGGGGAGAACGGCATGCCCGCGCGCATCTAAAAAAAGAAACGGCACACCTGCTCGCATGCACCAGTTCAGAGAGTATGGTAAAATTAGAGACCAGACTTGTGCGCTGGCCTGCCGTTTTTTGTTGATATTGGCATGCCAGCGCACAGGTCCTCAGACAGTGTGTAGAGCGAGGAGAGTACGAATCTGGTCTCTCCAAGTAACTTCAAACAGGTTCAACTTTGTGTATAAACTTTGGATGGATCAAGAAACTCGAGAAGTTTGAAAAAAATAGGAGTATAACTCACATCTTCCACTCGAACACACAGGTTTTCAGGAATTGAACAGATGAGCGCGGTTCCATTGATAACGACGGCGCTTTCTTCAAGATACATCGAAGAAGAAGAAATCGTCGAAGTCGGGAACTCGACAAGGTTGACGCCTGGAACAAAAACTTGTGGATAAGCTAGAAGGTGATGTTTTTCCGGTAAAAACTGATTTCTTTCCAGTCGGTTATTCTCGAAATGAATGAAATCTCACCAGCTTCTTTCAAATGATCGAGGAAAGCGGCGTACTCTCCACGTAAAAGTTCAATATCGATGTTTTGCTTCTTTTCAAGCTTCAGTACTTGCGGGAAGCTTGGAACCAAGGCGTGCGTGTAGCGCATCTTTCCTGAAAAAAAAAACTAAAAGTTTGAGATCACAAAATCATTAGTTCAACGTTAGAACGAGTTTCAGCGGATAAGAATAAAAAAAAGGCACTTTCGAGACATATGTACTATGAAAAAAAGGAAAAGGGAAATGCGCTGAAACGTGGAGAAACAACAATGCGTCATGATAGACAAGCTGGAATATTCTACAGCGCGTCAATATAAACCATTAAAAAAATTTCTTCTCTTTGTTCGCGCGGGAAATCAAAAACTTAAATATACACGGACAGAACCGATACATTTCAAAAAAACTGAAAAATCCAATTCCATATTTAACTTTGTAAATTTGGTACTAAAAAGTCACAAAAAAAGCAGAAATTGAATATTTCTTAAAAAAAGGAAGAAAAAAATGGCTATTAAATTTTGAGGCTGTTTTTAAAACCAAAAAAAGTTATTATCTTTGTAAAACTGATATGTTTTTAATGTCACTGACCAAATTGCACAAATCGAAATATTTTCAAGAAAATTTTCAAAGCTTTCAATTTAAAGAAAATCAAAGAAGAAGAATAAAGCTATCATTAAAAGAAAAAATAAGTTTTAAAAAAATGTGCAAGACTTCAAAAAAAAACTGAAACTTTCTCGAAACTGTCAAAATCCGAAACAAAAGCCAAACAGTCCTAAAATGGGTTGCGTGGTCAACAATCCAGACGCGGTTGGATAAACATGCGAATTTCCGCGCGTCGGTAGCCAAGGTAGCCTCTGAGAAAGGAAAGTGTGCTCCTCCGCACTCGGTCCTCCCCTTCCAACGTTTATTACAACTAAGTCCAGCAGGCGGGTCCGGTCACTCGCCATCTGTGTTGACCCCGCCACTCGACCGCTCTAATTTGCCTTGATTGTCTTTTATTAGCCAGAATTGCTTTGGATAACGTTTGGAAGGGAGCATATGTTTCCAGTATGATATTGGTATACGGTAGTGTAGAGGATTTCGAGATCTCATATTTATTTTTAAATATTTTTTTGTATAGATCTTTCATTTTCCGCTATAAGTGGACTCTTCCGTTTAAGATTAACTTAAGAAAATTTTTAAAGCTTTCATTCAAGTTTAAAAGACAGAAACTTCTGAAAGATATGGAATTTCTCTAACACAAACTCCTTTTCTCTCGCTGAACTGCATTTTTTGTCCTATGTCAATCTTTCATCGTTCTGATAATCTGGGAAAGTCTTAATTTTCAATAAGATCCCAATTTTTCATAACTCTGTTTTTTTCTTCAGAGAAAAAACATATATTGAAAGTCGTTTAGAAGGCGTTTATTTATATCTCAATGAGTCTTTCTTGCTTTTTTTCTTGAGACATTTTTTTGTACTTTTTACAAGAAAAAAAAAAATTGCTTTTAAGCACGAGTGAATAAATTGTATTTCCACTCATCAGATGAGCAGGATAGTAAAAAGGAGTTCGAGATGAACTTTCCGAAGAAGATTCTTCGAAGCTCTGCCTTTCGAAAGAATCCTATCAAAAAAATAATACATTTTTGGCCGTTTTTACGTATTCAAAAATTTTGCAGTTTTTTTCAAATGTTCCATAGGCAGTATAACCGTGAGAAAAAAAGACGCCCGCTGGATCATTGATTTTATTTAAAAATTTCCCTCCACGTGTCCTTCGACGTGGATCGAGAGCATGTTTTCACGAAAATCTCAACTATAGCTTTTCTTTTACTGCAGAAAATTTTTTGTTAACAAATTTTTTGAAATCTTCATATTTCGGACTCACTCTCAATTTGTCAGTTTGCGAGTTCAATGGAATATGTTTTCAATTCTGGCAAAGTTCGATTGATGGATTTGGTGATGTCTCTATGAGACAAAAACTCTTGCTGAACGCTTATGACAAACAAAATGAATCTTAGCTATTTTTTTTTAGAAATGAACGTCTTCCGACTTGTGGCCGATATGTGCCACTTGCTGGCTATTGTCATTCTTCTATCTAAGGTGAATGAGTGAAGTGAAAAAGTGCCTAAGTAAGTTCAATTAATTAAGATCTGGAAGACTCGGTCATGCTCCGGCATTTCTGCTCGTACGCAGATTCTATTTGCAATTGTCTTCGTCACCAGATACCTGGACTTGTTCACTTCTTACGTCTCCGCCTATAACACAATTATGAAGGTAATTTATTAATTAGTGGTGACATATTAGTTAAAATAGAAAGGGCAATAAGAACCGGAGAAAAATTTCAAAACCACAGAAAACTCGAGTGAGCAATGAATACCAAAAGATGAATTTACTTCAAAAAAACATTTTTAGACCTCTAAAAATTTAGAAAATTATTGAAAATTCTGTTTTATTCGCAGCTCGATTCACAAAAGTTTCGAAATGTTCCAAAAAACTTGAGCATTCTTTGACCTGTAAAACACATTTCGTTCCACCTAACTGCTTCCAAATGGAAAACATAGTAACCTAGGCAAAAATAGGATCATCACCATTAACCCTTGTTCTTTCGTTTATTTGTTATGGACTATGCGATGATCTTTTGTAAAAGTAAAAGATTCGTGTAAAAGATTGTAAAAGATTGTAAAAGATTCGTGTCAGAAAAAATGTTCTCGAAAATATCTTTTCAGCAACCTGAGCAAACTTTTTTTTTAAATATTAGAATGAACAGTTGTGAAACTCTCAAATAAAATTCGAAACTTATTTTGATCGATACAAAAAGTTTATTAATAACTTTCAGATCTTTTTCATAACCTCGTCTATCGCGACGGTTTATCTGATGCTGTTCAAGTTTCGTGGAACCTACGAAAAGGAGTCGGACCAGTTCCGTGTCTACTTGTTGGTGGTTCCTGCGGCAGTCTTGGCCCTATTCATCAACAATGGCTTCACCGTCATGGAAATTCTCTGGACATTCAGGTCAATAAGAAAGGAACATCATTATTTATAGTCTGGGTTCTATGGAAAATGAAAGGAAGTAAGAAAAAAATTTTTGATATTGAAAAGAAAAAAAGAAAAATCTCTTCCGCAAACGTAAAAACAGAAAAATGTTTTCATTTATAAGAGAAAGGATTTTTTTAAAAATTTTTTTGTACAGTTTTTCGAATCCCTCACAAAAATTTTGAGGGTATTTCTGGAACAAAGTGTATAGTGTAAAAGCAGGTGTCACGGGCGAGTGTACGAGAAAAATGGAACAGACCACCAAAAAACAATATGAATTCGAAGATTCTGATCGATTTTAAATGGATGAAAAAATAAACTGAAATTTCAAATAATTCATTGATAGGGAACTTCGACGGCGAGAATGAAGTCTTGGACTGCTATTTGCAAAAATACCTATTTTCACTGTTGCGAAACTTTAATTTAACCCTGTCAGCAATCATTCAAGCTTCTTTCTTAGCACTTTCCAGTAGTTCTTGAACTTTAACTAACTATTATCAATCACTGAGAAAAACGAAGTGATCTTTAGTTTACCAAATTCATTATTTTTTCCAGTATCTACCTGGAAGCCATCGCAATCATGCCTCAGCTTTTTATGCTCCAATCGACTGGCTGCGCCGAAACCATAACTGCTCACTATCTCTTTGCCCTCGGAATGTACCGCGCTTTCTACCTCGTCAACTGGATCTTCAGGTTTTCCCTACTAACATTCAAGGTTTCAATCAACTATTCTTACAGATACTACACGGAGAGCTACTTCGACCCAATTGCCACCGTCGCTGGAGTTGTTCAAACGGTTCTCTACGCCGACTTCTTCTACCTTTACTTCACTCGAGTTGTCCGGGCCAATAAAGCCATGGAACTTCCTATCTAATGTATTTCTTTCAATCATTCGGGAACTAGGTTAGCCTAATCGAAGGTCACCTCTGTTGTTGGGTTCTGTTTTTAACCTACTTTCTTGTCTTCTTCGGTCTCCTCAAAAAGTCAAACGAATCATAGACATGAACTTAAGAAGTTCTTTTTAACATTCATAACTTTTTTTCCTGAAAAAAAGAGCGACATTTTTGTTTTAGGAAAGTCATTTCACTTTGCGGCTGGTATTTTCCTCGAAATAGGCTAGAACTTTTATTAAATTACCAGTTGAAGCTGAAATTCTTAACGTGCAAAAACTTTTAGTTTTTGAGAGAGCATAGTTCTAAATGGAAGGCAATCCTGAAAACCCGTATTAAGCCATTTAGTACATCGTAGAGTGTTCTGGTCGATTTTCAAGAAATTTCCAGCAGCGAAGCAAAATAACCTCCCTTCTCAGGTGTGGAAACGAGATTTCTTTTGACTTCAAACTTGTCTGAAACGTTTGCCTTTTCTTTTCTCATGGACTATTCTTTTAAATATTTCTTTATTCACTATCTTTTTTTTTCGGGAACACAAACTTGTGCCTTGCTTCTACTTTAAATTGTTTATGGGTGTAAGACTATGTATAAAATCAAGAGATTAATAAACTACAAGTGTTCGTCGCCGTCGTGTTGGTAGTCGCAGTGAACGAAGGCCCGTTCCACATAAGGCAAGCGTTCGATTTTGCACTGGAGCAATTCGGAAATATCGTGAGCGTCTTTCAAAGTCGTTCGCGCATCGAGAACCTAAGTTTGTGGGAAACTTGAGAAGAAGATTAGAAATTTAAGTACCACATGAACTTCAACAAGGAAGTTTGCGCCGAAATGATAGACGTAGACCATATCGAGACTGCGAATTCGCTCGTCGTGGTTGATAGACACCTCAAAAGAAATGAAAGTCCATCCTCATAACCTTGGAATATAGAACAATACCTGAAGTTTTTCAAACTTTGTTTTACTTCATGAAGAAGCATGTTCACAAAAAGTATGAAAAATAGTTCAATAGGTATTTGGTATCCACAAATTCATTCTGCTCCATTTAGGATTGACTTTTTCGTGTTTTCGACAGGTAAAGAACTAACAATGGGAGAAAAATTTGGGAATTAGTTTTAAGTTTTGATATGAATAAAGTAAAAACTAACATTGGTGACTCGATGAATGAATTCTGGATCCGCCGATCTGCCAATCAGGAAAGGAACGTGCTCCTTGATAGTTCCAGCCCAAGTCACAATGATGAAGCCACTTAACTTTTTTTTTTCTCAGTTTTCAAGATCAATCCCCAAACCTGACGAGAAAGGCTCCGATCGGATCGGCATACACCCACCAGCGATGTCCGATGAAAGCTCCAGCAAGGGCGACCAAGTTGGTCATGCAGTCGTTGCGCTAGTAACTTTCATCACATGATCAATATTCAATAAATACCTGATCGATCGCAAGAACCAGGCAGGCTGCTGAGCGACGGACACGGCAGATCAAGAAAAGTACTGAAAGATACGTTTCAAAATGAATTTCCGTTGGACGAGTACCAAATTTGATCGAAGTTCCTGTGCAGAGAATAATCAAGATGGATAGATCAACTCTTGGACAGAGCTAAAGTTTTAGTATGAAAATATTTCCCGATAGTTTCCTCACTTTCCCGAGGATAGTTTCTGTCGCAGACTCTTGAACAACCACCATATTCGCGAAAATCATGAGCATCCCGACCAGAACGACTGTGAGAGGCTCCAATCTAAAGCACGAGAATCGATAATCTCTTCAATTTTTGTGAAATATTACTTGTTGAGCCCGACAGGATAGTGATTTTTGTTGGTGTTTTCGATCTTTTTGCAGGTGTACCAAACAATCAAGCCGGCCACGACATCCATCAAACTGAATTCTCTGTTTTGAAATCAAACTGATTTTTTAATACCTGTCAACCACAGAAGCCAAAATTGAAAGGGAACGAGATTCGATAGCTGCGAAAATTTTTGCTCCAATCAGAAGCACGTTGAGAATGACTGTCACTGTGGAAATTCTGGTGTCCCATACCTGGAAGGAGCCTCTAGAAAACTTTAGGATTGGTTTTTGAACTGCTAGTCTTGAATTTTTTTTTCCAAAGTCAACTTCAATCTTGAAATGATCCTTTAATCAAAAAAAAAAAGTTATAGTGAATTTATCCCGACTTGAAAGGCATGGGTTGATTGTCAGGGGTTAAGCGTTGCGTGTGCGACGCGACTTCCGAAGAGGAACTCGAGGTTAAACGCGAAACTACCTTTTTTCCTTTTCTGAATAGTTTTTTTAAGAAGTAATACTTTTTATGGGTTTGAGAAGATTCAGTTGATCGAATGAAGAATAGAAGCGACTATTTACGAGATTTTTCTTGGATTCATCACATTGTTTCTAACATTTTTTTTATTACTCAATTAAAGCTAAAAAAATGCAAGAATACTCACAAATTTTGCGAGCAAAACAAAATTCAGAGTTTTGGCCCTTGGAAATTTGACAAAACAGTTAAAAGCGACCTCTGGTTTTTTTTTCAAATGAAAACTTCAAACCTTTTCGGTATCATTTCGCAAGTTGGATTTGCCGCCTTCGAGAGACAATAATTTCTCATCGCTCTTCCATCCTTCGACAATCTCGTTCTGGCGTTTGTAGAACTTTTTCAGCTCCCGTTTCTTGAAGTATCCAGTGTTGCAGAAGACAGTCATGATCGCGAAATGAAAGGGAGTTTATCGACTTTTTCAAGGGTCGTCCGTTTTTGCTGATAACATTATCTGTTTTCCTTTCCTGCAGCATTAAGAACTTCATGTTCCATAGACAACGCTCGATTGTAGATTCATTCTCTGGTGGAAAATATTTATGATTGGAAATCGAAACTGAACTTTTTTCTATAAATAACAGAACATGTTGAGAACAACTTTTATCGTGCAAATGACAATGAAATGCAACATTCTAACGGCCAAATCTGAGGGAAAGGTGGTCGGGCTGAAATTCCAACGGATCCCCGCGTTTTCCGAATCTGAGAGTCAAGTCGTCGGCGTTGAACTCGCGCTTCTCCTGTCTGCCGCTGAAGTTTCAATTATTTCCAAAATTTTTTCATTCTGTTCTCTGAAGTTGATTTCATCTTTCTGCTCTGAAATGAGGCTGATCTACGACGCCAAATTGACAGTCCGTGAGCAAACATTGAAACGTTCGCTCATTTCCACGACAGATGCTCCCCGAGCCTTCATAGGCCATTTTCTGACTTTTAGCTGATAACAGAGGGTTCTTTTTCATTTTCCCAACTGTCACGTTCAAGTTTAGTACTCGAGAAACGGAACTCACTTGCCATATCCGAGAAAAGAGCGCTTCTCGGCACTTCCTGCATAGTTCAGCTCTCCTTTTTGAAGAGTCTTCAATTGATTAATCAAATTTAAAACTCGAAATTTGTTGACTTACGTAGTATGGGACGTAGAACGCAGATATAACTGACGCCATGCAGAGCAACAAGACAGACATCAACCCAGAGTGCATTTTCTGTAAAAGAAAAAAAACTTTGATTGAAAGGCGAGGAAGAAGTTTGAAATAAGTATGAGAACGAATAAAACGAATACTTCGATTTTTTGCTCATGGGGAACTATCGAGAATTCCCGATGCGGACCCTCGCTTTTGAGGGTTTTGAAACCTTACTGGTTCAAAAATGAATCCTTTCTTCAAATGGATGTACATGACACAGGGCATCAGATTTCGAGAACACTTTCTCAGACTAAATCTGGAATTGAATCAGGTTTTGAGAACGGTTAGTTCACCAGAAGTATGAAAAATTTCAGAGAACTGTGAAGAAAAACATACTCTCTTCAATTTTTATCTGATTCCTGCAAAGTCGGAAGTGAAACCGGAATAGCTAAAAACTTTTTCAGCTTTATATTTTCAAAAAAAGGATCAAAAAAGGAAAACAAATTATGACGCGGAGAGATGGACACAAAAAGACGATTCAACAGCCCCAGCGGAGCGTGTCGAACCACGTCTGAAAAAATCTCTGTAGGTTCTGGAAACCCCGGAAATTTTCAAATTCCAAGACATCCTTGAATTCAAGCATGCGAGAATACCGCCCCCTCGTTTGGAGCAGCAATTAAAACATTACTGGAATTCGAATTCCGGTCGATCCCACGGAGGAAATTGAGCGTCCTGGAATCCCGCTGGATTCCAAAGGGTACAACACTCTATACTCTTCGTTTTGAAGGTCGAAATTAGCGATTTTTCAGAACCAGAAAGCAGAAAAGGTATTCCAACAACTCGTGAAATGGAAAGATCAAAGATAACAGCTTCTGTGTGGAAATAAGCATGGGTGATTAAAATTTTTTTTTTCTTTTATGAATGTTTTTTTGTGCAACTCATCATTTCGCGTTAAAAAGTACGTTTTGATTTTCGTAAATCACCGGAATCCTAAACAAAACGTCATGTGGAAATCAGTTTAGCACCATTCAGTGTTCTGGAAGGTTTGAGCTGAAACATTGAAGTTGAGTATTAAAAAAATTGTTCTTATTAGAAATCACAAAAAAAGATAAGTGGATGATGAACTGCCAAGGCTCCTCATGGGTTTTTTACAGTTTTGATTTCTAAATCTATGCCACTTCACTGTTTGATAAGAAAAATGTCTAAGTTGAAAAAGAAATTTCCGTTTAGTAGTAGCGCTACAAAAAGTTTCATTCGAATCCATTATGATCTGATTTTTTCGATACTGAAAATGAACTCTTTTTCATTCATGCAATATTTTTAACCCATTTCACTTCGGAGTCAAAGAAAATAGTCAGTTCGCTTTTACGAAAACTACTTTGAGAAATTTTTCTTCTGCAAAAACTCATCAAACGCAACCTCGTTTCTTCAAAACAAAAAACTTGTCCTGGTTATATGTAGTGCAAGAAATTGAAAAATGAGGATAAGGCAATAACCCGGCGAATGTGCGGGGAAACGTTGTTCGTCTGATTAGAAGTGGCTCTAGAATAATTAGAAGGTCGCATAGCATAGGTCTACGAGTTTACTGAGGCTTATAAGCATTCCCAGCAATTGAAAAATGGACAACGAAAGGGCGAGCCATCAAAAGGAGGCATTAGGAAATTCACTTTTGCTTAGTGTATGATACTTACTTTTTGGACTAACAATAGTTTCAACAATATTTGAATCATTTTGAAAAAGGAAAAGTCTGAAGGAACAATTAACGACTACAAGATCCACCCAACTGAGTGTTTTAAAGGAATTATTTGAGAATTCTCACGAGTTTCGAGTTTCAGGTGCCACTTACAGAACCCCTTTAAATTACTGCCCCCCACAGTTCCCACGATTGTTTCATTTCTGGACTTGAGTGGAAAAAAGGCGTATTCAACGTCAAAGACAACAATAATATAACAAGAAAACCGCCTCAGATTCAATCAAAATTCCTGATTCATCTTCTAATTAATGGAGCGAAATTCCCAACGGTTGTCTGACCAAATGCCTTGCAAATTAATTATATCATTCTAAAAATTCACATAGTAAGAAACATTTATCGGCGAAAGCTGTCAGAATGAAAGATGTTTGAACTTCTTGTTTTGAGAAAACTGAGTAAAACTTGAGTAATGTCGCTGGAACTTGAGAGGACCGAAAAAGTTCGGATGCATCTGAAGAATAAGAATTAGTTATTTAGAGGAACAATGAGATGAGCAGCAGGAAGTGAATATATATTATCCAGAATTCATTCACATAATTTGCAGATAGTTTCAATTCAATTTTATACTTTCACTAGTTTCGAGTATCTAGTTTGGTTTTCTCAAACTTTTTCTCAAACAAAGTTTGAAATTTATGTTTCCTCGTTTTGTAAATTTCAGATGAAACAGTTTTTGTGCTTTTTTTTGTATATGATGATTATGTTCTGTAATTTGTCTGTAATTTTTGAGGACGAATTTCATCCAAAACAACATGAACTTTGTTATTATCATACTCTTATCACTGTTTTGAAGAGGGTAGAGCTTTTTTTCAGTACTACACTACACTACTTCTTTACTCACCTCAAAATGAGGGTTATGTTAATTGTGTTATTATTAACTTCTACTCTCCTCAAATATTGTCATCAAACTGTTTCTGAAAACTCACCTAAACCTTCGAAACCTCTGAAGATTCTCATCGCAAGCCCGAGAGTTGGTTACAGTCACGTAATCTTACTTGGAAAAATCGCTGATATACTAACCGAACAAGGTCATGATGTGGTGAGTTTTAGAAACATGGGTGAGATGAAAACTGCAACTTTAATTTGTAGAGATTCTTAAACCAGTTGTCGCAATCAGAAGAATTTTGACAAAGACAGGAAAAAAGCTCTTCATGGGGCTTTCAGACAATGGCAAATATTAGTAATATTTTCAAAACTGAAGCAAAAGATGAATAGACGACATTACCTTGGTTATATCTATTCATTTTTTTTGAGTCAATCAACAAAACTTTGAAATTTTTTCTACTTTAGTTAACTTCATAAGATTGTGACTGAAAAACTCAAAAAAATTAATAATTGAGCTTTGAATCATTCAAATTGCAGCACGTGTTGTCTATTGGATTCATGGCAGACGTTCAAACGAGTGGGACGAGTTTGGCGAAAGTCAAGGTAGAATCCAAAGTTTCTCTTTACCATCGGAAAGCAGAAATTCAGCGCATCGAATTTGGGATGGAAGAAGAAATATCAAGTGTGATGGTCAAGGTTCATTCGAAAATTTGGGACGATTTTGGTCCTTCGGACTATTTACGGCTTGTTACACTCATGTCAAGCAGTTTTGTCAAGTTTTGTGAAGGTACTTAACCTTAAGAGTTTCTAAATGAGATGGAAGAATTTGAGAGATTTTAACGAGCCAGGAACTGAAGCAGTGGATGTCTGAACACGAGTTTGACGTCATCATTTCCGAGATGTTGTTCTGTTTCCACGGTTGTCCCAAAACGACGTAATTGTTTGGTTTCTATGAAAATGAGACTCTTAAGCCAACTGAAAAGGAGTAGCTTCTCAAAAATGAATCCTTAAAATAAATATTCCTCGGGCTGATCCATCCGTAAGCGCTATAGATACAATTTTTTTTGTTAACTCTTTAAATGAGAGGCCAATCGAATGTTCCCCAAAGCCCTTAATATAAACACTACTGACCCATATTTTGTAGATTTCTTTGAGCTCTGCTATCAAACAGCATTTGCAGTATATTTTAATCATTTTCCTTCAAAACTTCCAGACACATCACCATATCAGCGACTAATCCAATGGAATGGATGACGGAAGCTTTCATGATCCCCAATGCTCCTGCTCTAGTACCCGGCGAGTTATTTGAACAAAAAATGAATATTCATTTTGATTTTCCAGGCAACTCATCACCCCTCACACCGAAAATGAACATGATACAAAAAGTATCCACTAGTGAAAAAAATAAAATAATTTATCTTTTTATAGAGTTATGAACGTGCTTGATAATGTCCTACAAAAACTGGTTATTCGGTACTTGTTGCTCCGACCGATTGATGAATTAGGAAAAAAAGCATTCGGGGCAGAATTATGTGCCTTTGGAGGTTTGCAGTTATATTTAATTTTTGAACCAATCGAAATTTTTTTCACATTTTTTTCAAATTTAGCCATAGCTATTGGATAATTGAATAATCTCAGAAAGCAATTTTTCATTTTATATTCCTAATAGAAAGTTTTTCACAGACATTTCTGGGCGATTCTAGTTATTTGATGGTTAACAGCCACGAGATCATTGATTTCCCGAGGCCCATCACCAGTCAATGGATTTATATCGGCGGCCTGCGACCACCTGAACCTAAAGGGCTTGATGAAGTGAGTTATTAAATTAATTGATCAATCAAAAACTCTCTTATCGTAATCTTTCTGCACTTCAACCAATTTTTACAGTGGTGGTCAAACACATTGTCCATGAGAAACTACAGTTCCATTGTAATTGTTTCCTTTGGAAGCATTGCCAAGGCTTCTGAAATGCCTTCTCACGTCAAACAAGCCTACATCGGTATTTCCATCCCTATTTTAGTCGGAGCATTTCCAAAAATAGTTTAGATGCCATGAGCGCCTTGAATGACACACTTTTCATTTGGAAATACGAGAAGCCGGCCCACGGATTTGCCTCCGAGTTGGACAACGTGGTTACGAAAGAATGGCTCCCACAAGTCGACCTTCTTCGTGAGCATTTCTAAATAAATAATTTCCACCAGGAAAATCTTAAAAATCGATAGAGGAACACAGCATTTTCAAAAACTCAGATGACCCGCGAATTACGGCATTGATTACTCATGCCGGCATCTCGTCAATTTTCGAAGCTGTACGAGCAGCGAAACCGGTTTTCAGTTTAATATCAAATACATTGGAGAAATTGAGATTGTTTTCAGTTGATAACTGTACCGTTATTTGCCGACCAGATGCGAAACTCGGAGATGTTGCGCTATAGAGGCGTCTCGGTGGCTTTGCCAAAGCAGGCGACTTACCATCAAATCGTGAACGCTGTGCAGAAAATCCACGAAAAGAAGTTCGTTCTGACGAAAAAATTAACGATTGAGGAGAAAGTGTACAGTAAGACTCTCTGCAGTTTCCAAAAGCTTTTTAGGAATATGATTTGATTTTTCGTTCAGGTGGACAGGTTATATAAACTCTACCAATATAATTCAAGCGTTCTTTCCTCCAAAGTTGAAATTCTGATTTTTGAATCTTTGAAACTATTTCGCTCCTCGTCTCTTTTTTTAAGATTTGACTGTTATTCGCCTTTGCCACTTTCAAAGCCGATTAGAAAACAATATGTTCCCCGCAAAAATTGAAAATTTATCAATGAGCTCTGTAAAATCATCGTGCCTCCAACAAACATAGTTTGATTTTGAAATCGATGGAATGAACTCCCACAACTTTCGGATGAATAATGAAAATTTGATGTGCAAATTACAAACGGATGATTCCCAAATGTTGAATGACGTGTTTTACTCAGCCTACTAATTATGTGAAATCGAGAACGTTGTTGGCAGTTCGATTTTGTTTTCATTCCAGGATTCTTTGCAAAAGTTAGAGTTCGATCAGAAAATCAACTAGAGATCCATGTTTAATGCTAACTTACAGAGATGATTCTCACAGCCAGGATTTCAAAGATTGCTGAAAATTCCTTAAAAACGATTTGCTTCACTTTTTTTTCAAGAAACGTTGATTTTCAAAAACTTCGGTGACAAGTCATCGCAGAGTTTTTTTCGATCAAAAAATTGTATAGTATGTTCTTAATGATGAGCAAAAGTAATTCCAATAAAAAAAGGATCTTTGAGAAACTTTCAATAATTAAAATTTTCTGAAGTTGGAATTGGATTTTTTTTTTCCCCAGTTTTTGGTTTTTCCAGGTACAGCAAGAACATGGAACAACTTTCGGCTGCCCTTCGCGACGCTCCTTTTTCTTCCGAGGAAAAAATCGTAAAGTACGTCGAATTTGCTGCAAAACACGATGTGAAAAAGTTTATTGCTCCTCATCGCATCAGTACCATTCAGTACTTCTTCCTAGATATTATTGCGATGGTTAGTGCTTTCATAGTCGGGATTTCAGTTGTTATTGCGTTTTTGGTCAAAAAACGGGTTAGTAAAAAGACGAAGGCAAAAGTTAATTAATTGTGGTCTAATGTTTATTTTTCTCCCATAAAGTACATATTCATAAACTATTTGATTGAATTCGGTCCGAACTTGAACTACAAATGGCAATCAGTGAGATCGAAAATTAAAATTTGTGGTGAATATATGACCAAATTGAAAATGCAGTTGAAGTTAGAAGAGGAAATAGAAGACAGCCAGGAAAAGAAGTCCGGAAATAGGAGTGAAAGCTGAAGAACAAATGAGAGCTCGGTCCAGTTTGCTCGGACGGTATTGGATCCGACGACCGTTGAGCGGCTGCGTCGGCCGGAAGTTTTTCCGCGCGTCGTGTTGCTTCCCCTTCAGGTTGCGTAGGGCTTGCAGCTGAAAAATCGGATTTTAGGTGTTTTCTCGAAAAAAATCGAAGAAAGCTGGAAAAATTCATACTACTCCAGTTACAAAACATCATGCATCTTTTTACGAGGAGTTTACATTTTTTTTTGGTATTTTTTTTTAGAAAATAAAAAATGATCTGCACCTGGAACTTGGAAACCGCAATAGGTTCAGCGAGAAGAGTCCAAATAACGGATTCGTCACAAGTGGGAGTCGTCAAACTTCCCTCGTATCGGTAGAAGGCTTCAGTGTCATACGGCAGCATGTGTTTGACTCGGAAACCGTCGGGTTTTGTGTGGTTGCCTCAAAATATCCTTCGTTTGGGCGATCCACTCATCAGAACATACCATCATACTCGATGTTCCCAAGGTGATCAGAAAGGGCCGAAAAGCGGTTGGCGATGGGATCATTTGTCCTGGCCAAAAAGACGCCGACGACGGCAAGACCGTCAGGTCGTGCTTGAGCTTCTGCTAACGTCAGGCCTTCTCTGACATGTACCAAGTGAAGCTGAAAAGCGTCATCAAAATTGAGATACCAAAGAAAAGTTTTTAAAAAGTTGAAATATTCTCCCACATTTCGATTATTTTTCCTAATAAATTTTTACTTGTGTTACTAATTGTCTTTTACTTGTCTACAAATCATGTTATAATTTTTTAATAGAATTGATTTTTATGCTATTATTTCAATTTGAAAAACGAACCTCAGCTGGATAATGCAAAGATCCCAAAGTGTGTTCTGAGCCGACCGCGTCATGGTGTCCCCAGTGAAGATGGAACTGCGCCAACTTATATCTGAATTCAAACTCCTTTTTGACGATTCTCGACTTTTTTCGTATTTTCAAATCCTACAGTACGGTGGGAATTTTTCCGAAAAAAAAAACCTGTGCTTGAGTCCTCCGCCCTGAACGATAGGCTGTTTTGACCCCCAGTCGCCAAAACCAGAGACGACCACTGAAATTCATCCTTTGAATTTGTAAGCTGCATTAATAAATAAGCTGTTGAATTTCAAATTGTTGTGCAAGTCTCAAGCTTCTACTTGATTCAACGTGAATCCCTACAAGATGCAAGAAAAACATTCCTCTACATATTCAAGTACTGAGAGCTTTTTTTTTGGTTCTCAGACTACTAATATTTGAATGTCTTTGGAGCATTTCGGATAGTATGTTTCATTCACGAAAGCGGACTTTAACTCAAAAAGTTTGAAGGCTACTTCAAGGATACACTTTCGAGGCTTTTTTTTCGTGATATGATAATTGTCTAATGCAACTCACTAATGTACGAACAGATCAAATGAGACCAAACAAAATTTTTTTTGAATTGATAATGCCAAATATTTTGTCTTTCGAAAACTTAGAAAAATATTTTTTTATGAAATGGTTCGAAAAATCGCCATTGAAATGATGCAGAAACTCTGCGCAGAGCCATTTTTCGGGCGACCAAGAGGACTCAAAATGAAGAAGACCAATCGTTCATCTTTCGCAAAATTTTTCAGCATCTTTTGAAAATCGAAAAATAATGAAGTTTCTTCTCAGAAATTTTCCAAGCTTCCAAAATTTTCAAAGCATTTTCATATTTTTCTCCTTTCTGTCTGCCTCACCCGAAGTTCCGCTATTGAAAATATCTACAGGTCCGGGATGGTCATAGTGGATGAAATGAAGTCGATGGAGAGGAGTGTAATCGACGTCGGTCGCCCGGATGTCAATTGGGCTCTAAAAAGTTACGATTCGTGTTGAAACCACCTGCCACAAGTTGGTTTCCACCACATGGCCAACCCATCATTTGTATTTTATTTGTTTTGATTGGAAACGGGAGTTTTGTGACAATCCTGTTTTAAAGTAACAGGTTTTGTTTAAAAAAACTCAAAAAAATGCAAGGAGTCTAAAAAGCAGAAAAATCGTGAAAGCCAGAAAAAGCTTCTCAAAATGACTAACTTCGAATTAAATGAAAAATAATTCTTTTCGAGCCTTTTCCGTTTGAAGAAGGAAGTTGTTTGGATTCTCATATCTTCAAAAAATTTTTTTTTCTTGTTTCTCAGATTTCTAGTCTCTTCCCGCGGTACAAATAATTAATGGTGTCAATTTTTTTGCCAACTCAAACCTAACATGAGAAATAATATTTATAAATTGATCTGAAAAATTCCTGAGTTGTGTCAAAAAAACCAAAAATAATATTTTTTTTCCAATCATAAACTTGCCTGTCTACCGTACGCCTCCTGGCATTTTCCTTTCCAAGAATCTGGACCATCTTTTTCCGAATAACCCCATTCGACATTGTTTCCGCCGCAGAAAACTGAAATCAAAAGACTTCGCAATTTTTCCGTTTTCTTCATTTATAAAACCTACCTTCTGAAAAGAAAGCCAAAAATGTTAAAATCTGGAGCAGGAGGCTCATCGGGCTGAAAACGAAAGTTTAGAGAGCTACAAAAAATATGAAACGTTTTTATTAGCACAACGAAAGCGAAAAAATTAGAAAAGTTTAAACCGGGTCGCTAGTAAACGGTAAAAAAATAAATCATATTTTAAAGTTAAAAAATTTTTTTTTGAAAACTCGAAACATCCTCTTACTAGCGATTCAAGTTTTCAACTGGAAAGAAGACTCGGAACAACTAAATCATGTTATGAGACTCCTTATAATCATAAAAAATTGAACGCTTCCGGTGTTTTTCTATCCGGGACAAAACTAATCGAATTAAGTTGAGAAAAAGGTTCCTTATATGGTCATAAAGTTTTCAAAAAGCGAACAACAGGAAAAGCAGCACGTTAAGAAAAGGAGCAAGCAAAACGGCAAAAAACGACGTCAAGTTAACTTCGTTTTGCAATCGGAGGGATTCTGAAGAAAACGCAACTTTGCTTTTTTGAGTGAGGACTTGAGTCCACATGTCGCAAATGATCTACAAAAAACGGCTTTTTCATTTTCATACAGCATCCAAAACAATGTGAGGCGGAGATTCGCGACACATGAAGGGATGAGAGCCGTCGCGGAATCTCAAATTGCCGCAGAAGAGCGCAGAAAAGACGCCACACTTCTGCAACTTCGCATAAGGGCTTTCGAAGAGGAGAAGCTGATGTAGGAAACTTCTGGCAATTAGGAAGGTGCGAAAAAATGCACATGAATAAAATCAGGGCGGTGCTGTAAGAACTCGGGGTTTTTTTCAAAAAAAAAAAAGTTTAACTTCAAATTTCCTTGTTTTTCTCTCATTTTCCATCAGAATCATATAATCCGATTCTTGAAGCACAAATTAGCCAGAGATATCTTTTTAATCTTCAAAAATTCAATAATTAAGTCCATTGAGAAATTTAGAACGATTCACATTTTCACAGCCTTAGCACACTCAAGATAGAAAAAAGAATGTTTTCACATTTTCTTCTAGTATTATTTCTAAAGATCCTCAAAAAATTTAGAAAGAAACTGTTAAATGGAAATTGCAAAGATCACAAAAAGTGTGCAACGTAACAAACCCGAACGTCAGTTTCATTATCAGCTAAGACATCGTGTTGCGAAGAAAAGTTTCCGGGAACGTGGAAAACTTCTCAAAACATTCAAGCTCAATAAAAAAAAACAAAACTGGTCTTGTGGAGAAAATTGTACTTTTTTTTTACCACATTTCGGGAAAATTTTGACCGAACTGTACGAAATGGCTACTGAAACAGTAAATCAAACGACCACCATTTATCAAGAAGTTATCAGTTACTTACGAAGAACAAAAAACCGTGAGTACGTCAATCAAAGACTTTTAATCGTAGATTGAAAATCAACGTCTTTGTTGCGATGTGGAGAGGAAATAATTTTTGAATGCTCGAGTTTTTTTCCTTTTTTTTCAGCTTTCAATTTTGAATTAAATTCACAAATTGAACCCAAAAACAAACCTCTGGCAACTTCTCAAGAGAATAGAAAGAAGTTCAAAAATTCAGCAAACTTTTTACCCAGCTTCAAAAGTGCAAACTGACGCCCCGGACAGAAGAGCAGCCGCGAACTTCACTGACAAGATGTCAAATCATATCAAACGACAAAAAAGTGACGGCCTCTGTCAGTCTCCTCGAGCTCCTGCTACAAATCAGCGACATATCGTTAATTTTGATGATAACGAGGTTTTGAGGCAAGTGAGCGGCGGAACAAGCGCCGTTGTGATCGCCGACGGCGGCATGGATCATCGGAGGCCTCGGTGCAAGATTAATCGTCGGCCATCGCTTATCGCGTTATAAGTCACAGCTTACACTGTCTCGACAATCCCGCCTGAGATTTTACACTCGAACGGCGAGAAAATAACATGCGAGGGTTAACTTCAAAAAAAGTGAGAAGAAGTGGGAGCAATGAAGGGAGTCGATGATTAAATAGAACATGAGAGACTCAATTAAAACTGTTTTGATTGACTTTCACAAAAACAGTTTATGAAACTATTAAAAGAGGATGAGAACCCAAGGAAAAGATTTGGCTCTGTAAAAAAACTGAGAGCGATTCCAGTTGATTAAAAGAAGTCTTTATTTAATACGGTAGTGAAAAATGTTTTTGTTATGTTCTTCAGAAATTTTTCCAATCTGTTGCTGGGTTTTAATCTTTCAAACGAAAATTGTGTTTTCATGGGATGAAAAATTGAATGAAAGTGACGAAAGAATGAAAACTATTAAGCAAGTTAAATGCAAACAAAATTATTGAGGAAAAATGTATTACAATCTCCTCTGGATCTCTAGTTCATTTTTTTCAGATGAAAAATTCAATTTTTTTTACCTAATGTTTCGGTCAAGTAACGAGCAACATTAATATGTTCAAAAAGGAAGAAATATTTTTAAGAAATTTTCTCCAAAACTTGAAAAAAACTCAAACAATAAACTTTGCCTCTAGGTCAACCGAGGGAAAAGCCGAGGCAGGCGCTAGGTTCAGTTTACTATTTGAACAAATATTCTCTGAAACTGTTTGTTTGAAGTTGGGCATACAAGTTGAGAGATTTTTCGAACCAAGATTATCAGAAAAATTTGCACGAGTTGGTGGTAAAATTGATGATTTGATCGGAAGGAAGGTCTTTTTCCGGTGGCAACATGCTTTCAGCAAGTGGAAAGATGAAGGAGCAGACAAATTTGGTTATAAGCTTATGTGCGATCGAATAAACTACGATAAGGAGGGAAGAGTATTCGTAAAACATCAAACCTTTTGAAAATATTGCTCCTTGGGAGAAAATTTAGCGAATAAACAGCAAAAATTGTTTGCTTCTTTTTACTCTACGCACACCATAATCAAAAAAAGCTCCATATTTTTAAATTTTCTCTCCGAGTTGATCCAAAAAGGAACATTTTGGACCGCGTCACTGACCAGCAGAGTTCACAATGTTTTCGTGTTTTGGGAGTGTTCATTTTTTTTCTGCAAAGTACGAGTCAAAATATTCAGATTACTGTTCTGTGTCCTTCTTTCCGATCGGGAGCTGAGCCAGCTAGTCAGGGTTCAATGTTGCGGTTTGAAACAGGTTCATTTTCGCGAAAGGACAAAAACTTGCAAAAAATTTTCGATTGATGGATTCAGAAGAGCCAGTCGATTTTGTGGCTAACAAATACCCATGGAAATTATCCCTATCATATATGTCAAAATAATCTTGAATCAATGAATCACAATGATTTCGTGGAAGTCCGAACAGAAAAACTGTAGCATTATCTTTTTTCACTGAGCTTCTTATTTTCCATTTTTTTAGGCGTTTTATCAGTTTTTTTCTTGTAAAATTCGATCACAAATAGACGCCCTGACGGAGGACCTATACCAGCGCCGCAGAGACGCTCTTGCTTACGACCACATCACGTTGAAAAACACGCCATCCCGTCCGATCTGGCAAGTTAAGCAACGTTGAGAGCCGGTAGTACTTGGATCGGAGACGGCTTGGGAATTCGGCTTGCCGTAAGCTTTTTGCATTTTTTTTTTAAGTTTCTCCAACTAAATTAAAGAAAAATATTATCTTTGATAGTTTGCTTCAATCCATTACAAAATTTGGAAATTTCTGGAAAAGCTTCTCTAAAATCAGTGAAAAGAAAAAGTTTGCGTGAACAAATCTAGAAAACGCGAACTCAGAAACTTTCAGATGGTCATTTCAGGACTTCAATTTGACAACTGTAAATAAAAAATGATATCGATAAACAGTGAAAAACAAAACCAAGAGGATAAATCATTCAAACAGCGTCTCTTATAGACAATAAAACGTAAAAAAAAAACTACAGCACAACGAACTTCGACAACACAAAGCCTGCACCTTGAAACTCGACCACGCTTTTTTGTCTGAGTACAAAAAAGTGGTTCGTGACTATCCGATTTCTATCAATTGTTGTTACTGCAGTTGACAGTTTGCTTGTTAAACTGCTTGCAAGCATCTTTACACAATTATCGGGCAGTTATTGTTGCCGATGACTGATTGGTTCAAGTTTCGAAGCTTGTCGAGAACTGCTTACGTCTTTCCAGTGTTTGCAGGTTCGTTGAACCCGATAATCGGCAAGAAATGGAAGCTGTAAGTTATGGCTTGAAAAGGGGCATTTGAAAAAATTCAAGCTCGATGTACTTCATTTTTTGCAGTGTTTGCAAAAAGAACTTTTTGACGTTACCTTGAAACTCAGAGTTTCATAATGATACAGTTTTTTTCCTGCTTCATAAAAATCTGAAAACTCAACTTTCGTATAATAAATATTATTCCGTTTTTTTTGTTTTTTTAATAAAAATCAACTTCTGTCGATTGTAACATCTTACTTTACACATCATTTGAAGACAGGGATTTTTTTCAACTGAGCTCTTTTTCAAAAAGGATACCTTGCGCCTGTTTTTTTCAATTTTTTTACACTTTTTATTCACCATCAAATCACGAGTCGAGCAGACGTTCGTCCCCAAAGCTCAAAAAATGTTTTATTGCCATTACCAGATCTGTTGTTTAGTAAAAATAAAATAAATAACTCAGTAAACTCATTTTTTCGACAAAAAGTAATTTTTGTGTTTCAATATGAGACGCTCCATGAAACGGCATTGTCACATTGTCCATACATAAATCATGCCGAGAGACCACCCATTTGTAGATGAAGCAGGACAGAGAGGTCTACTTCGATTAAGCTTTTTTTTTTAGCTTTCATAACAAGAAAAGGTCTTGCATCCGAAGTATTAATGAAAGTCGTCAGAACTTTTGATTTCAGAAGGTTCTAAAATAAAACAGCCAATGCGAACTTCAAAGTCTCCCATTTTTTCAGTTCTGAGAAGACCTGAATCTCGGAAAATTCCAGGTTTGAAAGATTATCAAGTCAGAAGAGTTCAGCAAGCTCAACTTCGAAAAGAAATTACAGAGTTAATCTTCAAATGAAAGTTTTTGTCTTTCTCTGAATTACAGCAAACCCAAAACAATAATGGATTTTTTAAAACTTTTTTTTCTTTTTTTTTTTCGGAGCACGACATAAGAAAAGTGCTCAAAATGTTCAGCTTCACAAAATTTTCAGTTTTTTCTCAGATTTTTTTTCTTAACTTGAATTATTCTAAAATTCCCTTATTGCCACTAACATGGGGAGTCATTTTATGGTTCCTACTGGAACTTTCTATAAATTTGCTGAAACACTCTTTGATGGACCGGGAATCGATCCCACATAGTGGCTATCAGCGCAAACTTTTCGTTCTGGAAATATAAATTTTTAAAAGTTTTTCATCGGTTAACACGCGACCTTGTTGTGAAGGAATTATGATGAAAAATACGGAGTTTTTGAACCAAAAAAATGTTTCAACCAAGTTCGATAGCTCTTTTTTTATGAATAAGTAGTGCTTTGTATTTAAGAATTTTAGAAAAAAATCTCGAATCTGTAGAGGTCTTCACAGCATCAAGAGACTTTTTCATGAAAAAAACAGACTATGTGATACCTTCTACAACGTCATGAGTTTTTTTCAGAATAAAAATTAATAGCAAAATGCACTTTTATATATAAATGAAAGCTATCGAACTTGGTTGAAACGTTTCAGTCCTAAAAATTCCGTATTTTCACAGTTAGCGTCAAAAGGATTCGAACCTCCGTCATAGGCTCCGCAGTCCACATCGTTACTCACTGCACCACACACCTATCTGCCATTCGGTGGTTTTCGGCGCGGCCACATTCCTTCACAACAAGGTCACGTGTTAACCGATGAAAACTTTGAAAATTCATATCTCCAAAACGAAAAGTTTGCGCAGATAGCCACTATGTGGGATCGATTCCCGGTCCATCAAAGAGTGTTTCAGCAAATTCATAGAAAATTCCAGTAGGAACGGTAAAATGACTCCCCATGTAAGAAAAAATATTTTGACAAAGAATTGAGTAATAAGTTCTTGCTTCAGAGAATTCTTCGAAAAAACCTTTTTCATGGTGTTTGGATGGAAGCCTGTCAACCACACAAGGCCTTAGTGCGTAAGCGAACAAGTCTCTTCAAAACATTCGGATTAATCGGCCCTAATCTAGTATTTTGTTATCCTATTCAACGATCCCTGCTTCAGCCATCTTTTTTCATTTATTTCACTTCAATTCCTTTCCCGAATCTAAGGTTCGCTCTCAATATTTCATTAGGGCTTGGTGTGGGAAATCGCTAAAACAAGCAGAAACCATCAATTAAACTCTAGGAATGGGTTTTTGGTTTAATTAACGCCGCTGACGTCTGAAACGCTCTTATTTTCAGCGAATACGTTTTTTTTTCTCGGAGCAAAGGCTTAACCTAATTATAATTTTTGAACACGCGTTTTTATTCAAGAGTAGATCACAGTTCGAAGGATCTAGTTTTTTAAGTGGTTATTGTAGTTTATTTGTTATTTTGTTTTCACTTCATGGACAGTTTCGAATTGATTTTTGTATGGAAGGAAAACTTGAGAAAAATGTTTTTCTCATCTTGGGAATCAACAATGGAAAAATACAACACGAAATATGTCTATGAACAAAAAAAGTCCCAGAAAACTCCAAAATTTAAAGAGTTTAGCTTTGACACAGTTTGAAAAAAACTTTTTTTTTTGTTATTTAATTTCTTATACTTTCCTTAGCTTACAGTTACAACACTATTAGTCATATTTCATCTGATATTTCAATGTTGAACTTACCTTTTTGGGTGCAATACTTCAAAAGGGCTTCACGTCTTATTATTCAGAACCATGTACTTTTTCGAAGTGCTCACAATTTTGCCTTTCCTGCGCTTC